AGCCTAATTGTATGACTGGTGTAGGATTTATTGCAGTTTTAAGTGTTACCAATTACTTTGAAATTCTGTCACTATTTTCAAAATAACGGTTACATGAGTGTTCTACTATGTAATGCCAACAATTTTTGTTAAAATTATTTTATCGGTACATGTACAGTTTTCATTTGACAGACCAAAATAGTAATTTGCTACTTAAAGCGTGATTTGAATTGGCTTATGCCAATGGCGTTAACACAGCCTTTAAAGTGGAGGGGGTCAACCCCTTAATTTCTAAAATAATTGTCTATATTTCTAAAAAAAAAGGTTCTCGCAAAAAAAAAAGTAGAGAAGGACATGACCCCCTAGCCTCCCCGGCCTTGGCGGCCATCTATGCTTCGCTTGAATATACCAACATTTCCTAAGGTATAAACTGCTGCCAAAAAAAAAAGCTAAAAAATATTGCAAAACTTGGTCAAATTATCTAAAATAATTTGTATTGACCTCCTTTTACTTTTAACTTGAAGTGAAAACTATTTACTTTTAACTTGAAGTGAAAACTATTTACTTTTAACTTGAAGTGAAAACTATTTAAACCCTATTTTTTACATTGTATAACTATCAAATATCTAATTACATTTTAAGAAATGTCTTTTTGATCTTCTACACCAAAAGATTATTAATAAATAGCTCAATGTACTCTTTTTATACAAATACTCTATAACTACTTTTAAAGATGGTAAAAATATTCATTATACGCCATAAAATATGAATTTTAACAGCCTAATTTCTAATAACTCAAATGATGTCCTTTAAAGATGTTTACTGTTTAGATCAATTATGCAGCGCAACAATCTTTTTTTTGTACTCTGGATGATTATTATTTCGCTTATACCTCGCTTATACCAATGTTGATAAAAATCTTGATTAGAAGTTTTGACAGTTTTTTCACTATAGGTCCTCAAAGGGGATCCTTTGTGACTGATGAAATCCTTGATGTGGTAGAAGACGGCGTGCTTCAATTATGCACACAATATTGGGAACCATGTTTGTCTCAGCAAGTTGCTGTAGCATATCCATATTTTTAAGAAGCTTCCTGCATTCATTTCCCTCAAACTTGAGAAAACCTTTGCCACAATCAATTCCAAGCTTAACAAAATAGCCACCATAAATTTTGCGGGACTGAATAACATGATTCACAAGACTTGATAAATCATTGCAGTGAGCAACAACATGAACTGTACAAGAATCTGTTTTTTGGTCTGTGATTTTTAAGTCGCTGCAGGTGAAGAAATCGCTCAATTGTTGACCTAGTCTTAGAAAATTCATGTAGAAATTTCTCTCTACCATATTGCTGCTTGATATTTTATTTATAATAATAACAAGTTTCTTTAATCCGTTGTTTGACAGGCCCGTATTTTGGAGCACTTGATGATGTCTGCGTACTACTTTGACCTAAAACCAAAACATACATATTTTATAGTTGCAATAAACTTTGTTTAGTAAGTTTGTGTAAAACTTTCAAATTATTTGTTTTTAAAGAAATTTGAAACTTGTCAAAAATATACTTCTTGAAATTTATCTAGTGTTATTTCTTAATAGTCAAGACTTTATTTCAATATATATGTTAAAATTATCTAAGTATAAATATTTACCAGTGTAACTGTAAGTGGAGGCCCGCCAGTTGCTTTAACCAGTAGAATAGTTTCTTCCAGAGATAATTTTTTAATGAAAATAACTCTAGACGCAATTTGTTCAGATAATTTAGCATCTTTGGCTGCTAAAGATCGAATGTTTTCCTTTAACATTATTTGAGAGCATTGACGGGGCAAACCTTCTCCTGAAGGGCTTAGGCATTTGCTGCAACACACCTTTGGTTTTTTCTCAATAGTGGCTTGCTCTATAAGATGATATTTTTCTTGCAGCTTTGAATGACCGATTTGGCATATTAGGCAACAACACATCGTGCCTCTTGTTTCAGGTCTCACTTGTATTGACTAAAAATCAAACAAAGGAGGGAGTGCAACTTCTTTCCCCTCTTGTTTCCTGCGCAAAGTGATTCTACTCGATTCGCAGAATCCTTTTGGTACCCGTGTATCACTGATATTGATCTTAGTCTTGTACAGTTGGCATATTCGATCTGCTTGAAAAGTATTAAGCTGTCTCAAACATTTTTTCAGACAGAGCAAACTCACAAAACTTTCGATTTTCATCATGATTCTTTGGCATCATAAAAATTCACTAAATTTGACTTAACTAAATCAAACTCTGCCCTTTTACAAAATTTGACCTAAATTTATATTTGATAACAATCCACTTAACATAGTAACACATATTAGTAAATAAAAACTAATAAAATAAAGGAAATATCTACTTGATTTAATTGAGGTAATATTAAATTACAAGGAAATAATTCTTGAATAGTTCTTTCCTTACCAGGAAACAATTTAAACTAATTTTTGTAAGGAAATTACATTATTGATAATACGAGTTGTTTTATTTCAAAACAACCCTTGAACCTAATTAGCTGTTCAGTTAGAGTAATTTTCCTCCGACTGACCCTGAGAACTTTGTATTGGTCAGATATCTTAGTTAACTTATCTAAATTTTTAAAGTCAATTATCTTTGTCAATATAAAAAATATTTGGTTTTTTCACAGTTGTTCTGTTTTCAGATAAGTTAATATTTTTATTTTCTATGTAAGTATCCCTAGAAATCCTTCTTAACCATTTTTTTAGAATTTTTTAGCATTCTGGCATAGTTTATATCTTAGGAAATGTTGGTATATTCGCGCTATGCATACATGGCCGTCAAGGGAGCCATGGCCTGCCCACTTTTTTTTTGAGAGAACTTTTGTTTTAGAAATATAGGCAATTATTTTAGAAATTGAGGGGTTGACCCCCTCCACTTTGAAGGCTGTGTCTACGCCATTGGCATAAGCCAATTCAAATCATGCTTTAAGTAGCAAATCACTATTTTGGTTTATAAAATGAAAACTGTACATGTACCGATAAAATAATTATAACAAAAATTGTTGGTATTACATAGTAGAACACTCATGTAACCATTATTTTGAAAATGGTGACTGAATTTCAAAGTAATCGGTAAGGCTTTGAGGTATAAGTAACAAAAAACTGACAAAACTTTAATTAAAACTGCAATAAATTCTACACCAGTCATCCAATCAGGCTGAAATTTTGTCCAAAATTTGGTGTGACTATTGGCTACATTTGCACCAATTTTAATCAAATTATATTGAGTGGTTCAAATTCTACCAGTGTTTTTATTGACGCACTATGAAGTCAAAATTTGACTTAATTTAAACATTCAAATTAAATTATTTTCAAAATTTGCATCACAGGGTACCTTCATGTGTACGCTAACTTTCCGTATAAGTGGCATTCTTGGGACAGCTAGGTAGGCATTATAAGGATCCGTGCTAACCATGTAGCAGCATAAAATAAATTTAGTTTTTAGTTTTTTGCGCGCTTCTCTGTAGAGAAATAAAATGCTCATTAATACCAAAGAAGGTAAACTTCAAAGTAGTTATATTAATTTTTTTTCGATTTTTTTTATTACATTTTTATTACAGGTTTTTATTGTGATAATTTAATATATTATTAACATTATCATAGATTTATATAGTTTAATTTTTCATTTTTATTACTATTTCTTTTAAAAATAAATATAGTATTTAGCTATAAATAAATACAATATCTAGGTATTTATTTTATTTAAGTATTAACTAAGTAAATAATATGTATATAAATATTGAATGCGTTTAAAAAAGTAATCATTTTCTCTTTGTTCAAAGAAACAAAAAAACAATAAAAAATAATTTTTTACTTTTATTAAAACACCATAACAGATTTTTTTAAAGCAAAATAAAATGTTTTTATACCGCTATTCTGCAACATTACCAAGTATACATTTTTTAAATAATTTTGGAAAGAACCTAAAGTGTAAGTAGGTTGTTATAGGTTGTTTGTTTTTTTTTATCACAAAATAGTTTTATCAAATAACCCTAATTCCTTAAATCTCAACTACGGTACCTTTTTTTAAATTTTTATAAAAATTTTTATTTTTTACTCATAACAATATTGTGATTGACATTAACATTCTTTAACATATGTAGTGTGAATTGAAATTATAATAAACTTTTTATTCTGCTCTAATTCTATTTTTATTTTTCTCCTTAAAATCTCTTTTAAAAACAGCAATTAATATATTAATTAGATGAACAGCAAGTGAAAAATATATAGCTTTATAATGTTTTCAATTTTTAAAACTTTTGGGGTATAAATTTGCCAATTCTTCACACACAGCCTGAGAATATGGATGTAGAAAACTAATATCTTTATCTTTTTACATTCGCCTGAGAGACGAATAAAGTAAAAAAAGATTTAAAAAAGTTTTTGAACAAAGCAAATTTAGACTCTTCTCCAGACAAAAATAAAGACTAACTGAAAAATAAAATCAATTACATTATTTCCTGTTCTCCCATTTTCATATTTTTTACTTAGCTTTACTTAATTTTACACTAATCTTTTGTCAATAATTTTATACAAATTTTACTCAAATTTTTTTGTCTTTTACTTAAGATCAAAAGATTTTCTTTCATGCGTTTTTGTTAATATTTTTTTTTTTATGCCAACATTTATTAAGGTTTCTGAACTATATATATATTTTTTTCACTATCAAGTTGTTCTTTACCAATTTATACTATTGTTTATAGTGGTATGGTACATCGTTTTTATTCTTTTATAATAATAATAATAATTAGCATCAATGTTTTTTTTCTTTTCTTATGGTCTAAATCATTTTGAGTTTGTTTTATTTTCCAGTTAATTGTTATATTTATTCCTATTTTATTCTTCCCACAGGCACTCACTACTCATATGTGACTATTGACAAATTTACATGCCTATATTTTAAATATGCATATATTTTAAATATGCTGTTATAATATTTATTTATGTTTATTATAATATAAAATTTCATTTGCAGTTTTAAAATAATTTCAGGACAAGAAAACTCTTTGTGTTGGCTTAATAATCAGTTTACAAAAGAAAATTTTCTGCCAAGGTAAGGTTTGGTAGCTTGATAATCTCTTTTTAAATTTTGTTTAAAAAGGCGATATTTTATAATTTGTAAAATTAAATTTCAAAAAAATTATTCAACCTGTACAAATCATTGATTTCAAAATTAATTATTTGCTTTCTTAAAAAAATGACAAAAATAATACTATACCTTATGAACTGGAAAAAAAAAAAAAAAACGAGCAGCCTCCTCGACTGTAGTGGCCCCCTCGGGGCTTGGGGAGGTGAATAATAATTAAAAAAAAAAAAAAAACTGTAGTAAATAATAGTAAAAGTAAAAAATAGTAGAATAACTGTAGTATAGTATAGTAGCTGAAGAACTGTAAAAGCATTTTATACATTATACTTAATACACTTTTTAATCTATTTAAGTTTTTATTTTTCTCTTTTTTGTGATTATTATTACTATCATAAATTGTTCTGGTAAATTAATGCTTACAGTAAGATTACAGTAATTCTGCTTTAACTATGTTTATTTTATTTTATTAGCACAACATAAAGCGTTGAATATATTATTAAATAAGAAATCTATTTCACTATGATGTTTTTTGAAGAATTAAAAAAATTAAATTGTTAGAATTTATTAGAAATTGTTGGAAAGAAAACTTTAAAATAACAAATAATTTCAAATTACATTTGTTATTAAATTTTGAATAAATGAATTTATAAATGATAATTTTTTATTTTTCCTTTATTTTTTTGGTTAAACATTTTTGTTTTTGGGTTTAATACTGAAAATATATAATATTATTTTTTTATTGTTATTACTATTATTGTTGTTGTTATTATTATTTTTATATTAGTATTTTGTTATCTTTTTGTTATAATATTGTTTTGACTGAGGTGTTTACTTTAAATCAGTACTACCTCAAAATCAGTACTACCTATTATATATACTACCTTTAAATATACATTAAAATCAGTACAATCTTTAAATATTCATTAAAATGGCCTCATCATGAACAACTATTATTTAAATTAACTTGAATTATAAATAGTAAATTAAGTAAATTAAATTTATTTAGTATTTTGTTATCTTTTTGTTATAATATTGTTTTGACTGAGGTGAATCATTATTATTATTATTATTATTATTATTATTATTATTATTATTATTATTATTATTATTATTATTATTCAATTATTAATTAGTAAAGTTAACTAAAAAAAATTAATTATAAAAGATTTATGTAAAAGTTTGAAATAAATTTGAAATTTACAGTATATGTTCATTACATATATTGCAGGTTACTACAAGGTTAAAAAAGTATTTTCTTGAAAAGTATGCTACTTTTTTTTAGAAGCATCAGCTCTGTAAACTTGATTAATAAAAAAAAGCTGTACTTTTTGGAAATGAAAATTTACCCTTTAATATTAATTGCCACCTGCCTATTTGTGATTCAATTTAACGCTTAATTTGATTCAATGATTTGATTTAGTGATTTGGTTCAATGATCATTAAAATGACTTGAAATGAAAGCAACTATTTTCAGAATAAATTTCAATTTGATTATACAGGGATGGGATCTGATAGAACAATTGTCTAGCCCCAGCTTTGCCTGGAGAGCTTTATAACCTTGCATTCCTTTTTTTAGCATCATACTTTTTAACATTTGTTCTGGCTTTAGCTTCAAATACATATTTATTTATTAGAATAATTTTCTAAAAGGTAGAAATAACATAAGGTTTGATAAAACTGTAAATAGTGGTTTATAGACAGGATATTTGTTCAATTTTATTAAAATCATTAAATTTTAAAATAATTTTTTCTTAATCAAAAAATTGAAAATGGTTATCTTATAATAAAAAAATTAAAATGTGAGAGAATTATTAATATAGCTGCCAGAACTACAATAGTTTGACAGTACTACAATAGTTTACAGCTCTGAATGTAATAATAAAGTGCTTAACTATTATGTTTTTAATGTCTATTACTAAAAAGTATTTCATGCAAAATTTTTGTGCTCCCTTAACCAATACTCATAATTAAATTGTGATTTTTATATCGGAGTTTTACTTTTTCTAGGCAAGTTGCTAAATAGCCTCTCTTATTTGCCCTAACTTACCTATAAAAAATACTAATCTGTATTAATTAAATCTTTTTTTTTTAATAAAAATTTCATAAAAGTTTTAATATTGCAACAACTTATATCAAAATAAAAAAAGGAATTTTTACCAAGGTCTTTCAAGACACTATAGTTTTCTTTTGTTTTCAGAGCTTGTTGTTTTTATCTTATTTAAGTCATGTGATTCGTTGGATCTTTATTTGTTACTTTTTAGATATGCTCATACAGATGTAGAAGTTGATGTTTTACAAAATGAATTAGAATCTTGTCAAATTCTCTATGACGAAGAACCTGATAATAAATGTAAAACTTTTTGTTGTTGTTTTTGTTTTCAGTATATATTAAACATTTATTTTAAAGAATTATTGTTTTTGTAGGGACAATGCTGACGCTGTTACATTTGATGCATGCAATAGATTTAAATGAATACAACAATGAAATGTCATCTTTGCTAGATAAACTTATGAGAGTTGATTCCATCAGAAAAGGATACTATAATGATCTTAGTATGAATTTTATGTTCCATTATTCAGATATTCATTTTTAGATTATTCAAAAATTGTTTAAAAAGAGTGCAAAGGAGACAAGTGTGTATTATTTTAACTAGACTTCATCTACAAGCTCCAAAAAGTTAAAGAAACTTAAATGTAAAGAACTTTAGGAATTCTCAAAACTATGAGAACCTGGTTTCTTTAAATTGATAGTCAAAGTATATTGGTTATAATCTTTCAGAAATAATAAATTCCAGGATTCCTAGTCTTATTTTTTCTTTAGTTTCTAAATATTTTTACCTGAGCTAAAACGGTTTTGTCATCAGTGGCATTTTTTTTTTGCACAGCTAAATTCCAAATCATTGGTATATTTATGGAAATGCAGAATACCCTAAAATGCTTTATTCAGTAAATAACGTTTCTGAAATTTCAAAGAAGTGGTGAATTTTTTACTTTTAATTTCAATAGTTTTTAATAAACAGAAATTTTTATTCTAGAAGAAAATATAAGTTTTAATTTATTAAGAATTTATTAAGAGTTATTAAGAATGTTGTCTAGTGCAAAAAATAAAATGAAACTTGGAAAACCTCAAAGTTTTGACATTTTTTTTTTTTTATGTGAAGAAAAAACCTGGCAAAAGAAAGTATTATCAGTTACTCAAAAAAAAAAAAAAAATAGACAATTCGTTATGAAAATATTATGTAAGTTTTATGCAAATAACTAATTTAAGGAATCTTTCAGTTAAAAAAACATTTGTTTTTGTAAACAAACACACACACACACACACACACACACACACACACACACACACACACACACACACACACACACATATATATATATAAGTAAATATATATATGTATATAAGTAATATATATATATATGTATATAAGTAATATATATATATATATATATATATATATATATATATATATATATATATATATATATATACATATATATATATATATATATATATATATATATATATATATATGTATATAAGTAAGATATATATATATATATATCTTTTATATATATATATATATATATATATATATATATATATATATATATATATATATATATATATATATATATATATATATATATACATATATATATATATATGTGTATAAGTAAGATATATATATATATCTTTTATATATATAAATATATATATATATATATAAATATATATATATTTATATATATATATATATATATATATATATATATATATATATATATATATATATATATATATATATATATATATATATATATGTATAAGTAAACATTGTCACTTCCAACAAGGCTGTAAGCAACCACTATTACAGTTGTATAAGAAAAAGTTCATAAAGCAAGATAACAATCAGGAAAACAAGATAAAGGAAGCAAATCCCAAGCAACTGATTTTTTCCAAAGACAAACACTTGACAAAAAAGAATTTTTGGATTACTTGAAAACACTCACATGAAAAGGCATGAGACTTGATTGAATGACAAGAAACACAAAAATGAGTTTTAGTAGATGGCACATTTTATAATAGTATATATATATGTATTTATAAGAAAGAGAAAGAGAAGCAACATCATGGTGATGTCATAATGGTTAGAGGTTGGTTCAAAGAGCAGGTCCAACTATGTTTACAATTCATTTTTGCATCTTGTCTAAAAAAAAATAGACATCATTTAAAGATTCGCTTCAGATATGGCTACAGTATCCCATACAAGTACAGATTAGAGATTTATAGAGATAAAAAAATGAAAGTAAAAAAGCGATGAGCACAATAAAGAGATGCAACTTTAGCAGAAGAGAGCATGCCAAACCTTAACAATGACTTAAGAAATGTTTTATAAAAATCAATCTTTCAAACAAACAAAAAAATACATGACATAATGTACTAAAACAATAAGGAATAAAACATGCTTGAGCAAATTATAAAGTTTCTAGATTGCGGCATGTATTAAAATAATTATTTGTCCTTTTACAAAACAGAGAAGGCAAGTTTCGACTAATACAAAAAAGTTAGTTTTTCTTGGAATGCAATCTTTTGTTTTAATCAAAAATATTCAGCCCAAACTTTTTTTTTTAAATTATACTCTTTAATATAAAAACAACGTGCCTCAGCGGTTTGGGAAAAAAATTTTTTTTTTCTGTTTCTTTTTCTGTTTAGTTCTTAGCCTAATATTGTTGCCTTGTTGAATGAATTGGTATGTTGACTATATACCATATTAATATAGCTAAAAATAATTTCTAAGGTATTAAATTTAATACAAAAAATAATTGGGTAAAAGTAAATATAAGTAGTAAAAAAAAGAACAAAAGAATATTAACATGCCAGTATACTGATTATTTTAGAAAGCTAAAAGCCCTATTATCTCCACATCTATCTAATGCACAATAAAACCGTTATTACCATTAACAAATCAGCAGTTAAATGAGTAGATTGAGATCCATATCGATGATCAGAATGTTACTAGATTCAAGATTCTCATCTTGAATCTAATAACTTTCTGTTATTAATTGTTTTTTAATTAATGACTCAAAAACCTTATTATTAAAAAGCTTATAATAGTAAAAAGACTAATGGGACAGATGCTGCTTTCCAAAACGTTAGAAACCAAAACTTTGAAACACACTTGTTAAAAAGTTTTGAAAGTATAGACAACAACTCTGGAGGACACTTCTGCAAGACTATAACAGGTATGTTGTCCGAACCACAAGCTGTAGAAGAGTCTAAGCAGGAAATCACTATCAATACAGAAGCAGGAGTGATACAATTGTTGAGCAATGGTTCAACTCGATTGTCAGCTATATCAGGTATGATGTGATTAGTGAAATCTAGAGATGAGACTTTGCAAGAGATGAGACTCACCAAAAGAAAAGTTAGTTTGAAGACCATGAATATTAGATTTGGTGTTGTAACAAACTCTTGATAAAAGTTGAAATCATTAGCTTAGTTTAAATTTGTAAATCCAGAAAATACTTAAATACTTAAAATTTTCTAAGATTACTTCATTTATTGTTATGTATGTGCTAGTATTTTCTAATTCTAACAGATTTACTTTGTTCAAGTTGTACATAGATAAATTTTTAAAAAGGTTGACATTTTGAAGGGCATTTTAACAAATTAGCAATTCTAATTAATTATGGAAACCTTATAGTAGATACTTGATATAGTTTTCCAGGTATCCATGATATTGAAAATATCTTTAACTTAATAATAAACCTGTGAAGCATATTCAAAGATGATGAGAACAACATACGAAATAGGTCTCAAACCAAACATGTCTGATAGCCCTTTTAAAGATTCTTATTGAGTGCCTAAGACTTAATGAATTAAGGCATGATGGTTTATGTCTTGTAGAAGCAGCAATAAAGCAGGTTATTTAATTTTAGGCTTCTATTTGATATTCACTAAGGATTGACAAAAATCAATTCAATATAGTTTAATCAATTCAAAAATTTTATTAAATAATATAATGGCCATTATATTATTTAATAAAAACTATTTTTATTTTACGCCTGTAATGTCTTCTTTTTTGATGGTTTGATTTATGTTATTATATATATATATATATATATATATATATATATATATATATATATATATATATATATATATATATATATATATATATATATATATATATATATATATATATATATATATATATATATATATATATATATATATATATATATATATATATATATATATATATATATATATATATATATATATATATATATATATATATATATATATATATATCATGGAGATCAAAGTTTTATAAAAATATCTTTTAAAACTATATAAGTTCTGTTAAATTTTTTTTGGCTTATTTTGTAAAATAGAAATTAACTTGTTATACCCAATTAATTCTTTTCTATGTTTTGTTTTTATTTTCCAATAATTTTTATTTTCAGTTGACCAATATAGTTCAATTGTTTTAGTTAAATGTGATTTTTTTTTTACTTTTGAAAGCTAGTTTAACAAATTTACAACTTTATATAAAAAAAAAGTATAAAATCATGAGTTATTGTCATTGTGTTTTTTATTGTTGTTATTTAATATACAATTATATACAAATAACAACAAATAAAATTAAAATTCTGTCAACAGATTTTGGTCTGGTGTTTAACAGTATTGTCTTATTTCTTTACTGTTTTTTTAATAGGAAGTAAATATGAAGTTGAAAGAGTTTTGGAACAGCTTTTTAATAAAAAGGTTTTGTTTTTAGTTTACAATTTTAATTAGTTTTAATCTAAGTTTTAATTGACTAGTTTTCATCTCAATTAAAGTTATTTAAATCCTAATTAATTAATCAATTTTATTATTTTTTTATTAATTTTATTTGAATTATCAAAAATAAACATTTTATAACTTAGGCAAATAATTTATTTTTATTATTTTGTTAGATGTTGGTTGATTGTGTTGACTTAAGTTGCAGGGTAAATATTTATAGATTAAATATTTATAATTAAATAAGATTTTGATATTCTCTATTTTCTGTATAATAATAGATTACAATAGACTATTATATATATATATATATATATATATATATATATATATATATATATATATATATATATATATATATATATATATATATATATATATATACATATATATATATATATATATATATATATATATATATATATATATATATATATATATATATATGTATGTATGTATGTATGTATATATATGTATGTATGTATATATATATGTGTGTATACAAATATATATATATATATATATATATATATATATATATATATATATATATATATATATATATATATATGTATATGTATGTATGTATGTATGTATACATATGTATGTATGTATATATATGTGTGTGTATACAAATATATATATATATATATATATATATATATATATATATATATATATATATATATATATATATATATATATATATATATATATATATATATATATAAGTATAATAAAACTTTAGTTTAAAAAATGAATAATTTCATTTAGCATTTAAAAATGGTCACCCCACATCATACTTCATTACATACTAAGTTCCATATATCACTTGAAAATTTTTTTCATTTTATATCAACGTGGCTCTCAAATAACCAGACTTTTATAGTGATTTTAGCAATAATAATAGCTTAATTGTAAATTTAATTACTAAAACTTTTTATGAACAAAAATAAAAATATTTTTGAACAAAAGTTGATACAGACATTTTGTATAACATTTTATAGTAATAATTTTTTTTCATAATAATAAAAAAAGTTACGAATTTTGAAATCTCTATAAAATTCTGGTTTTGCGAAACCCAGGTTGATGTTCTTTTGGAATCAAATATTCTCCATTATATATAGGACCCTTCACATAAGGGTGAAGTGTTATTATTAAATAAAACCAATGATTTTTAAGATTTCAAACCAATGTTTATAAATTTTTCATACAGAAAAAAAGAAATACAAAAAAATTCTAATTCTAATTACCAATTGTGATTTGTAAATATAAGACATTTAAAAATCACATATTGATTACTCTATTTTTTGCATTCTAGTTTTTAGAATATACCTAATAATATTTGTTTATATATATATATATATATATATATATATATATATATATATATATATATATATACATATATATATATATATATATATATATATATATATATATATATATATATATATATATATATATATATATATATATATATATATATATATATCAACCCTCGGAATTAGGGTTGGCATTCAGCAAAGCCGACCTAACTGCCAACCTAGAAGTGTTTGAGGTCAGTAAAAAATTGTCGACCTTGTTTCTATGTTTTATGGTATAACATTTGTTTTACATTGTTTCAGTTGACCTCACACAGATTAAGGTTGACAAATTATTGCCGACCTTATTTTTCCTAATTCCTAGGGCTGATATATATATATTCAATACATATATATATATATATATATGTATATATATACATATATATATATATATATATATATATATATATATATATATATATATATATATATAATATATATATATATATATATATATATATATATATATTAAAAAAGAGCGTTATTTTTTAGATATATATATATATATATATATATATATATATATATATATATATATATATATATATATATATATATATATATATATATATATATTAAAAAAGAGCACATTTTTAATTATATATATATATATATATATATATATATATATATATATATATATATATATATATATATATAATTATAAATTTAATAATAAAAAGTACTTTCAAAAACAGAAAGTTAAATTTATTACGTTAGCAACTAAATGTTTTTGATAATTGTAATAAACATAGTTTTCAGAACAATCTTTAGTTTACAGTATAAAAAAGTGCAAAAATTCTATTAAACAAGCAATAATACTGTTTGATTAAAAATATTAAATGTTTTTGGTTGGTGGAAACACAGTTCGAGATAACAGATATAACTTTAGTTTGATATTTAATTAAATTTTATGAATTTTTATGAATGAAAATTATGAATTAAATAACTAGAAATATTAATATGACTTTTAAAGTCCAAATAATAAACAATGTGAGCTTTCAATAGATGAATTTAAAGTATTGAAAATGATTCATTTGTGAATGAAAGAATATAAAAGTTTTATGAATTTCTGCATGAATTCATAAACTTTTACTGTTCTTATAAAAGTTTATACTCATAAAATTTTATGAGTTTATGAATTAATGCTGTTTCAACATGGTTAATTTAACAAAATTTGTTACACTTTCTTAGATTCTTAAAATTGAAAGTGAAAGTTTTTTAAATTGATTACTTATAACACATATTATTTATTAAGTAATATAGATTGGTATAAGACAAATTAACATATCGGTAGATGAGAATTAAAGGTTCTATCTCCCAATTTTAATGGCAAAATAGTTTAATTTTCTGTTTTTATTTATAAAATTTTTGTGTTCAAAATAATATAATTTTAGTATATTAATAATTTTAATATATATATATATATATATAACGAATATTTTAAAAAAAAACATGATAACTCTTCAAGTGGTCAGAAATGTGATGACGAGGAGGAATATTTTATACAAAGGGAAAGACAAAGTTGACTTGAGGTAGCTTCTTTTGATTACAAAATTGAATTTATTCAAGATTTTAAATCATAAATAAATAAAGTTAGAAAAATAGCTGATTTTTAAAAAAAAATCTGTAAAAAATGATTTTCTGCAAAGAGAGTATCAAGAAAAACTGAAAAAGGAAAAAGTCATGGTAATTGATATACGTACACGCTGGAACTCAATGTTGGCAATGCTGAAGCGGTTCTTTGAGTTAAAAGAAATAATAAAATCAGTACTAATAAATTTTTCAATTGCTCATTTATATCCAATACATTGTGAAATTAAGAAAATTGAGGAAATGGTAGAATCATTAGAAGTCATCGAGGTAAGTTCACTTGCTTTGGGAAGGCGAAATTGAAATATAATTGATGCTTGAAATTAAAAAAAAAAAAATTGAAAACACAATCAAGTGAGGCTGGTATGAAATTCTACAATCATTAGCTAGAAGAATATTTAACAGTAGAATTCCTAATGTAGAAGGTTTGTTAGAGTATTTAGATGATCCTAACACTTACCTAAAAGCACTTACATAAAAAATGCAATATTACAATGATCAACAAGAAACAAAATTGCTCTAACAAATAAAGAAATTCTTCATTGTTTATTTCTCATTGATGAGAATGTTAATGAAAATAGATTTAATCGAGAAGATGAGGCTACATATGAATGTACTGAAAACATAACAAAAAAAGAAGAATTGAATCGCATTTTGTCAATAAAAAACACCAATCTTTCAACTGTAGTAAATTTTTAAAATAACGTTTCATCTATTAAAAAAGAAATGATCATTTTTGAAAAAATTAACAAAAGAAGTAGAAGTCATTTATTTGAACAAATGTACAATGCTTTGACAAAATTGAGAACATCCTTAAATGATGAAACAATTCATTTGTTATGCTTTCTTTGCTCATATCTTTTACAGGAACACAATGGACATAAAATGGCTGTTATGTAAAACTTCTATGTTTTTTTACTAATGTTAATGAATTACTAGCTAATTCAAATGATATAATGCCCTATTTGTCACTCAAAAGACCTTGACATCATATTTGTACATTACTGAATGTCTTTAGAAACGTTTTTTTGCCATTTATTAACAAACAAAGTGAGACTTTTTTTTGTAGGATTTGGTAATGATCCACATTCAAGAAAATAATGGAGTGGTACAACTAAAATGGCTTATAGCTAATTTAATTTTTTATTAAAAGTAAGTTAAATTGGTGTTTATACATGTTATTTTGATTTTATTGATCATATAATAAAAATATAGTAGAATAAAAGAAAACTATTCCAAAATTTATGCCAAAAAAAACTAAAAAATTGCTTTAAAAAAAAAGAGCAGAAACACACCAAAAAATTAAAAAAAAGCACGTTTTTCTGACCCAAAAAAACTCAAGAGGAAAAAAACGCATTTTTTTTTATAACTTTAGTTCCTAGCTGCCTTCCAAGGCAAATCAGTTATATAAAAGATCATAAGTACATAATTATTCCAAAAGGTGCGAAGCCTCCAAATACTCTGAGCAGCACCTTGAGAGGATTGTATAAAGGAATCTTGTTGAAAAGCAACAAATCAGCACAAAATGACAAAAAATCAGCAGCATCAAAAAAGGTCACTGAAAGAAATAGCTCACATTTTCAATTTCATCTAAAAGTTAAAACAATTAAAATAATGCATAAGTGCATCAAGTTTTTTTTGTTTTTTAAAAAACCGCAATAATGACTAGAAAGTTTTTTTTAATTAATAGTGTTTTTACCTTTGTATTTTTAAAACATAATTTTAAAACATGTATGCAGTGTTGCTACATTGACTATTTTATAGCCTGGTACTACAAGGGAGTGCTGCTACATCTAATAGCCTGCTGCTACAAGTTTTGGTTTAGGCAAGCAATTTATCATTAAAAAAAAAACTTCATTCAAGTTTTTAAAACTTGAATGAAGTATGTTAGAGGTCAGCATTAGGTCTGCAAAAAATATTTTACACAAAAGGGTTACTGTAAAACATAGAAACAAGATCAGCGATTATTTGCCAACCAAATTTTGAGGGATGATATATATATATATATATATATATATATATATATATATATATCTATGTATATATATATATATATATATATATATATATATATATATATATATATATATATATATATATATATATCAAATATGATTTTTATAAATTATTTTTTGGTGTAATATATATATATTTTTTGGTGAAATATTAAAATAGCTGCCTTTTTATCATTCTTTTAGCATTTTTTTTAATTTTTTAGAATTTAACATGTCTCCCTTATGCGCAGTATTTTTCGAGCTTTAAAAAGTTGAACTTATGTGGAAACAATGGTTTAAAAGAGTTAACAGTCAATCAGCGATCTTTACTTTCTAATGTTGAACTAATCTTTGAATAAAAATTTTATATATATATATATTCTATATTTTTTTGTTTGTGTATTTTTACTTTTTAATAATATTTATAATGTTTTGACAATGTTTGTTTAACTATGTAACTTATACTTCTATTTTAAATTATTTTTTAAACAAGATAATTTATACTTCATTGATTGTTTTATTATATTTGAAAGTAACATTTGTAATTGTTATAGATAATTAAGTATAATAAAGAAAGATTTAAACATGTCTTCTCGTCAAATAAGAAGAAAGCAAAAGGATGACTTATTACAGCTAGAATGTGAAGAAGAAACTAATAAACCGTTAACTGAACCAGAAGTTCAAAAAAATCTATTTAGTTTAGTAGGTGTTTTGATATTATATACAGTTACATACTACTACTACTACTACTACTACTACTACTACTACTACTACTACTACTACTACTACTACTACTACTACTACTACTACTCTACTACTCTACTACTACTTCTAATTATTGTTATTAATAGTTAATATTTATTGTTGTTATTATATATTTTTATTATCAATTGTTATTAATAAAAAATTAAAATTAATATAAAATCTTGAATTATAGTTATAAACTTTAACAATTTTAAAACCTAAGCATGTTATACTATTTTTTGTCAATTATAATAACATAAATTATTAAAATTATAATAGCATTTAAATTATTAAAATAATAATGTGTAAATAATAAAATATTGGGTTGTGAATTTCTAATGAGCAGGACCTTAACAATACCTTAATCCTAGTTGTTAAGAACAAATAATATATTGGGGTTGGTCAATTTTTTTTTTTTTTAGTATATAAAATATATAAATTGAGCAATGCCTATGGGCAGAAGAATGCATTTCAAACTTTATTTGCAACTGTCAATAAATAGATGTCATTCTTCTGTATAAATTTTAATAATGTATAAATTTTAGGTCTAGATTTTTTTGTCTAGATTAATATTTCTTTCTTTAGTCTAGAAGCTAACACCTTAACATTTCCATAGATTACTTTATTGATAAAGTTCATTTCCATGAATAGATTATTCTACCTTGATTAAAAAGTTGAGGTGCCGTGAGATTGTTAACATTATTGATGGCACTTTTTCTTTACTGTCATCTGAGATTGTTTTTTGTTCATGCAGTTAAGCTGGAACATTATCACAATTTGGTCTTGGAAGCTTTATAGTCTGTAGATCAGGATAGCACTTTCTAATTGATAGGATTTTTCACTTATTGATTAGTGAAACAAAAATAGCAGTTATTGTATTGTTTTTGAGATTCTCTTTATGATTAGTATGCTAAAGTCCATGCTTTTTACTTTTCCCTGAGTCCACTGCTATAGATGTTTTGTAAAAACTTTGTATACAATGTGTGGCACCCATGCCTTATTTTGGTCACCAAGTTTATAGGCTAAGTATGTTAAATAAACATATTTAATGAAACATATTACATGAAACCTGTTTAAAGTATATTGTTTATAAATATACCCAAATATGTCAGGGTCATTCAAACAACTTCTATGTAATGAAGTCATGGAGCCGAAAATAAATAAAGCTTTATTATGATATTTACATACATTAAAAATATGCCTTTGCTCATAGAGTGCATATTTAATAACCAACATGCATCAAGTTTGTAATTGTTTCATTTTAAGGTGGTTGTAGGCCCTAGGCCTTTTTGCATATCTGTATGTATAGGCTTCATATTATCAAATTCAGTACCGAAAAATGTAAGTTGTAAAAATGTTCACATTTTTACAATTTACATTTTTTTTGGACATTGTATTGAACCATAATTTATAAATGCACCCACAGTTTTGTAGTTTAAATCTCAATTCACTTTTTGTAGCATGGTTTTATAAATATTTTTTCCGGTTTTCCAATATTTTGTCATTTATTGGATAATTAAATATTTTTAGTTAATATACAAAATTCTTTATAATTTTTTAATGTTAACAGTTAGTAATTTTTATTTAGTAATAATTTTTAATAAACAAATAATTTAATAATAAACAAATAATTTAAATTTTTTAATTATTTAAAAAATAGAGTTGATGCAAAATATTTACCATCCCCTTTTACTTTTTTACATTCAAATTTTTGGGGCAATATTTTAGCATAAAAATGCTAATCTTTATATCAAATTCAGCAGTACTCAGAATCATACTTTTATGCTTTTTTTTTTTTTTTAATAATATTTTTATTATGTTAAGAAACAGCATTTTATGCAGTTAGGTGTTATTTTCTAATTTTTTTCATTTTGGTCAATTTGTGATTTGCCCACTCTCGTGAAGATATATGCAAGCACTAATACGTATATATATATATATATATATATATATATATATATATATATATATATATATATATATATATATATATATATATATATATATATATATATATATATATATATATAATATATATATGTATATATATATATATATATATATATATATATGTATATATATATATATATATATATATATATATATATACATATATATATTATATATGTATATATATATATATATATATGTATATATATATATATATGTATATATATATATATGTATATATTATATATATATATATATGTATATATATATATATATATATATATATATATATATATATATATATATATATATATATATATATATATATATATATATATATATATATATAAACTAATTATTTTATTGTATAAAAATCCTCAAAATTTATTAAACAAAAAAAACGAGCCAATATCTATATGTCGCCATGAGAACAAGTTTTTGCTGGACAACCACAAACCAAAAGATTAGATTTTTTAACTCATTTTCTTTTGTACAGATTTATTATTTTTTCACGAGAAAAAAACATATTTACACTTGATGATTGCATTTAGCATGAAACTTATAGTTGTGAAAAATATCCAGTTTTATTTATAAATAATATATATATATATATATATATATATATATATATATATATATATATATATATATATATATATATATATATATATATATATGTATATATATATATATATATGTTTTTATATATGTGTATATATATATATATATATATATATATATATATATATATATATATATATATATATATATATATATTTTCTACACAATTATCTGTATGTAAAGCTTTGCGACTTTGGTCACCATATGTTAAAAATAGTATTCTTACAAAGAAACTAATTTTATTTATTTTCAATTTTATTATTCATATGCAGTTTTATTATTCATATGCAATTTTATTATTATGTCAATTATTATTTTAATTTATTGTTTTAATAATTTAGTTACTTGTTGAAGATGATGTAAATAGCAATGATCATTTTAGTGAGCAGGTAATAATTGTTTACAGGTATTTTTTTGCCTTATATGCTTTATAAATTATTTACATGTTTTATAAATTATGGTTGGAATGAGAGCTTCTATTACAGTTAAGAATATTTTAATTTGTTCACTAAATATGCTAGCTAGCTTTAGAATATGTCGAAACTATTTGATTTTTTATTAATTTTGAATTTAATTATTTTTTGAGTTGATTTTAATCTTTTGTTAATAATATCTTCTTTTTTATTTAGGATGATGTAAATATTTCATCACCTGTATCAACTTCTTCATCAAAAAAAAAGAAAAAAAAAAAAAAGAGTTCAAAAAAATTGAATAAAAATAACGTAAGTTTTTTTTTTTTTTTTCTTTTTGTTTTTAATTTGTCCGTAGTAATCTCTTTTTTCTAATATAAAAATAAAACCTAGACAGTCGTTGATGATGTTGATGCAGCAATACGTGAAGTGACTGAAATATATGGAGATGTTAACTCTGGTACACAGACAGGTCTGTTAATTTTACTAAATGATTTTTACTATATATCTTAAACACTTCGCTATCTTTTATCTATATTTCAATTTTATTACATTATTATATTTGATAATATCTTTTTTTTTAGTGTCTGATACAAGTGCAGCATTTTCAAATAAATCTGTTTTTTGTATTGACTACAGGTTTTTAATGTTTAAATTATAATATGTACAAAGTTTTATTTAAATTTTTATAATTGTTTTTAAAATAACTTTTAAAAAGACTTTTTTGTTTATTCTTATCAAACAATTAAAATATTTTCTCAAGGAATCTCAATCCAGAAAATGAATTAAAAAGAAAATTTGGAGCAAATGTGATTAATAGAGACAAAAGGTTTGAAATTTTTTTTTTTTGTTTTATCATTATATTTGTGCTTTATTATAATTTTATATTATATCCTTTTTATAAATATGCATGTATTTATAAAATGTATTTTAATTGTAAAAGTCAACTTGCATTTCTTATAAATGCAAATATAAATTACAATTTAAATCATAATTAATGTAAATCACTATCTATGTAAATGACTAGTCATAGTAATTTGAATTTATGGAGAACAAGCAAATTATGGAGAACAAGCAATGGTACTTTTGACTTTTAGCTACTAGAGCTGGTCCAAGTTTGTTCCTTCACTTAAAGAGAATGGGTATCGCTAGAAAAACCATCCTTATTATGACAATAGTATTTTATACAAGAAATAATTAAAGTTATAGAATATAGAATTAGAGAATGTAATCAGAAAAAATAAAAGAGGTAGCATAAAGGGCAAAACATAAAAGACGACCTTAGCAGATGCTAATTGTGCAATCAATTGGGTATATGATTATCATGAGAGATTATTAGTTGAAAATAATTTCAGAAGACATAGAGTAGAAGATTCGGTAAGATTTATTTTATCAATAATTTATCAATATCAAAGTATTAAGATTGTGGCAATGTTGGACAGTGAGCAATTGAGTTGTATTTAGGTTATAATTCACCAGCCACTTAAATAATCAAGGTAACACAGAGGAGAAAACATAATTAAAACTGAATCTTTGTTTTAAGTGATAAAGAGTGATTAAAAAATAGGACCAAAAATTTGTGATGTCGCATGGATTAGTAATTACATTATTAAAAATTTATTTGATGCACCATATGAAGAGTGCTTATGAAGAATACCAGCATGCCAGATTTTATCAAAAATTTTAGGTGTTTCTATTGCAATAACCCTTGTATATTTATCAAATGTATAGTATAAAATTTCTGTTATTACATTTACCAAGAGTAGAGAGAATAAAAAGAGTATAAATTTAAAGTCATTGATGTTAAAAGTTTATGAGTGCTCCCAAACCCTCTAAGTAAATGATTATGATTGGAAATATTATCTGTATATAGTTACAGATATTAATAGATAGTTACATGTTACATAGTTACATAGTTACATGTTACCAGCAGTGTTGTAAAGTATTTTAAATACTAATGCTTAAAATACATATCTTATATACTTTAAAAGTATTTTTAACAATTTTCCAGTCAAATATTATGTATTTGCATTCTAAACTTTGGTTTTATTTTATATTTTTAATATATCTTTCAAAATACAAAATAAATATTATTAAAAAAAAAAGATGTTGTTACTATTGATTTATTAGTGAAGTATAATAATTATTTATTACTAATAAAATACAAAGTTAAGTTACATGTTGTTTACAAATGTTTACTAAAAAAATACAAAATTAAGTTACATGTTGTTTACAAATTTTTGTGTGCCAGCTGTAATACCAGTTATATTGGAAAAGCTTCCAGAAATTTAACAAGTAGAATTAATGAGTACCATGGGGCTTATAAAAAGTCCCATATATATATATATATATATATATATATATATATATATATATATATATATATATATATATATATATATATATATATATATATATATATATATACATATATATATATATATATATATATATATATATATATATATATATATATATATATATATATATATATATATATATATATATATATATATATATATATATATAAACATTTAATTACACTCACTAATTGTAAAAACATGTTTAACCATTTCAACTACAATTTAAAAATAAAAGCTCCACATTAAATGGCAAATTCCTCACTTAATAAACAAGCTTTCTATTATAACATTAATCTATTTAATTAAATGACAGTTTTACTTTATTTTAGTTATATTAATTGTTTATTTACTGAGTGATTTTGTAATTATTACATTGGTTTATTATGTATATTTTTTACTGTTAATATTTCTCATAAAATACTGTCTTTTTATTTTCCAGAGTTTTATATTGTAAAAATAATCTTTTGAAAATGTAATGCAAAATTACAAAACATGTCAAGATTTAAAAAATACCATTTAAAAAATATTTATTTCATGCTATTATGACATTCAAGGAATTAATAAAGTATTTGATTTAAAGATAAACAATATTTTAATTCAATTTTGTGTTTATTGAAAGAAAATAGTATATATAAAGAACAATGGTATTAGAAGGTACATTCTATGGCATTAACTGAAGTGGTTTGATTTAGCATAAGCAACCCTTGGAATTAGATATAATAAGGTCGGCAAATTATTGCCAACCTCAATCTTTTAGAGGTTGGCAGCAGGTCGGCAAAAAAAAAAATTGATTCAAAGGTCTTACCATAAAAGATAGAAACTAGGTCAGCAGTTTTTGCCGACCTAAAACACTTCTAGGTTGGCCGTTATGTCAGCATTGCCGAATGCCAAACCTAGTAAATTATGGCAAAGCAAAAGCTTGTTTCTATGCAGAAACAAGCTTTTGCTTTGCCATAATTTACTGATACTCAAACAACAATCTGTATTTAAAAGCAACTAAAAGATCAATCTCAGAATGCCCATGGGATTCATTTACTGTTATACTGGTAAAATTTTAGAGAACACTACATTTTTTTTTTTTAATTGTTTCTAATGGTTAATGTTAATAGAGTATAAAAACATGTTCCAAAATTATTAAAATTATCTATAATTAATAAAAAGTATTTTGAGCAATCATTGTTGCTGAAAACCAATGAACATATTGATTTAATTTCGTTGTTATTTTTAGTTTTTACATTACTTTCAATCATTGAAGTCATTGAGAATCATTTCAATGAAAATCATTTTAATCATTGAGAAAGCTTTTTTCTTTTTAATATTCATTATTTTATTGCATTTTGTTTTATCAAAGTCATAAAGCAGTCGTTAACATATCTATATATATGTAATTTTTTTTAGAACCAACCAACATGCACATAAAGCTCACAAAACTACGTAAGTCACACTACTCATTGCTAAATTTCTTTAATAAACTAGAACTTGTTTTGTATTATTTAATTTATCGACAGATTGATTACACCTCGTGAAAATTGGCAAAGATTTTCAAATGTTGGTAGGCTTTTTTTTTTTTCCCATTACTTTACTCTTTTTGTTTAAATTAAATGTGTAGTCTAAATGTGTAGTTTGAAGCTAAATTCAAAAGAGCTTAATTATTTATTTAAATAGTATTGGTTTATTTTTTTGAAACATATAAAGAAAAAATATATAAAATATATAACTTCTTAATTTACTTATTTTTTAAAAAAAAATCAAAACTAATTTTATTAGAGTAATATTACTCCAATAATCTAATCCGCAGCCAGCAGTTTTTCTCATAATTTTTAAAATTTGATTTTATCTAGTTTTTTTTTTTTTTAATTGATTTAATTAGTAATTTATTAAATTAATTAGGTAATTATAATGCATAACTGGTTTTACACAAATTATATAATATATAGGATAGTATATATTGATTAGTCAAACTGTGTAGGATAGTATATATAGATACGGGTTTTTTTTATTTAGGAATTAAAATGAAACTTGTTCAACAAGAGAATAAGTGAGTATTACATTTTTTCAATGCACATGAGTGTTTTTGAGCATTTTTTGTGAATATACTGAAAACTGAATTTCTTGATCTACACTGCATCCTGAAACTTCCCGTTAATGTATAAATTTAATTATATAATTTTGTTTTATAATTGTTCTAGTTTGCTATATTAATAATATGTATATCTTTATATATATATATATATATATATATATATATATATATATATATATATATATATATATATATATATATATATATATATATATATATATATATATATATATATATATATATATATATATATATATATATTTAGGGGCCAGTTGGTACTTTTTAAAGATCTGCCCTCCCCCTTATTTTATTCATAGAATTGCCTCTGTATATATATATATATATATATATATATATATATATATATATATATATATATATATATATATATATATATATATATATATATATATATAATACACATATATATACATATATATACATATATATATACATATATATATACATATATATATATATATATATATATATATATATATATATATATATATATATATATATATATATATATATATATATTAGGTCAAGCCAATATATATATATATCAAGCCAATATATATATATATTAGTATATATATTATTAATATATATATATCAATATATATATATATATATATATATATATATATATATATATATATATATTAATATATATATCAAGCCAATATATATATATTAGGTCAAGCCAAAGTACCCCCTAAGTTTTTTAAAGAACATTTTACTAATGGTTGTATAAAATAATAATCTTTTTACAACAAAAATAATTTTTTGTTTTTAAAGTGTCATCTTTAAGTTCTGTTGAATTTCATCCTAAGTCTGAATTATTAAAATAAAACAACGAATAGAAACTTCTATTGCATTTGTTCTGCTTTTCAATAAGCTCAGTTATTAATAATTATTATACTTACTAATAATTGCGCATTTCTAAAAAAAAACAAGAACTAGTTTACAAATTTACTGCACAGTGTTTACTAAAGATGTCATGAATAGTGATTTTGCCAAATATCAAATATTCTGTTTGGCACTGGGCCAAAGCAAAGAATATTTTGCTGCCAAATATTCGGTGACACCTTTATTTTTGAAGATTCTGACTTGCTTCATTGAAGTGCATATATTAACTACACTTTGGGTGTTTTTGTTTTATTTATGACTTGGCCTTGATGTAACAGTCAACAAATAATGCAAGTCACAGCACGCATTCTTTGTTGACTGTTACATCAAATTGTTTTATCTATAAATAGTATGTAAGTATATATATAAAAAGTATTTAAGTATCATATTCTTCAAACCATTAAAAAAGATTATAAAAATAACCAGCTCATGTACATCTCCATTTCTCAGGTAATTTCAGAAGTTCCTTTAGATTGATATGCACAAGAAACTCTAAACTTATAAAAAATAGTATCAATGCTACAATCTAAACTGGGTTTAGCTTATACTTTAACTTTAATGGGAATGTCAGTTATAGGATTGCTTTTTTTATTGATGCATGTTTCAAAACTAATTTCAAGGATTAGTTAAAACACAACATGCAAAATAACAAAATTTAAATACTTTGAGAAAAATTAAGTCTGTAAAAGGTTAATCCTGCTCAGTGAAAGGTTGATACCAATGACCGTCACCAGTATCTAGTAGTACCAAATTTGATTCATCTCCACTTAAGATAAAGAAATGTATATGAAAAACAATCAAACCAATCTATATAAAAAATATGCCTAGATATAAAGATGTGGAAAAAGAAAAGTTAAATTGCAAATGAAATTAATTATACCAAACCCTTACAAGTTGCCGCCAGCAAATGCAAAATATTATCCTAACAGAACTTGCTAAAATTTTGTTATTATTTGCCAGTAGCAGTGGTCATAGTGAACAGCTATTTTCCAAAGTATGTATAATTTATGAGGAGTTTGTCATTTGTTATCATCAAACAATGAAATAGTTTTTTCATAACTTACCACCTATAGATTTTAAGTATCAAATATGCCAAGTTTTTTTTCTGTTAAAAAAAAATTGACATATTTGATTTTTTCCTTTTTTTTTTCCTGGTATTTGGTTAAATAATTATCAATATTTAGCTAAATACAGAAAAGTAAATTAAATATTATATTAATAAAGCCATTAAATATTCCTGACATGTTTACAATGACAGTGTTTACTATATAGTTATTTTTACTGTACTTGATTTTTTTAATTGTCTTTCTGCTATTTTTTTGTCAAACAATAGTCGTTACTAAATACTTAAAAGCAGTGCTCAAAGTGAGGCAGGATGGGGTGATATGCCAGCTGGCTGCCTTTTTATAAAATTTAAACTATAGAACAATGATTATATGGTATTTTGAAAATACTAAAAACTGTCCCATTACTTTTTTTTCCTATTTTTGAACTCTGCTTAAAAGGTATCAAAAACACAAAATTTTATGTATTAAATTAATTTAAAATTATTATTAAAATTTGATTGTTTCAATGATTATATAATTTTTGCATTTGTTTTAAAAATCAACATATTTTACATTCTAATACTTTTTTTATAATTTTTTTTTATTGAGTCAACCTACCTAAAGCTGAGGGGAAACTAAAGTCAAGGAAGTTTTTTTATTTTTGTCATTTTAAATTGTAATTACAACCCTCTCTCAACTCATTAACTTTGAAAAAAGAATTTTAATAAACAAGATTGCTGTACAGAGAAACAAGTGCAGTACAACCAGCAATATGGTGGGTTCGAACTTGGAACTTCTCGCTTACAAAGCAAGCCATCTATCAATATACCACATTGGTAATGGTTAATTTACTTAAAACCTATACCACATAAATGTGGAACTATGTGCATTGAGTTTTTAAGTATATATGTATATAATAATAATTAATAGTAATATTAATAATAATATTTATATATATATATATATATATATATATATATATATATATATATATATATATATATATATATATATATATATGTATATATATAATAAACTCTAAAAAATGGTGAATAAAAATGATTTAGTTATATAAATTATATTCAATCCATATTATGTTCAAATCAAGTTCTATAAAGTTTTTTTTTCCCCATGATAAATGAATTAATTTTTTTTTATCACTGCATTATTATAGTTTTTTTAGTAAATAAACTATAATATAATAAACTGGGAGGCTAAATAAGTGGAAACTGGTAAAAGTGGGAAGCAGTTGCAAAAACTGGCAAAAGTGCATATTGACCTTAGTGCGCCAAAAGAATTTACAAACATTGGCATGCTTAGAAGTGCAAACTGGCATAAGTATAAAACAGTTGGAAAAAATAGCATATGTGTGCCAAAAAAATTTGCAAATATTGGCATAAGTACGAACTGGCATAAAAGTGAAGCAGTTGCAAAAACTAGAATAAGTGCGCCAAATAAAATTGCAAATATTAACTTATGTTTTGCACTTATGCCAGTTCACTCTATGCCAATGTTTGAAAATTCTTTGAGCGAACTTATGCCAGTTTCCACTTATGCTGATTCACATTTATGCCAGTTTTTGCAACTGCTTTGCAATTATGCCATTTTGCACATATACCAGTTTGCACTTGTGCCAATGTTTGCAGATTTTTTTAGCGCAATTATCCTAGTTCACACTTGTGCCATTTTTTGCAACTGATTCGCACTTATGACAATTCACACTTTTGCCGGTTTTTGCAACTGCTTCCCACTTATGCCAGTTTGCATTTATGCAAGATCACACTTATGCCAGTTCGTACTCACGCCATTTGCACTTATAAGTTTTGCACTTATTCAGTTGTCCCAATTAATCATGGTGTTATTGATAAAAAAAATATTTGTATAAAAGTACATTGTTAAATCTTATGTAAACCCAATCTTACTTAAATTTTTGATAGTTTAAATTTTATTCGTAGGTTTTTAAATAAAATATTTTCAAAATTTTTCAGAAATAATTTGGTATTTGCATTTGAACACCTAGAAAATTATCAAGCTATTCAGTTTAAGTTCCTGGATGCAGTTCAGTCATTGGATCATAATAATATAGTGGTTTGTTTTTAAGTTTTTATTGATATATAATTTAGAGAACTGTTTAAAAGTTTTTACTACAACAGTTTATTGATGAGAGGTGGATAATTTGCACTAGGGAGAAGTAAAAGAGAGATTAGCATTAACTTCTCAGTTAAAAACCATTGATGATTAATTTGTTTAATAGCCATCTGAACATAATGACAATGAACTTAGATTAGGGTGTTGCTCAAAACAGAGTATTTGTAAAATGTCTTTTTACATCCTCTACACCCTCATTTTCTGTCTACATAGTAAAATACTAAATTAAAGAAATTGCTTTTAAAAAATATTTTAAGGTGGCACATGGCCCTGAAATATTTGATTTGTTACTATAACAATATATATATACTATAACAATATATAAATACTATAACAAAAATTATTAAGGGCACATCAACTTGGGTCTTAAAGTAAGGAAAATTATAATCATAGTTTATAAAAAAAATATTAATCATATTTTATAATAACAATTTAATTATTTTAAAAAAACTTAAAATTTGAAAAACAATAGATTTAGTGTAATATAATTTAAAATATAATTTAAAAATTTTATAAATATTGATTATTTATATAAATTTGCTTCTTTTGGTATTAATTGTTATATGTAGTAACTATGCAGCTGTTGTATGTAGTAATCATGTGACTCTTATATGTAGTAACTATATGATATTGTAGCAGCTGTGCAATTACATGTGATATCTAAAAATCTAGACAAAAGTTTATTAACTATAAAAATATAAAGGAATAATTTAATAAACTTGCAATCACAACTGTTACAAATTTAACTTTTTAGATGTATTAATAACAATTTTTTTTAATTAGTTATATTTAAAAACTTCATTACATCAACATAAAAATGTTTAAGATATTAAATGTAATGTTTATAAGACCCTATCTTGAATTTGAATTTGCGATACAAACATGGTGCCCATACCTTAAATGTGATACTATTGCACTTGAAAAAGTTTAACATTATGCTACTAAATGGATACCCCAGATTCGAAAACAAAGTTATGAAACATAAATTAAAATACTTGGCTTAAGCACTCTGGAAAAAAGATGTAAAGGAGGCAACTTGATTCAAATGTACAAACATTATAAAAAATATATATTGTAGAACTAGATTGTAATATTTTTGCCTCGTATCAACCCAACACAAGGGGCCATAATTTTAAAATCAAAAGAGAAATTGTTTAAAATTGCAATATTCATCATCAATTCTTAATCAATAGAGTCTCATCAATGTGGAACAAACTACCAGATTTTATCATCAAAAATGAAAGTTTAAATTTATTCAAAACTCACATTTATAAATATCTAGAGCTATATGATTTGTAATTTATAAATTTATTCACCTAGAATAATTAAATGTATATGCTGTCAAAAGGAAATTAATTGCTATTAATTGCACTCTTAGTTTTCGAACTACTACAATTTTTTATTATATTATTATTTAAAATGAAAAATATAAGAATAAAATGAAAAATATATAAGAATATATATAAGAATAAAAGCTTTATTGTCAATCACTTTTGGGTAAAAAACATACATATACCAAAAAGAAAAGAAAAAACAATATAGGAACAAAAATAATAGTTGGAAGTGGTCGCAAAACAAAAAATATTTCTTAAAATCAAAAGTGTCTCGAAAAATTGGTTGATCAGAAGCATGTTATTTTACAGTGCGGTCTTGCAAAACCATTCAATGTATCACAACTGTACATTGTATAATTATCAATAAAAGCACTAGTATTCGTTATCATAAAAAAAAACTAAAACACCTAAATGAACATCGGTGCAAAAAGCAGCTGCCCATTCAAAATGCTGTAGATTAGTTTTGATTTTTCGGAAAACAAAAAGATTGCAATTGACAATTAGTCATACTTGTATTTAAGCAACATCAATATTTTTGCAAATACTGGATTCTATTTTTCTGACATAAATGGACCATCAAATGACATAAGGTTGAAAAGAAAAGACTAATTTGAGCCAGAATTTCTTATTTAGAATGCAATCTTGATGAATGGAATCTCTTAGCATTACATAGCTCTATTGGGCCAAGGAGTCAATGAAAATGAGTATAAAAAAGATTTTAAAATATCTTGTCATAATCATAAAAATGACAGTTTCTGGCTTTAAGGATCTTGCTTCTTCGCATTATTTATGTAGAGTGCAAGACTGTTTTAAATCAGAAAAAAATTGAATTTTCAACAATTGTGCATAATCTTGCTAATGTGCAAGAATTACAACTGATTGAAGATTTTTGGTCTGAAAAGCCTTAGAGAAATCATTAGAGTATCAATTTATATGTTTGTTTTTTTTTATTAGGCTCTTTTGAATGCTTACCCTTATCACATTGATTCCCTTTTGCAATTGAGTGAAATATGTCTTATAAATGAAGATTATCAGATGGCATCTGAGTTTATTGGTAATTTAAAAATGTTTATTGGTAGTTTTATAAAATCCTATTAACTCTAACATTCAAGGAACCAGGAAAAATTTTTTTTAAGAATGTGTAAGTTAAACAAAGCTTTATAAGATCTGTTATAAATAAGACTTATATGTATATATGTATTTATGTATATATATATATATATATATATATATATATATATATATATATATATATATATATATATATATATATATATATATATAATTTTTACCATAATAGTAATATTATAATAGCATAAAATTATTTTTACATTAATAGAGCGTGCATTATTTGTATTTGAAAATAACTTTCATCCTCTATTTAACTTTGCACAAGGAAATTGTCGTATGGAATATAGACAGGCTGAAAACAGGTTTTTTTAAAAATCTTTTTTTATGTTCATTTTATGATTAGAAAAATCATTTTTAACTCCAAAACCAAAACCTCCAATGACTGTATTTTTAATAAAAAATGACTCATGATAATGATGATTTTGAAAAAGTCTGTATTATATTTAGTTATTTTTATATTTCTTTATTTTATTTTTAAGTTTCTTTTTCTTTCAACATAATATTTAAATTTTAAATGTTGAAATTGTGATAATTTTTTAAATATATTTTATAAGAAAAAGCAACTAATTTGTTAGCATAAATAAAATAAATTATGAAAAAAATAAGAACATTTTTTCATAATTCATTTCATTAGGCCATTTTTCTTGGCATTATTTCGACACATAAATTTTCTTGGAAATAAAGGTATGTTTTATTGTAATAATAAAAGTCTAATATGGTTATATTATTCACCTATATAATATATATTATTTACCTATATTATATATATTATTCACCTATATTATATCCATTATTCCTCTATATAATGAAATTATTTACAGCTTGTTACAGAACTGCTCTTGAAGTCTGTAGAGTTTTGCTAGGGTAGGTGCAAGTCTGCATTTATAATTTTATAAATATTTTATGTTAATTTTTGCATTTTTACTGAATGAAATTTTTTCTTGAAAATCTTTGAATGTTTGCAGTTTCTTTAAAATCTCTTAGGTTAGATCCGGTAGATGATCCATTGTGTGTTCTTCTTCTCATTGATTTTTATGCTATAAAATCACAACAATATGATTTCTTTATTAAATTATATGATGATTTTGAATGCTCAAGAAATGTCTCTTCTTTACCGAACTGCATCTTCTCCTACGCATTATGCAAATATTATGTTGCTGATAGATCAGAAGCTAATAAACATGTATGGTAATAAATTTTTTTCTGTAAATAATTTTGAAAAATTTAAAAAAAAATAACTTTATTTTAACATTTCCTTAAGAAAATAGTATGGAATTTTTCATTTTTAATTACAGGAGTTTAAAATAAATCTTCTTTCAGGCTAACTTAATTTGTTTATTTTTAAAACTTTTATTTTCTTTATTTTGTGTTTAGCTGATTTATAAAAATAATAATAATAGTCAAGTTCATATATGCAGGGTGTTACCCAGCCTGATGGCATCGCATATAACACTGTATATTCCCAATTGGTTTAAACTTTCCAAAGGTTTATAAGATCGTAGTAAAACAAAAAAAAATTAATTATTTTAATTTTTTTTTAATTGCGCTCTTCTCGAAATACGTTATGAAGGCGGTTTGAAAAACGGCTGCAGTATATCAAAAACAAAGAAAAGAAGCGATTTTAATGAAAACTTTAGAAGATTGCTCATAATGAAACAAGTTGACTAATTAAAATTAAACATATATAAAGTAGAAAAATAATCCTGCTGTAAATGTAACTCCCAGCAAAAATTGAAAATTTATTTTGATTAAAATTTTATTTCAGAATGTAAGGATTTTTTTTTTTTTTTTTTTTTTTTTTTTTTTTTTTTTTTTTTTAGCCGCACCTAAATTCCCAATTTCGCAAAAATGCTGTAGGAAATTTTTTCCTGGGTGCAACCCTAATAAATTAACATATTATAAATAAAAAAATATACATATATAGATAGTAGTTACATAAAATTTGATATAAAGAATTTTTCTTTTTTAATTATGGTAATTATAATTATTATGTTATAATGGTATACATTTTGCTTTTGTTGTTGTTGATAAAGCTAGAGAAGGCTCTTGTAGCATTTCCTTCATTACTTGTTGAACTCATGAACGCGTGTGGTGTTACTCTTGATAAAGAAATTGCTACTCATTCTTTTTTTGATCCTTTATCTTACATTCAACAATCACCTCCACTCAACCAGCTAATCAGTTTGTATGTTGGACGATCTTATTTTATATGGAAAGATCCTGAAATTTTTAATTGGTTAACAGAAACTTGCAAAAATATTATTGATAACTTTAGTGCTTATCGGGATGTCATTTCAGATGCAGAGAAGAAGTAAGTTTTTGAATATTTATGACTATAAAATGTTTAATTTTTATTTTTAGCAAATTTTACACTTTTTTTATTATTAGGAGAGTTTCATTGTATAAAAAATCACCACTAAATGTTGTTCGCCATATAATGATATCAGGTACTTTTTAAAAATTTTTTTATTTTATATATAAATCAATATTTTTATTAAAATCTATTAGTTTAATTAGTTTGTTAAAAAAGAAGTTAAACTAAAATTAACTTTTTAAAATTTCAGCAAGGTTAATATAAATGTCTTAATATGAAATAGCCTGCTGGCGGGGGATTCATTACATACATTGACTTATAGCCTGCTGTCACAAAGGAATGCTGCTGCATCGACTAAGGGTTTGGCATAGGGTAGCAATCTTTTGTTTCATTATTTTTCATTTTTTCAACTTTTTCTAAAAACGCCTTACAAATTAAAATAACAAAAATATGGAAACAATTTTCTATTTAAAAACTTTATAGTATATATATATATATATATATATATATATATATATATATATATATATATATATATATATATATATATATATATATATATATATATATATATATATATATTTAATTTTATTCACCTCCCCAAGGTCGAGAAGGCCACTACAGATGAGGAGGCTACTTGTCGTTATAACCCTCTCTTAACTCTATAACTCCGAAACACGAACCTTGACGAGCAAGGCCGCTGGGCGGAGAAATAAGTTGAGCGCGGTACTACCAGGGACGTGGTGAAAATCAACCTCAGAACCTCAAGCTTTTGAAACGAACGCTCGACCACTACACCACTACCGCATTATATATATATGTATATATATATATATATATATATATATATATATATATATATATATATATATATATATATATATATATATATATATATATATATATATATATATATATATATATATATATATATATATATGTATATATATATATGTATATATATATATATATATATATATATATATATATATATATATATATATATATATATATATATATATATATATATATATATATATATATTGTAGACATTTCTAGAGCTTTTGATAGAGTTTGGCATGCTGGTCTTCTCCATAAGCTCTATTGTTATGGTGAATCAGGTAACATCTTTAAGATTATTGAATCCTTTCTAACCAATCCTAGTATATAGGTTGTCCTCAATGGATAGCACTCTTCATATTCTGTAACATCAGGGGTTCCTAAAGGTTCTATCCTTGGCCCTATACTTTTTTTAATTTACATAAATGATCTCCCAGAAATTCCCACATCTAAGGTAGCATTTTTTGATACAACCATTTATTCTTGTCTTGATAAGAAGCCAACACTCTCTGATTGCTTGGAGGGAGCATTTGAGTTTAACAAGAGTATCGCTTCTGCTGCAGCATGGAGCTCTCAGTGGCTGGTGAACTTTAACTCAGATAAAACCCAATTATTTTCAGCTAATCGTTATCATATTAATCTAGACCTTCCTATATTTATGAATGGTAATGTACTCGATGAGTCATCTACCCTTTATCTTTTAGGATTAACTCTTACTTCCGATTTTTTTTGAAAACCATATATATAAATCGATTGCAAAATTAGCATCAAGTTGCATCTCTTTATCGTGCTTGCCACTCTTACTTAGGATTCTATTCTTTATCTTTATAAATATCAAATCCGTCCTTCTACGGAATACTGTTGCCATATCTGGGACAGATCTTCCAATAATGTTCTTTCTTTTTTAGACAAGATGCAAAAACGCATTGTAAACATAGTTGGACCTACTCTTGCAGCCATCCTTCAACCATTATCATATTGCCATAATGTTGCTTCACTTTCTCTTTTCTGTAAATACTAGAGATGTACCAGAATTCCTGCCGGATTTTTCTTCTTTTAGATCAATTCGCTTCTTGCTGTAATTAAACTTTTTTTACTTTTTTTTTTATGACATGTGACACAGGCTGTGTAAATAAATCAAAAAATCATTATCCTACAGAGCAATGAACAACTATAGGTAAACATAGGTAAAAAATAGAAATGTAAGTTTATTTTCAAAAATAGTAGTACTGCAAATACATTTGCAAAAATTACATTTGTATTTTTTACCTAGTTTTACCAATAGTACTTTATGGCTCTGTAGGATAATGATTTTTTCTCGTTTTACTCATCATTCTCTCTTTAAGTCTCATCCTTTTATGTATATATATAAGCTTTTTCCTCAAAATTTTATAACTTAATTTTATTTGCTATTTCAATTAAATTAAAAACGGAAAAACAAACGTTTTATTTAAATTCTAAGTAAAATAATTGAAATAAAAGCAGACTAAAAAATAATTTATTTAAATTCTAATGAAACCAATTAAAATAAAAACAGCAGAACAAACTTTTTATTTTGAATTCTGAACTAATTGATTAAAAGAACACAACAGCAAAATGAAAATTTACAATTATAAATAGAATGCTTAAAATAAATTTAAAAAAGCCAAACATTTTAATTAATCTAAATAAAATATTATTAAAAAAAACTTTTTTATTCAAATTCTTAAGAAAATATTAAAATAAAAATGGCAAAAAGTTAAATTCTAAATACAAACAGTTAAAATAAAAATGAATTTTATTAATTCTAAATAAAATTGTTAAAATAAAATTGGCAAATTTAATGTTTTATTTAAATTCCTGTAAAATGGAAAAATGCTACATTTATTTTTCAAATTTTTAAGCAAATGTTGATGTTTGAGATTTTGTTTTTCTGTTAATTCATGTCAATTTATGTCAATTTATGTAAACAAATTATTAAATAACACTTTTTATATGAAACATGGTTTGAGAGGTTAAACAAGACCTCTGCCTAGCCTTTCTGCGCATTGACCTTGGTTAACAAGTTTTGTTTCAGGGTTTAGAAAGAGTTGCAAATAATATATGCATATATATATATATATATATATATATATATATATATATATATATATATATATATATATATATGTATATATATATATATATTTATATTTATATATATATATATATGTAATATTTGTATTTATTATATTGTTTATACACTGGTTTTCATTTTATTAATTATATCAAAACCTAAGCTGTGTCAAACAGTGAGCATTTTAAAACTAAAAAATTAAGGTAAAATGTTGTGGCATACATTGGAAAAAAAACTAAAATTAATTAAGGTAAACCAATAGTATTATGATAATAGTCATGCCTAGAGATTGAGACATTCAGTATTTGCTTATGTGTTGTTATTAGACATTCAGCATTTGCTTATGTGTTGCCTGGGTAAGTAGTTTTTTATTAGATTTAATGTTGCTGTAGCTCACTATAGGTAAAATTGACCATAAGTTTTAAAGATCAATGTTTGTTTAAAAACATTCCTGTACTTTTGTATTACTTGATTGATAAGTTTTCCAAATGTTGTAACTCTTGATACAGTTCTTTTTTTTCCTAATAGTTATTGTAAACAATCATCTGATGGGAGTATCACTTTTTTAAAACCTTTTTTTAATTGAATAGTGCGACCTTCTATAGGAAATATTTGCATTAGTTGCTTTAGTTCTTTTATCAGTTGGTGAATATTTGTTGTTAGTAAGTTACAATGAAGTAAGAAGAGTATACGTCAAGCTTTTTACAATTTCTCATAGGAAAAAATATGATTTTACTATTTTTTAAGCATGATCATACTTTTCAATAACAAAATAATTAATGTAAAAAAAAAATTTATAATATTAACATCTTTCTTTTTTAGGTATAAAAGATGCTGTGCGTGCTTTACCAGTTGTAAGTATTTTTAACTATTTTTATCAATAAGTTTTTTTTAAGAAGTTTTACCAGTTGTAGATATTTTTAATTTTCAATTAACATTTACATTTGTTTTACATTTTTTTAAAGTTTTTTATTTTGAGAAATATTTTCAGGAGTTTCGAAACCAATCAGTGTTAGCTTATGATCCTGTTCCTCCATTAAATTCAATTATTGGTTATGAAAGACCACAAAGGTTTTTAATTTTACTATTTAGCATTTATATTTTTGATTTTATTACTTAGCATTTATATTTTACTATTTAGCATTGTAAATAAAGAAGTATTTACAATATTTTTTTCCCTCTTTAAAATAAAAACATGTCATTTATTGCTTAATGTATGACCCAAAAATTCAGATCTTTGTTTTAATATTAATTATGAAATGCCTCGAGAGGATGACATGATGTGTTTTTAGTTCTACTATAGTGTATAGATAGATATGTAAAATAAATATATATTTTTACTTTATATATATATATATATATATATATATATATATATATATATATATGTATGTATGTATATATATATATATATATATATATATATATATATATATATATATATCTGTGTGTTAGTGTGCGTGTGTATGTATGTTTATATATATATATATATATGCGTGCGCGTGTGTGTGAATATATATATATATATACACACACGCACACTAACACACAGATATATATATATATATATATATATATATATATATATATATATATATATATATATATATATATATATATATATATATATAATAATAATAATATTTTAAAACTAGACACATAACTGGTGATCGTGGAGGAAACATGTTTTCTATGTTTTATGAATCTCTGTTTCCTTCCTATAATTTGCAGCAAAACCAAGCTAATAATGCTCATCAAAATGATAATGAGTTTCAAGCTAATGCTAGAGCATTAACAAATGGTGCTCAAAGGCTTATGGATGCAATGAGAGAGCTTATGGCTACTATGACATTTAGGTATTGTACAACTTAAAACTTTTTAACTTTATAATTTTTATGGTTTTGTTAGTTTTAACAGATGTGATCAGTTTTTATCTACTATTTTATTGTTGTTTTTTTTGAGTGTTAAATAATCAGGGTTGCTACTCAATCAGGGAAGACATTTTTTTAAAAGTAACTAGATTTTTAAAAAATGGTCCAAGTTTTTTAAATCAGAGAAAACTGCAGGAAAAAAGTAAACTTGTTCTATACTTTTCTATAAAAAAATTGTTCTTGTAATGTAAATCTTAATAGATTTTTTTAAGAAAAAAAAATTATATGATAAAGGATAAATTGATTGGTTCAAAAATTTATTCATTAAGAATATATCAGCAAGGGGCCTTCAGTTTTAAGTGTTGGTGAATATAGTTTGTGATGTTCCTCAGAGTTCTGTATGTAACATAATATAGTAGCATAAATACATGATAATCTAAGTAAGTGACTTTTCTTTATAATAAATATTAATAAAGAGTTAGACAATTTTTTCCGTTTGACCTTTTGAGCAGTTGTTGTATTGAAATGAACAAAAATCTTTTTGACATAGATTACATATGAATAGATTCCGTTAAAGAATATTTTTATTGTCAGTATGGTGATAATAAATATAATCAACTTTGTTAAATATTTTTTTTATGTAACCATTGACCCCCAGTTAATGCCAATAACTGACATTATTGTTGTTTCAGCATATGGTACAGAAATATTGCTCTACAAGTCAAATGTATAATTTGATTTGTAAAGAATATATGATAATATGTATATATTTTAAAAAGTTTTAACTGGACGCAAATAAAAAATTAATTTTTAATAGTATCAGTTAAATGGTTTTTTAATCATAAATGCATATTGACCCCATTTACTGAGGATAAAAAAAACTTTACAATAGAGTAGGCTGCAAGTTTATTATGAATATGCTCTATTGTTGAAGAACATCACACAGGTTTTATTTGTTTTGGTGGAAAACTTAAGACGTTTGTTTAAAAATGTGTGGTTATTTCTGCAACCCTGATTATGTTTAATGGGTTAAATAATTTAATGAAATTTGATTTTTAAGAACGGACTTAGAGGAGCGACCGCAAGCACCCCCACCTCCAGAAGAAGACCAAGAAGATGATTGGTGAACTATATAAAACCTTAGTTGCATTAATTCTACCAAAGACTAGACGTCTGGAAGTTATCATATTAAATTACAACGCTTCCTTATTTCAATAGATTTATTTGGTTTTACTATACTGAGCAGGGATAATAAACTGAGACATTTTGAGAACTTTTTTTATTTAAAAGATTTATAGATATTTTTGTTTAGCTTTTGTAGCCGTAATATTTCTACTGCTTTGAAAAGATTAACGATTAATGTTTAATTGACGTTAACAAATCTGTATATTTGATTCGCATCTGTATAATGTTTGTTAACGTTAGCAAATCTTTAACGTTTTGATTATTTAATAATCAAGTAGATTGTTGACTATATTTATAAATATCATTTACAAGATATAATGATCGCAGTAAAAAAAGAAACTTCTTTTAAAGAAAACCTTTTTGTTATATTTTTGATAAAAATTCAAAAAGATCTTTAAAGAATGCTTCTGCAGATTAAAGCATAGGATTAAAACATAGTTTCTATATTTGAAATCAAAATTTTCAAAATTAATTCTAATGCAATTTTTAAAGAAGTTTTTTTATAATAAAAAGTTATAAGATATTCTTTTACAGCATATCAATGAGTGCTATTTGTAGAAAGAAAAAGTACAACAACAAATGTATCGTAATAGGCTTTGAATTCTGTGATTTCTAACCATTGTACAGCGGGGGCAGAATTGCTTCAAAATTGGACATTTGACGAAAATGTAAAAAGGCAGTATGGAACATTTTTTGGTGGTAATGTTTAAAAGAGTCTCTGATCTATCTTATCCACGTTTTTTTTTTAGGGTAAAACTGACCTTTAACCCTGTAGAACCCATAATCTCTTCAATTCTTTTGTTTAAAAAAAAATTCGCTCGTGCGAGTCATTTGTTTGTTTTTATTATGTTAAAGCTGAAGTTTGTTAAAAATTCCAAATTTTTTTCAGGGATTTTTCAATTTTAGGTTTGCAGCTATCTTTTGCTAATAAAAAAATAACTTTAAAGTGCTTAAAATATACATTACTAGGTCTTTCAAACAATGTGCTTTTTGTTTTCGTCCTTACTTAAAATCAGTTTCAAATTTTTTTTTATGAATTGCTGATGATTACAGATTTTAAAACTTTTTTTATTGCATTTATTGAGCGCTTTTGTGTGTATTAGTGGTTTTGTAAGGATTTGTTTAAGCAAATTAAAACAAATAGAATTTCTCAAGTTTTCGAGTAACTTTTTTTGAGTGATTTTTTACATTAAATTCAAATTATTGTAATTTATTTTAGTGAATTAATTAGAATATGTTTTAATATTGTTTATTTATGCAAGCTTTTGATTTTTTTTTTTTTTTTTTCTATTATCGGTTAACGGTTTTTAAAAAATTATAGACGAAATTAAAAAATCTATAGAGTAATTTTTGTAAAGTTATCAAGTACCCTTCTATCTATCAAGTATCCTTCTATCTATCAAGTACTCTTAAAATCAAATTTTCAAAATTCAATTGCTCTTAAATTATTTAACTTAAAAATACAAAACAAAGAAAAAATTTTGTCCAGTTTTAAAGCTGTTCTGCCCCACTGCGCATTGTTTGGAAAATTAAGCTAACGAACTAAGAAATAATTAGAAAAAGACATTCGAATTAGAATGCCGTAGGAAAAAAACTTATAAATGTACAAATTACAGTTAATAACATCATAACTGCTGAAAAAGTGAACAGTTTTCTTTGTTGATGGTGGCCCAATCTTGGCTGAAAAATTTTCTCTTCTTTAAAATCTCTCGACAATCTTATTAGTTGAATATAAAACTAAATTGCAAATTTTCTTTTATAGTCTTTATCAACATCCTTTTATAATCGTTATCGACTTTTTATAGTCGCTATCAACTTCCTTTTATAGTCTTATTGTAAAGTAAAAAAAAGTGCAAGACTCGATAATATTAATGTTGTAAAATCAGTATACAGGGTTGTCACTGGGACTTCTTTATTTTAAAAATCTTTATGATCTTTCTTTTAACTTTTGTTGAATATCTTATTATTTTGGAATAAAACAGCACTGTCTAACCTAAATTTTACCAAAAATCGTGACCTATGTCATTTATAACAATTTATAAAGAAATTGCTTTACCAACAAAAAAAACATATTTTCATTATTTTTTTTAATAATGTTAGTTGCTTCGCTGTGTATTGTTTTGTTATATTTTATATGAAGCTTTTCTATTTAAATTATATTTTTATAAATATATAAGTTAATGGCTATATTTAACGAAATATATATATATATATATATTTTATTGAAAAAGGTTTCGTGACAAGATAATTAGGATTGTGCTAAAGTCCTGCTTATATTATTTCAAACTAGCAGTAAGCAACCCGTAATACGCGTTGTTAGTAAATAATATTAAAAAAAAACCGCGTATAGAAAAGCCTAAAAACTACTTTAAAATAGAAAAGCCTAAAAAATGACGTAATTCGACTAATAATATTAAATTAGCGTATTAATATTATCAGATTATGTCTTATTGAAAATATTATTATACGACAATAAAAAAAACTTTAAAAAGTAAACACGTAGTAGTTAAGCTAGCTAATCAAATATCTAAAGCTTTCAGTGAGCCGTAGTAGGATAATAATTTAAAAAAACGATAACCTGCTATCAATACCGTATTTAACCATGTTCATAACGGGAAAATCAGGGGTGTGGAGTCGTAAAAATATGTTACAACTCCGACTCCAGTTGTTGAAATTTTTTGAGCACAACTCCAGCTCCAACTCCAAAGCAACATTTTTGAAAAATTCTTTGAATTCTTAAAAATATATTACTCGATAATTCAAAAATTTCTTTTTTAACAAGTTTAAGAAACGTTCTTTAAGGTTTAGTATGAACATAAGGTTAATTGAATGTTTTGTACATGCACGCGTAATACCGGGAAATATTACTATAGGAGTCGGAATCGCGATTTTGTTTAGCAACTCCGACTCCGCTAAAAATGTCGCAACTCCGACTCCACATCCCTGGGGAAAATGTCGGAAGGCCATCGCAAAAGTTAAGACCATTTTAAAATTAGCAACTTTTTTCTAAGAGCCTATTTTATCTATCAGAACCTTTTTTATTTTATGAAAGTTATCTTTAGTAATTGATTAATGTTTTGATTAAAGACATTTTAAATGCAACTCTTTAATGGCAGGTTAATGTTTAGTGTCGTTGTAGGGAGAAAAGGGGTAAGGGGAACTAGTACAATGATTAAAGGGATTGGGGAGTTAGTACAAAAATTGAGGGGGATTAAGAGGATATATTGTAATTATTATTTATGATTATTACCATGAAAGAAAAAAATTCTCCTGAAAAAAACGGGAGCCCCTAAAACTGCGCCACCTAAGAATTTAGTACTCGTGATAATAGATAAATAGAGCAGCCGTGTAGCAGCGGTAGCGCACTTGCTTCAGAAAAATATGATCCTTGGTTCAAACCCACCTCATTTGCAGATGTCTCTATTTTTTTCTGTTCCCACAAAAATATTAGGATTCAAGGCTATATTTATTAACTTTGTTTAAAAAATAACATTTAGCAGTTTTCTTTAAGGTGGTCAATCTCAATTCAAAACATATTAAATTTTTTTTTTTGTTATTTTATAAAAAGGGATTTTCTTTTATTTCAATCACTGCAGAACACAATTACATTTGTCGAATTTGTACATAAATTAGTCTAATTCATCTTAGGAACGATTAGGGTAGACTTTGCTTTCTTCTGTTTTAGCATGTTGTTTAAAAAAAGATTTCTCAGAAAGTAAACATCCTTTTTTTAACGCCCTTTGGTATTTCAGGTACTTATATTTCAACTAAGGTACCCTACCCTTTATACTATGAATAACTGTATATTGGTTTTTGAGGTGATAATTAATCAATTATCTTGAAAAAAATGCTATGGGCGTTTTTTGTACAGAAAGTTTAAACGCGTTTTTTTATTTTATAAAATACTTTTAAGAAATGATAACCCGATGAATTAATAAGATATGCTCTGTATTTTTATGTTTATTTATACTATGGCTATAAGTTATTAGTTTAGATAGAAAAAAAATTGTATGGATATTATAAAGGAGAGTGATGAGAAAAGTAACCGAGCAATTAACTCTTTTCAATTTTTTAACATAAAATTTAAACGCACTTTTTTTTTTTATTCATATATTTGCCGTACATATAACATTTACAAGTTTCGTAAATAAAAAGTAATAGTTACAAGTCTCGTGAGTCAAATTATATAGTGGAATTTATAATTAAATAGTACAGGCCGGACTTCAAGAAGATCGTAATGATCTTATCACGAAGCCCTTACAATGTGTTTGATATATTATTATGATTATGTTAAATATAATTATATATTAAGTACAACTATGTTTATATATTCTTTAAATTTAGCTCATAATAAAAAACAAACTCAAAATAAGCTCAGTATAAAATATTAGACATAACTAGCAGCATAATAACTAAACTTGATAAGAAAAAATCAAGTGTTTTTTTTGTGTGTAATAAACAATTTTTGATATTTTGTTTTAGAAAAGGTAAGAGTCATTTAGATAATACACATAAACGAGTCAGTTCACTTTGTAGTTGATATATATGTATTTGAATTTATAGTCTTAGAAGAATTCTGAATATCTGTTTAGATTCAGTATCAGATTTTTTAACTTTTTTTTCAAGAAATTTTGATTGCAAATTGAATCTAGATTGCAAATTGATTTATTTTTAGTTACTAGTTTGTTATATAAATAAGGACCCCGATATGAAATTGAGAACTGAGAAAGTTTTGTTTTTTTGAAAGGTGTAATAAAGTTTCCTTTTTCTCTTGTGTTATATTTATTAACGTTATTTATAAAAAAGTTATTTAAAAAATGGTTTGGTACTTGACCTAATTTAAATTTTAGCATAAACAATATATTTTGGTAAATATTAATTTGATAAATATTAAGCACATTCATTTCTTTAAATAAGGGTTCAGTGTGTGTAAATTTGTCTTTATGGTAGATTAGTCTAACAGCATGTTTCTGACGTCGATATAAAGTTTTCAATTTGGTTAAATGCGTACTCGCCCAAGTTATATTCGCATATATGAGGTAGCTATGTATAAAAGAGAAATATATAAGTTTTAAATTACTTTGCGACAGCATAGGTTTTGCTTTATAAAGTAGACCTATGTTTTTTGATATTTTAGTGTTTAAAGCATTTATGTGACTTTTCCAAGATAAATTATCATCAATTATAACTCCTAAAAATTTAGTTTCGTGAGTTCTCTCGATTACTATATTTTCTATTTTTAGAGAGGGTAGAATATTTGGTAGTGTGTTTTTTTGTTGGTTTGAGTGAAATAAAGTGTATTTTGTTTTTTCTATGTTTAGGGATAACTTATTTGTTTTAAACCATATATTTAATTTTTGGAGTTCTATGTTTACATTATCATACAGATCCTTGATGTTTGTCGAAAAGTAAAATAAATTTGTATCGTCTGCAAACATTATAAATTCAAGTTTGCTAGAAACTTTTGGAAGGTCGTTTATATAGATTAGGAACAAAAAAGGAGCAAGAATCGAACCTTGAGGAACACCACAAGTTAATTTTAATAATTTACTGTGTAATTATCATCTGTAATAACACACTGTTGTCTGTTATACAGGTAAATTTTAAACCACTGCAGTGTATGGTTTTTTAATCCGTATTTTTCCAACTTTTTTAGTCGGATTTCATGATTTATTGTGTCAAACGCTTTTGGCAAGTCTACAAAGACTCCTAATACAAACTTCTTTTCATAGATTGATTCACTAATTCTATTGACGAGGTCTACGATAGCATGCTCTGTCGAGTGCTGAGTTTGAAAACCATATTGGTTTTCATTCAGGATTTTGTTTGTGGTTAGGTATTTATATAAACGATTGTAGATTATTCGTTCGAGCAGTTTTGAAAATACGGGAAGGATTGATATTGGTCTGTAATTATTTAAGGAAGATGTATCTCCGGATTTATAGATAGGAATAATTTTAGCTATTTTTAAATAGTCGGGTACAATTCCTGTAATTACTGAAGAGTTAAATATTCGAAAAAAACTTTGATAAGAAAAAAACCTTTGATAAGAAAACGCGTAAAACTCGTTTATTGAGAGATTTTTTATTGAAGTCTTTTGCATTTTTATCACTCAACAGCCTGTTAACGTTAGTATATTTCATTTGGATTCCTATTCTTATTTTATTTAGAATAAAAAACACAAATACGATTTGATTTAAAATATAGCAATTTTCAACTGATACAGCTTTGTCAAAATATCATATTTTAATGGGTAAAAAAGCTGTTTCGTCGAAAACAAAATATCATATTTTATTGGGTAAAAAAGCTGTTTCGTCGAAAACAAAATATCATATTTTAATGGGTGAAAAAGCTGTTTCGTCGAAAACAAAATGGCAAGTCATTGAAATGCATAAAATGAAAATAAACAATAGAGAAATTGGCAGACGCCTAAATATTTCTGAATTCAGCGTTCGTACAACAACAAAAAATTATTTATCAACTGGTAGTGTCCATGATAAACCTCGTACTGGGCGTCCGAAAAAACTGACAGCACGCGATGAAAACATGCTTTACATGCTAAACAGATGTAACCTAAAAGCGGGAGTATCAACTTTAAGTGCAGAAATCAATAGTTCGCTGGTAGACAAAACAGTTAGTCGAATGACTATAAGTAAGTTATTACGCAAGAAAATTCGTTTCATTGTGTAAGAAAGCCTTTGTTGACGTTTACCGATCGCCAAAGACGAAAAAAATGGTGCAAAGAGCGTTTAAATTATTCAGTAGAACAATGGAAAATGATTATCTTTAGTGATGAATCAAATTTCGAAATTATTAACAGAAAAAACAAGAGGTTTGTTCGTCGCAAAAATACAGAAAAATATTTGAAGCAACACCTATTAAGCCGTATTCAAAAAGGCGGTGGTTCCGTCGGCATATGGGATGTATATCAGGCTCAGGCGTTGGCTGTCATAAAATATACGAAGGAAGATTAAACCAGTATGAGCATTGTGACATTTTGGAAAACGCGCTTATCCCTAGTCGCGATTTGTTTCAGGCTGATCAAAACTGGTTATTTCAACAAGACAATTCTCCATGCCATACAGCGCATTCAATCACTGATCATTTCCTTAAAAGTAATATTCAACTTATGCCTTGGCCAGCACGATCACCAGACTTAAACCCAATTGAAAATTTATGGAGCAAGATGGATTATCAACTAACAAAAAAGCAAATAACTAGTCAAGAAATGCTCAAACAAGAACTGACCAAACTGTGGCTTGAAATACCAATCAAGATGATTGAAAACTTAATTTAATCAATGCCAAGGCGAATACAAGCATGTATTAAAAACAACGGGGGTCATATTCCGTATTAATATATTTCGATTAAAAGAAGTTGTAGGGGCGTTTAAACTTTATTGCACTTTCTTCTAAGTAATCTTTTTATTACTTGAGTTTGTTGTTTAATTTCAGAAAAGATTTTGTGTTTTTCTTATTCAAAGTTGTGTTTTTTTCTTAATTAATAATCGACTAAGAATATAAAAAAAAAAAAAAAAACCTGGACCCTGGCTCATGTTTTCTCTTTGTATCACTTTAAACATATCTTAACTTTTAAAAAAACAAGTGCGTTTAAACTTTCTGTACAAGGTGTATAGATATACTTACCCACATACATAGATACACACATATTTGCACATAAATACACACGCGCGTGTATATTCACTCAAATAGCTATGTATACATGTACATATAGATACATATACATATACAGCTTTAAAAATATATACATTTTTTAAAATGTCCAACTAACATAAAATTAAAAACATTTAAATTAAAAACATACGATGCAAACAACGCACTAAATTATATAACAAAATGAATTAAACTCTACAATGCCCAATTAACAATACACAAGAATACAAAAACAAAAAACAACAACGACAAAAAAGACAAACGTCCCTCAATATTAATAAAATTTTACAAAAATATTCTTTTACGTTTCTTCAAAAACGGAGCAAATTTTATATTTTATTTTAATTACTTTTAATTACTTTTCATTTTCGAATGTTTTTCTCGTTTCTTTTTATGTTTTTTTTTGTTGTTGTTGTTAGTTTGTTTGATTTGGTTTTTTGTTTGTTTTTTGCTTTTTCATTTCCTTCTTTTTCTTTTCTTTACTCTCTTTATATTTTTTTATTTTATTTTATTATTTTTTCTTTGTCTTTCTTTTTTTTTTTTTTTTTTTGTTTTGCTTTAATTTATTTATAAAATCGTTATAAAAAAGCGTCCGCCATTGCAGAAGTCTCTGCACTGAGAAAGAAAAAAAAACAGATTTGGTGACATTCAAAATAGCGAGGCTTTTACAGACGACAGCTCTTTATCCGACTAACATTAACTTTAAAAAATCTATATTTATTTTACAAAAAACATTTTTTTTTGGTTATTTAAAGCAATTTTTAATTTAGAAAATAATTCAACTATACATGCAATTAACTAAAAAGTTGACCAAATTACTGTTAGTTTCAACATCAACGAAAAAAATACTTTTAATGTTGATCCATTTAAGACATTTAACATCTAAGGCATACGACACCGTTGATCACTGAATCCTCTTAAAAAAATACAATACGTTGCAAGGTATTCATTAAGGTTTATTATTGGATTTAAAGCTATGATGTATTTCATTAATAAAAAAATGTGTGTTCAAAATAAGTAAAGCAAATATCGAGCATTCTGAGCAGAATGTCACAATGATTGATCCTAAGTCCACTCCTTTTTTTATTTATATAAATGATTTTAATAATGCAGAAGATGAAGTTCTTTTTTTTATTATTTAATAACAATATAACTATAGCAATATAATCAACTATAAGCAGACTTGATATAGAATCAAAAAAAGGCCTGAAAAGTTTTCTCTGAACGTTGAGTAAATACATTCATGTTCCATAAAAAAATATAAAAATAAAATATTCTGATTTTCCCTATACCATTAAGTTTTCAGAAGTTTTTGTTGATGAAAATTTTTAATATAAATAAAGTATAAATAATCCAAATATAGTTAAACAACAAGCATGATGTATTGAATTCGTTCATGTATAAATTCACTAAGTTTAAAACTTATTTAATTTTGTATAATTTGTTACTTATGCTAATATTACGTGAACAAATAAAACTTAAAAAAATCTTTGACTAATCAATGTAACAGTAAAATGCATGGCAATACTTATTACAGGCCTTCCCGTCGCAAATCCGTATTTTTGACTGGGGGCGGACAATCTTACCGAAAGATTTATTTTAGTTTTTTAAAAGCTCGATTTGCGAGTAGTTGATTCTTACAATAAATGGTTAAAAATTGCTGTCTTCCTGAATGTTGAGGAAACTATGACGCTAAAAATAAAGTACGAGTTTTTATGCTTCCCTCCAGTGAAGAAGAAAGAAATCGTTGGATAAATTTAATTCCAAGAAGTAATTTTCCAAATAAACCAGATACTGTTGTCTGTGAAAGACATTTTCCAAAAAATTTTTAACAACTATTATCAATGGGGAAAGTTAGACTAATTGAAAAAGATAAATTAGTAGTTAAAAGATAAAAAGATATCCTCCTTCAATTTTCCAAACATTCCTGCTAGTACCAACTCAAACTTTAAAACCAAGGTCCACTACTAAAGTGTTGTCTTTTATCAGAATTGAAAAGTGTGATGAGTTGTCGCAATATGTAAAAAACGATTTGTTTACATTCATTTATTTATGTGAAGATAATAAAAATCGTAAATTTATTTGTCCTGTAAACAATTTTTGTTACAAATGATGTTTTGCACATCCAATTAAATTTTTTTATGTTAACTGTATGTTTTTATGTTAACCTATGTTTGCTGTTCATATATCAAGCAATTTTAAATTTGAAAATTTTCATGCTGGTGTTCGTTATTTTATTTCTTAACTATCAAAAAAACGTATTACATATCTTGATCGCTGGTCTAAAGTTGAAGAAACTATTTGCTTTTTGAACAACATTGAAATTGATCATTAAAAGTTTGTATTACAAGATCTTATTACATCTATGAATGCATCAGAAGAAGGTAAAAAAAATATATAATGTTGAAACTATAATCAGGTCGTATTGTTATTTTTCAACTTCTTGAAGTTTATACAATCAGGTACGAAAAATTTTCAAACTGCCAAGTGTAAAAACATTAGCGAAAATTACATCTATGACAAAAAAAGTTTCAGATATTGACTTTATTTGTACCATTTTTTTAAATTTAGAGGAAAATCATAGAAATTGTATACTTTTGGTGGATGAAGTTTATGTAAAATCTCTTCTTTTTCATCACAGTGGTTATCTTTTTGAAAAAACAAAAAATAATCCAGAGTTGTTAGCAAATAGTGTTTTGGGTATTATGGTTAAATGTTTAAAAGGTGACCATCTTTTTTATGCAAAATGATACCTGTCTTTTTTGTTTAAGCAAGTATGCTATTTCATTAATTCGATTAAGTCTAGCAATGGAAAAGTAATTTCAGTTATTTGTGATGGCAATCAAATAAGCCTTTATTTCCCAGTGATGCCATATGACGTCATAGCAAACATAGGAAAACATAGCAAAAATAGATAGTATGCTAACCATGTGAAGAAAGTAACTGTGATTGTTTGCAAAAATTATGTGAAAACACTACTTTTACTTATAATGTTAATGACACCTATGACGTCACTTGGAAATAAAGGGATAAATCAAGCTTTTTTAAAAATATTTGAGAGAGTTGAAGGAAAACCGTGGTTAACAAAATATGGTGTTTTTATCCTTTTTGATTATGTTCATCTACTAAAAAATATTGGGAATAACTGGATTACGGAAAAAATGCAGGAATTACAATTTGAAAAAGACCAAAATTTGACTGCCAAGTGGAGTGACCTTAGATGTATCTGAGAAAGATCAGCTAATTATATTATCGAGACTAAATAATGTTGCCATACAATCAAAACCCATTGAAAAATAAAAAGTATCACATTGTTTAAGAGTATTTTTCGATGAAACTATTGCTGCTCTTAAAACTTATTCAAAAGTTATCCACCCTTGCAATATTAATGAAACCATTTGTTTTTTAGAAAAAGTTACTAAATTTTAAAAATTGTAAGTGTTAAAGAAATTTATGGTGATATGCGATTTTTAGATTCTCGTAAGAGAGTTATTTCTGAAGAATTTGACATAAGTTTGCAGTACTTACTTGATTTTGGAGATATGGCATTTAAAATGAGTGGTGAACAAGTTGATAGAATGAAATCTTTAACTAAAGATACAGGTACTTCAATTTGGCATACATGTTATGGAGTCGTCGAGATGTGTAAATATTTGCTAAAAAAACAATTTCGATTATGTTATGTTAAGAGAGTTTGAAAAAGCATTCAGTAAGTTTAAGCAAGGTTCAGGTGAAACATACTTTATAACAGTTCAAAATGTTGTTGAAAAGTTCAACATTGAAAAAGCTAAACTGTTATTGTAATTAAAAGTTGATGTTACAGATTATGCTATTGATATCGAGCATTCTTGTCAAAAATGTGGCTATTTTATAAGTGAAGAAACTTGTGACATTATTAATCAATTACCTGAACTAGAATCATCTTTGTCATTAAGTACAAAAATGGCTTTGTTTTATATTGCAGGTTGTGCTACAAGAAAAGATGTTGTTTGTGAAAATAATTTGTTTAATGATACTGCATTTTATTTTCAGTTATATGGAGACTACAAAAACTATAGACCGCCGTGGATTGAATATACCTCTCGATTGCTGTGTGCAGTGGGTACTTGTTTGTATTATTATTTTTGAAATTGAGAAAAACAAAATGTGCAGAAAGTCATTATGTAATACTTTTATGATGATATCTGATATTTATAACTTTAATATGTTAAATAAACCTGGTTCAATATTATCAAACATATTTCTTAAAAATTGTTTTTTTCACCCAAGTTTTCTGTATGACGATGAGAAATTATTTTGTACATTTTTTTATAACATTATTGATGTATATTTTTCCTCTTTTTCTTGTTACTTGATGTATATGTTTTTTTCCTTTTTTTTCTTTGAATTATTTTAAAGTTTGTTCATTTTTTTGTGATTTAGATTTTAAATAATTACAACTCATTTTTCTGAAAAATATTGTATTTTATTCTTTTTTTCAAAATGTTATATTTAAATTTGATGATTCTTAATAAACACTGCAATAGACATTTTTTGGATTAATACAGTACTTTAAAAAGTTTCAGTTTCAGTAAACTAACTAATAATAGTGGATTAGTTCGCAAACTTTTCTAGTCATTTTTTATCTTTGTCCACCCCCAGTCGAAAATACGGATTCGCGACGGGAAGGCCTGTAGTAATTATCGTCATGGTAAAATGTAACAGTAAAATGTAACATTTAAATTTCCTAAAAAATAAAAAAATATACAGAATATTTTATAACATATCGTTGGCTCTTTTAAAAGAAAGACTAGTTTAAAATTATCTGTCAAAAATATCAATTAGTGTACTTGTAGCCGGGTGCTGAAAAAGAAATAGCCGGTTCCGGCAATCCGGAAAAACCAGCTTATTACCGGGTCAGAATCATGTACTCAGTACGCTTCTAATTTCATCAAATGCAATTTTTATTACTAGATTATTACTACATATTTGCAAGGTTATTATTTACATATAAATATGTAGTAACAACCGTGTAGATCAGATACTTTTCAAATATTTTTGAATTTTTTAAATACTCATTTTTCTTGAGAATAAACTGTCAACTACCTGTAATCTATATGTAGTTAGTTTTTTATTTTATTTACAAAACATTGTTATTTACAAAACCGATTTATACTTTACAGCAAACATTATCCAAACAACACATGTTCTTTCCGGATAAGGAAATACTCGTACTCGAAGAGCCAATTTGACTTGATCACCTCGACAACATATAATATCATTGCAAGCAGGTGCTCTTAAATTTAAAAGATATATATATATATACACACACAAAATTAACTAAAAAAATAAATTTATATGCTGTCATACAGTATAATATATACATATTGTACATACAGTACAATATATACATATATAATATATACATACAGTATAAATACAATATAAAGTAAATAATAAATATAAACAATACAATATAAGGTGAATAATAAATTATATTTTTAAAATGCAAACATTTAAAAGATTCAAAATCCTGTTTTTAAATGTTTTTTAGTTTTTATGTTATGCGCCCAAAAAAACAGTTATACATTTTTTTTTAAATTTAAAAATAATTCACCTGGTAAAAAATGAAAACTTATTTTGCTGTTAATTTTCTAAGAAGGTACAACCCCATAAAAATCTATTATCCAAGTATCGAATTTTAAATGAAATAATTTATATTATCAAATTTTCTAAAATTTTATGAATTTCATTTCATAATTGAAATGAAATTATGAAATACATTTCATTTTCAAAATTTAATAAAAACTTTGTGTAGGGCGCTTATCTGTACGTAATTTATTATGATTTTTTAACATATTTAAGATAGTACAGAAATTATGATTCGAAAAACTTCTGAATGTAAAAATAAATTCAATTTTTAAGCATTTCATTATAAAATTTCATATCTTAACAAGTCTTCGTCCACAAAAATATTTGTGCGTTCTTATTACATTTGTTGAATAGACATTTTTAGCATCGCATAAACATTTTTAGCATCTCGTTGAACAATGAGAGCAAGTCAATTTAAAAACATTAGAAAAATGTAAAAAGAAAAAGTTATGTTTATTTTAATAATAAGATTGAACTTGATCCTGTGACATCCAAATGATCCTGTATTATCCTGTGAGTTTTAGTATGAAGATAAGTTAAATATTAAAGATTTTTATAACGAATCAAAGTCTCTTACAAAAAGTTTTTGCAAAAATATTTCTATTCGGCAATAATTACTAATAAAGGATTTTAGAATCCTTTACTACTAAATAATGATATAAATAATAAACTAACTTCTCGGTAACAAATGACGGAAAAAAGCGATACCTTGTTACTAATATAGGATTTTCGGAGTTAAGTTGAATATTTGTTTTGCTTGCAATATGAAAACAGTGATAAGAGAACTTCAATTTAGAAGATGCAATAATATCTTGAGTTGATTTTAAAGAATCATTAAAACTTTTTAATATTAAACGAGTAGGAAAGTTCATACATTTTTCATTTAAACATTAATTTGAAAATTTTTATTTGTTATTAAAATATCAATTAATGTTTAAAATGTATTAAAATGTTTAAAATGTATCAAAATATCAATCAATGTTTAAAATACATTTAAATATTTAAAAGAACTTATCAAATGCGAATAGTCTCAATGAAAACACGCAGAACCAAGAAGTTTTAATTAGCCTAAAAACAATACAGTTTAAATGATTTCTTAAAAATCAAACTTTGGTCACAACAAAGCTAATATATGGTCACAACAAAGCTAATAATAATGCGCATGCGCATTGTAATATAAAAAAATTTATAGTTTATTGACAAAATTATAAAATTACATATAGTTTTTATTTTAAATTAAGCTTGTTAAATATCTTTTTTGTTAAAAAACTTTAACTAAAAATTTAAATAAAAAAGATACTCAACATCTTTTTAACTGTTGAAAATATGAAGTTAAGTATTAGGTACAAAGATATATAGAACATTTTTTTATGTATAAATAAAGCATTGTAACTTACTTTAGGCATGTAGAAAACGCTTTCCTAGAATTTGTATGAGCAAATTGTATGGGAAATCCCTTAAAAGTATGACCATCAGGCACATTTCTTCTAACAGCATGCTGGAAATCATCATTGGGCATGACTACACCAGTAGACTGTTCAAACTCATAAGCAGCAAGAGCAGGAGAAAGAAGGTAACTAAGTTCATCGTCCCACTGAGTTGTAAGACCCATATCCTAAAAAAAATTTGATTTGAAAAGAACTATAAACACGTAAAAACATAGCTTAAATAAAAAGAACAAAAAACAAAAATTAAATAAAAATCACCATACATTTCTGTGCTGAAAAACCATTGCTCTTAACTCATTTTCAAGCTCATTGCTTTTCAAAATACCATCCAAAGAAGAGGGTATTAAATGAACTAATGGTGCAATATCAGGCTAATATATATATATATATATATATATATATATATATATATATATATATATATATATATATATATATATATATATATATATATATATATATATATATATATATATATATATATATATATATATATATATATATATAATAATTAAAAACAGAATAAAAAAATATTAAAATAAATTTTTTTTGAAAACTTATCAATATAATTTTTATTTTTATTTATTTTACTTTATTTAATCAGTATAAAACTGCAGATTTTACAATTGTCACTTTGCTAAAGATTATTCTGTTTGTTGCATTGGAAATTTTTTGCAAAATGTTTTACAAAAAGTTTCCACCGATTCTTACAACTTCTTCAATCATAAATGAAATCATAAGATAAAAAAAGTATTTGATGATGATGATGATTGATGATGATAATAAGGTGCTTAATAAATAAAAATATAAAAATGTTCAAACTTACTATGATATGATATCACATTACCTATTTTGTAAATAAATAAAACTACTGGCTTAATATGGTTTCTGAAATGAATAAAGATAAAGACATTTTTATGAAAAGGTTCAGGCATCCAAATTATTCAAGTAAAAGACATTACTGGCCAAACTCGGGTGATAATTGCTGGATGGCAAAACTAAATGTCTCTTATTTAAACACTTTTTTTTAAAGTGTCATGTTGGATTTCAAATGTAGCAAAATTTTATGGAAATTTCAAAAAATTATAATTAATTATAAAAAAATTAATAAATTAGATTTAAATGCATAAAAAATGACATTTATTAACTAAAAATGATTTATTATTTCTACCAATTATTTTTTTTTTAAATAAATTTTTTGTAATATAATAACCATTTTTTAAAATTTTTATATAATTTCATTTCATTCGAGACTAAAATAAAAATAAAAACTTTTTTTTGATAATTTTAGGGATTCATTAAATGTTCAAGAGTCTCGGGGGACCTATACAAATCTTTTTATCTAAAATTTTTTAATCCAGTGTTATTTTAATATATATAACATATTTAGATAGTACGTAAAATATTTTAAAAATATTGTTGCTTTTTGGGACACCCTAACCTAGAGGTAATCCAGGTTAACTTCTGTAATTGAGCGAGTAGTAACTTCTCAGTCTCCACTGGGGTACTGGCTAATTCCATGCCAAATGACTAAGGTCATGTCATTATATCTCAGATTTTGCTGATTTTATACAGTTGAAAGTGCTTAGTAAAATAAGAATTCCTTGAAAATTTTAGTCTCGGGCTCCAAGAAGATCCTAAACAATGACTGTTTTACTTTTAGCAAATATTGGCCTGACCCCTCTTGTCCCCTCAGAACTGCACCTTTTATTTGGAGGTTTTAAGTCACATAACTTGACAATTATTTAACTTTTTTACTTAAAAATTTGTAACTGGCTATTTTAGGGATGACGAATGCAATGAACTGATAAGTGTAAAAATTATTAATTACCTGTAATATCAATTTAAAATAATTTACTCAAAAAACCCATGTGGCCATGAAAATATCAAAAAAAAATATTATTCATTAATCTATATTCATTGATCTTTCGAAAAATATAAAGATTTTGATCTGCAAGTTAATGGATTTCCATATATAAATATTGAGGCACAGTCCCCACTTTTTTGTAGCGGAATATTGCTACAAAATTGATTTTTTGCTAGTTTTTAGACTAGCTAGAGCTCGGAACATTTTGGAGTTTCTGTAGTGCTAATATTGTGCATGTTAATTTGTTTTCAGGGCCCCAAGACATTAGGAGTAGGGACGGGGGGGGGAGGGGAGGGGTTAAGGGCTAATGTCTCTACTTTTTGTAGAATCTTGCGATAGATTTTTTATTACCTTCCAGACAAACTTGAAATGTCTGAAAAAAACTGAAATAGTCAGCATTTAGGTAGTCCTGATGAATGCATGTTAAAATTATTTTCAGGGCAGACAATCAAGGGGTCCATGGCCTGGGGCACTGGGGCCATGCATTTCTTATTTTCTATATATTATTGAAAATGGAAAAATATTTTTTTTTTTGCATTTTCAATGATATAAAGATAACTTTGAAAATATAGTTTTCAAAATTTTTTTCGTTGTATTTAATTAATTACAAAATAAAATGCAAAAATATAAAAATAGTATTATGATTTACTTGGATGTGTCAACAGTCAAAGTATATATACATCAAGCTGTTGTTACAGGTACATCAATGGTGGTGCATAAATGTTACCATAACATCTAGCTCAATATTGTCAATTTCATTTATCATACCAATCCAATAAAACATATCATATTTACACATAAATTTACCAAATTTCAATCTATTGATGTTAATTTACTGATTAGGTTGAATACTTTGAATACCAGAAAAATATGCTATATTAAAATCTTCACTTGTTTGTTTCAAGCTAACAGTATCTATAGATTCTGGGTTAAATTGATAATAGCTTCTAGTTCCAGCAGTTGCTCTACTTAGTTGAAAACCTTTTTTCAAAATGGTGTGCAATTCTGTCAGTCTTTCTTTTTTCAATCTTGAAAAGAATAATCCCTTAATCCCAATATTATTTGTACATTTATCAAACATTTTAATACAATTCAATATCTGGTCAATTATGGGCCTTTGTAGACTTGTATATACAGTTAATTGTTTCATAGTGTCACTAATACCATCACATGGTGACTTACCATGACTTTTAGCAAAAAATGTCCACTCTGCTATGTCAAAATCAGCTTTATGAAAACAGATATTTTAAAGGTTTTTTGTGGTTTTTATACTGTGCAGCAAAACCATCTGAAAAATAAAGAATATTTGATATATTAGGATTATTTTCGTTTAAATAATTAACTATTTGTCTGAACTTCATACAAAAAACCAATGCCATGCTCATTATCCTCTAACATGAAGCAAAATGATTTTTCTTTCACACGTTCATCAGAACTAGACAAGTGCTGAAATTTTTAAGAGCTCAAGTTTGTTGGGAATGTGATCTACCACAAGATTCCACTACAAAAGTGTGGGAGGCAAGACCCAGCCCCCTCCCTCCTGTTGTCTTGGGCCCTGAAAACAACTTTAACATGTACATTCATTGCCATTACAAAAATGTTAAAAGTTTCAGAGTTCCAGATAGTCTGGAAGATAGTAAAAAAATCAATTTCAATACTCTAATTCAAAAAAGTGGGGACCATGCCCCGTTATCCATATATAGAAATCCATAGACCAAAATCTTATATCTTTCAAAAGATCAATGAATATAGAATGTATAATATATATTTTTTTGATATCATCAAGGCATGGGTTTCTTGAGCATCAAAATCAGGTATATAAAAAATTGCCTAAATTTATTTAAATTGATAAATACCGGTACTTTAAAATTTTTTTTAAATTTATGATTATTTCATTGGATTTGCCACCCCTGAAAATAGCCAGATACAAAGCTTTTAGGGAGAGACGATGTATTGTTTAACGATGAGTTGACCAATCGTTTTTGATGCATTGAACAACTCATTGTGTTTGATACATCGCATGCTATAAGTTGTTCAATGCAGCGCGCACGGTTTATCTAACAAAAATGTTAGATTAACTGTGATAACTTACATTAGTAGTTTTTTAATTTATGATTATATTCCTTAAGATGTCTTTACATTTCACATGAGAAAAAAGTAAATAGATTGTATAATGTAATATTGAACATAAATCATTAAATTAAATAAATCGTTAAATATATTGTTAATCGAAATTGTTAACTTAAATGCCTTATTAATAAAACACATTAATAAGATACTTATCAAAAAGACACATATAAGTATTGCTCATTTTAAATACTCCGATCATTCAAAAAATACATATCAGTAAACATTTTCTACAGCAATCTTTTACTTCAAATCTACAATCAACAAGACATACAACAAGAAAAAAAATCAATCAACAAGATAATTTTTAAGTAGTAATCAACAAGATTTTAAATTTTTAAATAGTAATCAAGATAATTTTTAAGTAGTAATCAAAAGTAATCAACAAGATAATTTTTAAGGCTTTTTAATTAAAATATTTCTGTTAGATGTATGATGTACGAATAAATACCTAATATATTTACTTACTAAAATATATAAATAAATATATGTCTATAGTAAGATATATCATTTACGTCTGATCTGTGGACCAACAAGACCACCGATGCAGCATACATTGCTATGACTGCACACTACATTGATTCGGATTTTCAAATAAAGCGTTTTTTGATCAATATACAACACTTTACTGGCAAACATTCATCAGAAGAAATTGTAAAAAAATTAGATGGCTTCACCTAAACTTGGGACCAAATGTGCGCACAACGACCCCATGCAACGGTGGAGCAAATAAAAAGAAAGCCGGAAAGGATTGTGTTATAAATGATGTGTTCTGGTGTGTTGTTTATAAAATAAATTTGATAGTGCAAAGTGCTGCCTCGAAATGTGAGTTGTGGAGAGATTTGAGTGATAAAATGGTAGGACTGGTAGGCCTTTTCAAACATTCTCAGAAGTCGAAGAATTTACTAATTGCTGAAGCATGGAAAATTCCAGATACCACAATTACAAAACTAGTTCAAAGTTGCTCAACCAGATGGAACAGTGAGCTCCATCAATTACAATCAATCAATAAGCTACTGCCTGCCTGTATTCAAAATTATAGCAGAAAAAGATGTTTCACAAAAGCTAGTCAACAAAATATCAGACGAAGAGGAGATTGAACAATTGAGAACAATGATTCAACTATTGAAAAAATTTGAAGAAGTCTCCAACCTTGCAAGTTCAGAGAACAAGGTCTCAATAGTCCATGTCATTCCAAAACTCTTTGATTAGGAAGATGAATTGCAGTCAATATCATATGATCCACCCAATCCCATGATAAAAGAGGTTGTTTAAGAGATCATTACTTGTTGAAAATGAATGACAGGTTTATCAAATGTGGAGCTACAGTTTTAGAATACAGTTTTAGGTACAACATGACTAAGATATGATAAGATATCCATATGACTATATATATAAATAATTGGAAAAACCAATTATTTATATATCATAAACTTGCCCGCTTTGCCAGGAGACCATTGACAATTCCAACAGCTTCCTCCAGCTCTGAATGAGTGTTTCCCACAAATGGAAATATCTGTGGTGACAGGAGAACAAACTGGTCAGCATTCAAAGTTGAAAAACTTGTTTATATAAAAGAGAACTATAATATATATATATATATATATATATATATATATATATATATATATATATATATATATATATATATATATATATATAAATAAAATATATACATATGAAATATATATATATATATATATATATATATATATATATATATATATATATATATATATATATATATATATATATATATATATATATATATATATATATAATATATATATATATATAATATATATATATAAAATATATATATATAAAATATATATATATATGAAATATAATATATATATATATATATAAAACTATAAAAAAAAATAAAAAAAAGACAGATGAAGAAAATAAATGATGTGAATGAAATGATGTTTTTCCCACTGTTAATTTTCTCTATTATTGTAGCACAATAACAAATAACAATAACCAAATAAAATTTAAGTTTTGAATTTAGCTGTTTTATATTTTATATTTTTTCGATGCATTGTTTAACAATCCAGTCTTCTGATGCATTGTTTAACAATGATGGTTATTCAATGCATTGTTTAATGATGGGGGTTTTGATGGATTGAACACAATATACTGAACACGATGCATTGATGTATTTAACGATGTATGTTATATGATACACGCCGCTTCCTAAAATTTTTAGGTGAAAATATAAAATTTTTTTAAAGTTGTGTAACATGAAACCTCTAAATAAATGTTGAAATTCTGAGGGGACAAGAGGGGCCTGGCCAACATCTGTTAAAAGTAAAATGGTCATTTTCCAGGATCTTCTTTGAGCTTGAGGCTAAAATTTTAAAGGAATTTTTATTTTACTTTGTACTCTTAACTGTATAAAAATCAGCACAATCTGAGATATATCAATTGACATGAAACCCTACTTCTAATTATTACTTATGTTCCATTGATGAATTGCAATACTATTATGTCCTATAATATCTACTATATGTTTATCTACTATATGTTTCCTTCTCAGATTATTATTCACTACTGAATAACAATCTAAAAAGACATGGAAACATATATATATATATATATATATATATATATATATATATATATATATATATATATATATATATATATATATATATATATATATATATATATATATATATATATATATATATATATATATATATATTCCATTCAAAAGTTAGCATCTGCTAAAAATATATTTGCTCCAAGCAAATATATTTTTTAAACTTTATATTTCTTATATGGCTTTGTATGAAATGCTGTTTTCATATCTGGACTGGTTTTTCTAATGAGGTCCTTTCTCTTATAGAAAAGTCCAAAAACACATTTTAAATGTTGTTGAACTCTACCTGCTGAGCTTGAGTTTCTTTCTTACTATTGTAAGATAGCATTTATTTCATTTTAATACAAATATTACTATGGTGCAAGCAAACAATCATCATTATTTAAGTTTTTGTAAATGTAAAATTGAGTTTCGAGCAAGACATGTATTTATACACACAAATACTTATGTGGATTTGTTCATGAAACATCATAAATGACAAAAATTGAAATGTAAATGACAGTATGAAGTATGATCAGTATTTATCAAGAGTTTCAGTTTAAATCTACAAAATAGCAAGAATCAATGAATTCTTTTTTTTCTTAGTTTTTTTTTTTCCCCCCAAATAAAGTCAGTATTAAAGTTAGAAATTAAAGTGTGCAAAGTAACAGCACCTGTTTCAAAATCTAAGATAGCAGTACCTGTTTTGAAATCGAAAAAAAGGAAAAATTTTGAAAAATCGAAATCAAGAATTAGTTTTAAACCATGGAATAAATTAAAAAGTTTCATAATCATAAAATAGGTTTTCGAAATCTAGCAAGATGTAGTTATTTTGAAATGGAAAAAAAAAATTGTTGAAAGTACAAAAACAGAAATAATTTTAAAAAGGCTAATTTTCTTGAGCTGCAACTGTGCAAGCATTATTTAAAGTAAAAATTTATATGTTCTTAATTTATACAGAGCAGTAGGGCTTCAATATTTTTCTTAAATTATTCTTTTTGACTGCCCAACCCAATACCTTTTGTACTTACATGTACATTTCACTGCCCTTGTCCCTACTTTTGTCAGTCAATGTATGAAAAATCCAATACACACCTTTGAGCTGCAATGCTTACATACTTTTTAAATAGCTTTTTTAAGTTATTCCTATTTTCACATTTTGGGCATTTTACCTTACAGCTTTCTGAAAGAAGTCTCAAACTCCATTTCAAAACAAGTATTTTTCAAAATTATCCCTTTTGTTTTGAAACAAATGCTGAAATTTTGATAAGTTTTAATAACTTTGATAAGTCACTTTTAGAAACTATTCCTTTTTTCAATATGGCTTTTTTTGAAAAATGCTTACTGTGCAAAATTTATGAGGAAACCTTAATTGCTATTTATTCTATTCAAATTCAATAAAAAAAACTAACTTACCATTAGGCCGCGACCACACACAGATTTTATTGCATCAAAACTCATTGACTTCCAATGTGCTTGATTGTGAATATCAAAAGAACACATGCTGATAGCATCAGTAGGCTTAATTTAAAAAAGCATGAAATGTTGTAAAAATAATTTATCCGAAAAATTAAAATAATATTAATCAATATTTATAACAATGAAATCAATATTTATTGTTTGGAATTACAGCAACTTTATTATACTTATTTTTACAAAGATTTTACAATTTGGAATTATTTTTGCATAACTTTTATTTTATTTTATATTTTATAAAATAAAATAAAAGTTATGCAAAATATTGATATTATAGAAAGTCTAGCTTAAAATAGTTTTAAAACTATTTTAAGCAAGACTTTCTATAATATCAAAAGAATGCATCTCAGATTGTACTATTAGTTACAATTATTCTTATCTGTGTTGATTAGTAATAAAAAATATTATAACTAATAATTTTTTCCCTTTATAATTATTAAACAAAAAAAATTACAAATTTTCAAAATTAATTATAAAATAAAAAACGTAAATACTATTATATTTACTTTTTTAAATTTTAAATGTATTTACTGTATTTAAATATATTATTATATTTAAACAAGAGATACTAATTAGTAGTTTAACTTAATAGTTTAATTATCCTTAAAAGCACCTCATTTGTTCATGCCCCAATTATACTTCAGTTTGAATTGTGTACGCTCACACACACACACACACACACACACACACACACATATATAATTACAGTTTTAATTTTAGGGTTGAAAATATTAAGGCAAGACTGTTATATTGTCAATTGGAGAAACTCATTTCATCAATCTACAGATTGGAAAAAGTTAACTTATTTTAAAACTATTTTAAGCAAGACTTTCTATAAAATCAAAAGAATGCATCTCAGATTGTACTATTAATTTGATAACAATTAAATATTGAAAAGAATCTAGTTCTTCCAAAAAAATTAGGATTTTGTCAAACACTCTAAATAACTAAAATAAAATTTTTATACAAATTTTTCACCATACTAAAGGTGCTCAGTTTTCCTCGAAAAGTGGTTCAATTAAATTTTACTAGAATGTGATACATCCAACTTTTCTACTTTAAATTAAAGAGACATTTATACTTGATGCAATTTTCTCTCCAGAACTTTATTTACTCATGAAAATTGAAGCAGAGAAAATAAGTGCCTTTTATAAAGAATCTAATAATGCTGACTGCCGGAGAAGTTATGGAATATTTGGCATGGGGTAGATTGTACGGCAGAAATTCTAACAAAAATCAAAAGTTTTCTACACAATTTTTTTTTGCCTGATATGTAAGAATTTATCTTGGATAGTTTTTCTTCTTACCATCCAGATGTTAAAATCATTTTCTTCATGAATGTTTTTGGCATTACTTTACTTATGTTTATTTATTACAGTAAAACCATCTAAAATAAAATTTTGGTTGATTTCACACACATCATAAAAATTTACATTGAGTAGTAAGTGTGCTTCAGAATAAGACTCCAAAAAGGTTATGGTGTTACAGGCCTTGTTTTAAATAAAAAAGTGCTTAATGCATTAGCTTAACACGATTTTGACGTCATAAAATTATCTTTATTTTTTTTTATAGACGTTAAGTGTTTTAACTACCGCAATAAATAAATAACCGCAAACTAGTTCAATTTAACAATTTACTCAAATAACTATAAACGTTTTAAATATAAATTTATTATGAAAATTTTATAATGTTTTCAATTGTTATTTTATTATTAATTTTAGTTTAATATTATTTAGTAATATATATATATATATATATATATATATATATATATATATATATATATATATATATATATATATATATATATATATATATATATATATATATATATATATGTATATATATATATATATTTTTTTTAATTATTTCTGAAATTTGTTTTTGAATAATTGTTTTTAATCGTTATTGAATAAAAAATAATAATGATTTTTTTTATTTTTAAAAATTTCTAGAGTAAACAAAAAATATTAACATTGATAAACACAAACCTATGTTAATTATTTAAACAACGATTTTGTTTTGACTAGCAAAGAAAAATTTAGGTTTTTAAATATTTTTAAAATTTATCTTGCTTAGCGTTTCAACTTGCGTTTTATAAAAATATAAAAAAGTTTTGTCTGCTTTGAGCATATTTTTGATACATAGTTTAGAACCCGTTCGCCAGGAATTTAATTCATAAATTTTTTATGTTGTTGTAAAAATATTTTACTTTTTAAACAAATCACAAAGAAATAGAGCTATAGAGAAATATCGTTTTTAACGATTAAATCTTTTTTTTTTTAAATTTTAGGAAATTAAAAAAAAAAATTAAATTAAATATAAAAGTCTTAATTATGCAAACTCTTTTGTTAATTATTCTTAAAACAAAAAACAAATACTTAAGTATAATTTAAGAAATAATATAAGTATATTTAATAATTTGAATCGTGTCTGTTTATAATAAACGTTCGTAAAAATTTGTTTACTAAATATTAAGTTCCTTAACTTATAAACAAACTCAAAAGTATTTTCATTCTACGTATAATTACAAAACTCTTTTTTTTTTTCGTTTTTAAGCAATTTAACTTAATAAAATAAAAAAAAGAATAAATATGAGGTAATCTTTGTTAAGAATAAATTTAATTTATTTATTGAACTATATTTTTATTTTTAATTATATATCAACTTAATTAAAATATAGTAACATGTTAAAATATTTTAACATGACTTATGTTATTTATAAACCATTGGGCAGTTGCCCTTACGGCACCATTGTTTTTGGATAATATTTTATTTTGATGAAGATCACATAACTTACATTTGATTTTAATAACGTAAGTCTTCTCTTTTTCTGTGATCATCGCATCGGCAAAGTATCGGCAAAATCCCGAGATTTAAAAGTTTTTAAAGTAAATCTTCTGTCCTTCAAAATACAATCCATATTCGAACTTTAAACAATTTAGAGATAATAGAAATATACAAGGTTTTTATATACTCGTTTGTTTTGTTTTATAAAGAAAAATACATATTCATTAGTAAAAAATGGAGACTGTCATTAAACTAAAACGTGCCTTAGTATTTATTTAATGGAACCTGTAATGTGCGCGTGCACAATAAAACCTCCGTTATATAAATATATTCAATGTAATATTAGTGTCATCAGCGGATGTTGTAGTCTACTCATGATTTCTTTACCTTATAATATAACTTGATTTATGAAAAAAAAAATTTATTGAATCGCACGCAGAAGAAATTTAACAAATTGTCTTCATTCAAATATTGTGAGTAACAGGAAATTTTTTTTCTGTGCCGACCCTCTCCCCCTGCATAAGTTAAAGGTAAAGGTATCTATATACCTTTAACTAATAAGAAAAGCAAAGACATTTTTTTTAATATCTCGAAAAAATGTCAAGACATTTTTTGAGATATTAAAAAAAATGTCAATTCTTAATTACAAATTTTTTTGCAAATGTTCTATATTACAATATTAATAATCTATATTACAAAAAACTTTTATATTCTGTATTAATAAATATGGAATATAGATTTTTTAAAAGTTTTTTTACTGAAAACTTTAAAAAATTACTACTTTTTATTAAAAACATTGCAAAAAATTTGTAGTTAAGGATAGACAAACAATTTTTCATGTTGCTAAATATTTGGATAAAAAGTTTAGTGTCAAATTAAGGAAAGATATATCGCGATGAAAAGTTACAACAATTATTTTAAAAGTAAATTCTTTTTTTAAATAAATATCTTTACATATCATTATTTAAAAGCTTATGTGTTTTTTTTGAAAATTAATTACTTCTTTTATGTTACCGCTAATTTAAAAGTTAAAAAATGATAAAAAGTAGCTTAACCAAAACAGCTCTATGCGTACGTAAAAATTGCTTAAGGCGTACGTAAATCGCTCTAGGCGTAACGCTTTAAAAGAAGGCGTGGTGTTACCATAGCAACATATAGATATTAAATAAGAAAGTTAAACATAACTATTAAAAAAATATAGAAATAAATCTTATTAAATTTAAAATTATATGTGTATAAAGTGGTGGCTTTTATTTAAAATGTTAACTTAGAAAACTATAATTTAATATAACTAAACTAATAAATATAAGACTACAATCAATTGCAATCTTTCTATGAAAGAGAATGCGATTAAATGTAGATTTAACTACAACCTTCCCATTAAATTCAAGATCATGACAAAATGATGTTCATAAAATTGTATGATTTTCTGTCAAATTTTTTGCAATTTTTTCCTAGCATGGTGAAGATCTACAATTTTACACACTTAAGTATAGCTCTGGTAGGAATCCTAGCTTCATCCCAAAATGTAATACACTCTGACATAACATGACAAGATTTACATGATATGAATGACAAGATTTACACTTTCACTATTCAATTAAAATTTCACTAGTCAATTTAACTTTGCAAATGTTAAAAAAAAAATACTGCATGAACTTGACGGTAAGTATCTGTTATTTGATAATTCAAGTCACTAATTAAGAAAATACATTTTTTATTGCTTCATAATTCCACTAAAATCTTTTAAATGTAAAAGAATATGTGTTAATCACAAGAATAACTGAATCAGGGTTTTCTAAAAGGGTTTTAAACAAATTATCAATTAAGATAATAATTATCTATTTACACTTATTTTTCAACATTTACATTTATTAATTTTGCATCAATGTGAAAACTCCTTTAAAAATATCTGTCCTCTTAAAGTAAACTGAGAACAAATGACACAAGAATATTATACTATACTTTAATGTTAGGTGTAAGGTTAATGTACAAAATATAACAATTTTATTTGAGCAAAACAAAATAAAATTTAAAAATAAGATTTGAAATATATTTTCAAATTTTATTTCTAAGCAAAAGCAGTTGTTTTAAATTTAATTTTTATTTGATATAAAATTTCGACAACAAAAATTAGCCAAAAGGACTACAAGTAAATAAAAACAATTCACTTTAATTTTTTCAATTAAACACTTTAAACATTTTAACAGATTTTATATCTATTCAAAGTATAATGAATACAAATTGAATAAACCATGAATGAATATTTTTATCAAAATAAATAAATAAAAATAGAAGTTGTGTATAAAACAAAAAAACAGTTTACAACAGGTATTTAATTACTTATATTAATTATTATACATTTGTCATTCATTTATTGTGTATATAACTATGTTTACTATTTACTAAAAATTTGTAATAGATAGCTACCTGAGAATTTGCATAAAAAGTTTCATGATTAAATAAGCACCCTATAGTTACAAATGGGTGTTCTGGTTTTTCTATAAGCACATTAGACTCATTTGGATCCACAGCTTTATGTAAATATCTGCAAAGAAAACAAACAATTAAATAAATTATATTAATAAACATTTGACATAATAAAAAAATTTTAGAGCTCATGCCTTTGAGCAGTTAAACTTTCCCAAAACAAAATAGTGTCATCTGTTCCTATAGTAACAACCCAAGAATGCGGAGAGTTATTTTTTTTTGTTCCAATACACACAAAAGCATTTAATCCAAAACCAAGCAAAAGTGAGCATAGCAATACGGAGTGATCTTCAACATCCTGTTTTTAGAAATACAAATTAAGTATAATTTTTTCTATAGTTATTTTATAATTATACTATTATTATGAAAAACAAAAACATTTGGGAGTAATTAGTCAAAATTTTAATAAAATAGTGAAATTGATTGGCTTAAAAGTAATTAGACATTTTTTAAACTACTTTATCGGAAGGCATTTTTTTATAAAAACATTCCATAACCAATAATTTCAAATGGCACATTTATAAATATTTACAAATGTTAAATATTTAATTGTAAATTTACAAAAGTAAATATTTAACAAAGGCTGTGAAAAAATTAATTATACAAGCATCTGTTAATAGTAAGACTGTGCAACAAATTCCAATAGAAATGAATATTCCAAAATTGACAGTTGGCTATACATTGAAAGTATTTTGAAAGTCAGGAAGAACTAATGTTTATGTTGTGAGAACGTCTAAGGCAGATTTACACAACAATGATAAAAAAACCCATAGCAAGTTTACACAGTTACATCAAAATTATGCAACAGTAAAGTTTGCTGAAGACATAACAACCTTTTTGACTGCCTTCCCATTAAAAAAATGATTTGTTTCTGCAAAAAACCATAGAGAATGACTAGAATTTGCTAAAGAACATTAAAATTGGTCAAAAATACTATGGAGTGATGAGTTTAATAATGAAAAGAACAAAATGTTGCATGGTTGGACTTTCCAACGTGACAACAATCCGAAGCACACATCTAAACTAAAAATCCGAAGCACAAATCAAAAATTCTGAAGAGCGATCTGATTCATCTAACTACCTTCACATTAGTCTTCTTCCTATCATAATCAAGATTTTTGAATCTTTAATTAAAAAAAACCTAATCTCCCATTTTGAATCTAATAACTTACTTTCTGATCATCAAAATGGATATCGATCTTCTCGTTCTAAAGCTAATTTGCTAACAGTAAAGGTAAAGAGATTAAGGCCATCTTCTCCATAAGCTATATTCTTATGGTGTATCTGGTAACATCTTTAAAAGTATTGAATCTTTCTTTTTCAATTGTAGTATAAAAGTTGTCCTCGATGAACAGCACTCTTCTTCATATCCTGAACTTCAGGGGTTTCTCTAGGTTTAATCCTTGGCCCTATACTCTTTTTAATTTACTTTTTTTTTTTTAAACATCTTTGCTTCCAACAAGGCTGCAAGCAACCACTATTTGAGTTGGAAGTTACTGGAAGAGAAAAGATGAAGATTATAGAGCAAGATAACAATTGACAGATGACTTGAAAGATTGCAAATTATGTGAATCAGGAAAGTAAGATAAAGGAAGCGAATTCCAAAGAAATGATGTTTGAGGAAAAAAACTAGAGGAATAAAAGTTTTTGGAGCACTTAGGAACAATCGCAGAAAAAGGATGAGACTTAATTGAATGGAGAGTAACAGGAAAATGAATTTTAGTAAATGGCACAAGAGATGCTAGCTCTTTAGAGCAGTGCCTGTTATAGTATTTGTAGAAAAGAGAAAGAAAAGCAACATTACGAGAATGTGATAATGGTTGGAGGTTAGCTGCAAGAGCAGGACCAACTATGTTTATAATGCGTTTTTGCACCTTGTCTAAATGAGAAAGAGCATCATTAGAAGATCTGCAATGTATTCAGATATGGCAACAGTATTCCACAGATATGGCAACAGTATTCAATACAAGGCCAGAATTGAGATTTAGAGAAATAGAGAATAGAATCTGGAGTAAGAAAATGTCAAGCTTGATAAAGACAACAGCAAATGCTAATTTTGCAACGGATTTAAAATACTGATTCCAAGAAAGATCGGAAGTAAGAGTTAATCCTAGAAGATGACTCATCAAGTACATTACCATTCATAAATATAGGAAGATTCATAAAAGTGAGTTTTAGAGCTGTACCCTCATTAGAAGATAATAGAATAAGTTGCCTAGTCATAAAAAAAGAGACACAAGTAAAACCAAAGAATTAAGTTAAGAAGATCCTGTATTTAACATCCTAAACTGAAAACAATGCATTATAAATACCTCTCTGTTAGCCTAATAGATCAAGAAGTGGTGTGAAGGTGGTCAACAGATAAAATCTGTTTACCCCTTAAGTCTTTACCTAGGAGGCCTTCTACAAGGCAGTAGCTGGATACATTAAACATCTGCTAAAGATGAGTATTTATATGAGACACCGTCTCTATCCTTTATTCAACCAAGAGGCCCAAGGCAGAGGGTGTTTTAAGTCAGAGTTGGCTTCTCCTAGCGTTTGCCTAAAAAGGTGTATCCTACAAGACAGCAGGACATGAAGCAGGTTGTACTGGGGTAAATGTAACTAGTAGCAGAATAACTTGACCTGACTAGTTATCATTTTTCTTCATCTTGCTCTGGTAAACAGTGAGCATCATGTCATCTGAGTTGTAAATATGAACTGAATGTGGATATTCATAACTCCGATTGAGGTGCTTTTCTCCAAACTTTATTTACAGTTCCTAACAAACAAGTCCTTTTTATTTGAAATTTTTTGTTCAGATTGATAGTTAATTGACATTAACGATCTCCCAGATATCTCACATCTAAGGTGGTATTGTTTGCCGCTGATACTACAATTTTTTCTTGTCATGATAAGAAGCCAACACTTTCTGATTGCTTGGAAGGGGCATTTGAGCTTGAAAAGGATCTCACTTCTGCTAAAGCATGGTGCTCACAGTGACTGGTGACCTTGAACTCAGATAAAACTCAATTTTTTTCAGCCAATCATTATTGCAATAATATAGATCTTCCTTTATTTATGAACGGTAATGTACTTAATGAGTCATCTACCCTTCATCTTTTAGGATTAACTCTTACTTCCAATCTTTCTTGGAAATCATATATCAAATCAGTTGCAAAATTAGTATCTGCTAAGGTTGCATCTCTTTATAGAGTTTGACACTTTCTTACTCCGGATTCTATTCTCTATCTCTATAAATTCCAAATCCGGCCTTGTATGGAATACTGTTGCCATAACTGGGACGGATCTTCTAATGATGCCTTTTCTTATTTAGACAAAAATGCATTGTAAACATAGTTGGACCTGCTTTTGCAGCCAACCTCTAACCATTACATCGTTGTAATGTTGCTTCTTTTTATCTTTTTTACAAATACTATAATGGACACTGCTCTAAAGAGCTAACATCTCTTGTGCCATCTACTAAAATCCATTCTTGTGTTACTTGCCATTTAATTAAATCTCATCCTTCTTCTGTGAATGTTTCTAAGTGTTCCAAAAACTCTTATTCCTCTAGTTTTTTTTCCTCAAACATCAGTTCTTTGGAATTTGCTTCCTTCATCTTGTTTTCCTAATTCATACAATTTTTTTCATCTTTTTTCTTCCAGTAATTTCCAACTCTAACAATGGTTGCTTGCAACTAACCACTATTGAGTTATGTAATGGCGAGCACAACCCCCATACCTGAACCAAATAGAAAATCTTTGAGAGCTATTAAGAGAATAATTAGCAGTCACAAGCCAACTAATTAACAGGATTTACTTAAATTGATTAAATGCAAATTTTATTTGAGTTGTTTAACTTGGGAGGAATTACCAATTGATGTTTTAATTAATTTATTTGATTCAATGTCAGGTATATGTTATGCTGTCGTTGCGGCAAAAGGTTTTCCAAGCATGTACTGGCACAAACAGATTATAAACTACATATAACAGAATGTAACACTTGACGGAAGCAAGAGCTTTAGCTCTTACTCACACTCACCTAAAACAATTTATGGGAGCAATTTATGGCTTTTGTAAAAGTATAATTTTTTCTCTCAAATGTATATTACATTTAAAAAAAACGACAAATAATTGCATAATTTAAATAAAATATAATAACTTCAGATGATAATTGTGATTTTTTTCTTGAGATATTATTGTTGAAGGACTGCATGTCTAATGATTTGAAATTCCTGTAAGCAATAGTATTTTTTCTAATTTAAATACAATGAGAAAATGATCAATTAAATCCAAGTCTGTCACAGCTTATATACTAACTGATATTTCATTCAGTTTATTAATTACTACATCTAGTATGTGTCAAAAGTTTATGAGTTGGCTTTTTGACTTATTGTATAAGATTTAGTACATCTAGTATATCTTTAAAGATTTTGCTATATAGTTTTTAAGAATATAAGTGTATATTTATATCACCAGCTATAACAGATGCGCTACCTGTTAATACTATTGTTTCAAGTAAATCCACTAAATTCATCCAGAAATGTTGCAAGAAAAACAAATAACAAATCTAGTAATTTTAACAAATATATTTAAAGGAGTGAAACTGTTGGTAGTTGCTGTATTTAATTGAACATTTTAACAAATTTCCTACACCGCCATCTTTTTCTTTATCTCTTTCTTCTCTTATTTTGTGACACAGGATTTCTATGTCAGAATTCCTGTATATACTCCACTACATCTAGAAGTTTATTAATAATAGAGTAAACATTCCGCAGTGAACATAATATATTTTTTTTTATATTTTAATATAAAAAATATATTATGTAGACAATAATATATAACACATTTTTAATCCATTTAAGAGCAAAGATCAGTTAGATGTTTTCTGTTACATTTAGCGCATATTGGATCTTGTTTTTTGCAATCAATCATTATATAAAAAGTTATTTAATTATAACATATATCATTGCACTCCACAAAAACACTAATTTTTATTACTTATCTCAAAATGAGTATTATCATTTTTTGTAGCTATCCACCTTTTTTAATATACTTATAAAAGGTTTTTTCAATAATAAATAGTAATTTAAGTGTTTCAATTAAGAGTTTAAAGCTAATAGTTTTTATTATACCAATCTTTTCAAATTTTTAAATAATTAAGTTTGAAGTAATTAAGCTTAATTAAGCAACTTCGAAACTTGTATTTTTTCTAAATTCTTTGTAGTACCTTTAAATTAAAATAAAAACATACATTAATTTTATGCTTTTACTTTTTTTGGTTTATATTTTATTCACTTTATCATTCGCTAAGATTTTTAGCTTTTTAGTTTAGTTTTGTATTTTATTTTTCTTTCCAGTTTAAAGTTAGTTTATTCTTAATTTTAGTTTAAGTTTATCATTGCTCTGTGATTTTAAGAACATTGAGCACTCTATTTTGTAGGCTTTTATGCCATAGATCAACTGCAAGAATTTTTGCTTGTTATAATTATTACATATATTATATTACTATATTATAATTATAGTAAACAAAAAGATTTTAAGTTATTATTTACTGCTCCTATAACACTCTGATTATAGTAAAGTATTACATAATTTCTAATAGCATTGTGTTAAAAATTGTTAAAATCTAAAACAAAGGCCTTCAACAAACTACAATAAAATTATGAGCATAACAAAAATTATTATCTGTAATTATTGACTAGTACAACATAATAGGACATAATAAAATTAAAAATATTTTTTATACTAGGATTTAATAAAACTAATAAAAACCTTTACTGGGCTAAATTAAATTTTTCTTTAATTATTTACTAATGATAAACTAAGTAAATTTCAAATCATTAAAATTTACTTAATTAAAACCATGTTTTAACAGAAAACTAAAATAAAATAATCACACAGGCATAACTATTTAAATGTAAAAATGCTTACTTAAGAAAATATGAACATTTGTCACTAGATTTGAAACTACAAGTCTGTAGATTAATTACCATCTCTATATATATTAATGTACTTTTTAATAATGTTCTAATCATACTATGCAAATAACAATCAAGCACTCTTTATTTGTTAGACCTTGTTTACTGTTTTCATTTTGACTTCCCTGTTTGTAAACACTATGTCCTGTAACACCATCAAACCCAGCCTTGCATTTAAACATCAGTTCTGAATAGTCATCTATATGAATGCTCTTAGGATATATATGGCAGTTATTTTCTTTAGCACAATTTCTTTGGAGATGGTATGTTGCTTTTGAAATATCACCATCAATAGTTAATGCTAAAACTTCATCAAGTGAATATTTCTTAGCAGCTGGGTTTTCAACAATTTTTCTGCCAATCTTGTACTTAAACTCACATCTTAGTTTCAATTTTGTTACATGAAGTAATTTGGCACTAGATAAACTATTAATAATATTGTTTTGCTTTCTTTTTTTTGTTCAGTTACAAGTTTTCCAAAGAACAACATGGTTTCCCAACTTCATTTGCTGATGATGTAGCATTTAATGTACTGAAGGTCTATTGAGAATCTTTAGCTAGACAATATTTATTACTTATTTCAAAATGAGGATTATTATTTTTTGCAGCTATTCACTTATTTTGATATACTTATAAAAGGTTTTTGCACTCAGAATCCTTTATCTAAATATCTACAGAAAACTTGAACAACAAATATTGGCAAAAAAAAAAAAAAAAATGCCATTAGGAATTAGTTTATTTTGTTGCATAAATTCACGAATGTCACTAATTTTTATATTATTAATAAATAAAAAAACAAAAAAATTACAAGGTAAACATTACAATTTGTGCTAAATCAAATTACTAACAAAAAAACACGAAATTTTCTTTAGTTTTACCACTGTTACTAGTTCATTTTGGTATGCTTTCTGTTAAAATATGGCTTATGATATACTGTCATACTATAATAATAACTTTTGCTATGCTCATAATTTTATTGTAGAAGATTTTAATGCAATGCTCTCAGAAATAAAATAACATTCTACTACAATGAGAGTGTTATAGTACTTAACAAACCAGAAAGTAAATCTTATCTAAAAGAGTGATTTGGTATATATAAATATATAAATATATATAAATATATAAATATATATATATATATAAATATATAAATATATATATATATATATAAATATATATATATATATATATATATATATATATATATATATATATATATATATATATATATATATATATATATATATATATATATATGTTATGTTATGAAAAACTTTAATTGTTGATCTTTTCTAAAGTTTTTAATTTACGGGAAGGCATTAAAATAAAACCATATAATTAAATATTTTTTTATGATTGTTTACATAAACACGTGTGTAAATTAATAAAAAATGTTATATATGAATTTTTTTTATGAAGGAATGTATTTTTCATGATAAATTTAAACGTTTGAAACTATTTTCCCATGTCTTCCTAAAAAATGTTTTAAAGCATTAATTTTAGAAAGATTTTTTTAAAGTTATTTTAATTTATGAATAAGTTCAAAACCTTTTGCGAGTACTAACTTTTACACATTTACATTTAACTTTCAAATGTGAATTATACAAGAATATAAAATAACTTTATTTACTTATATAAGCATGTATTTTGTAATGTTCATAAGATTAATTTTTATAATTAAACTTACAATTTTTTAAAATCTTTGAAACAAACATTTTATATTTTGAAAAGAGTTTTTTTTTTTTTCCAATTACGATAGGAATGAATGAGTTAAAATCATTTATAATAATTTTAAAATTCGTTACGCGAAGTACATATTAATAAACTTGTAATGCTCAAATTAAAATTAAATTAAATTGGCAGTTTATTTTATTTAAATCGCAGGCGCATTTTGTTTATTTATTTTTTCCTATTTTTACAAATAAAAGAGTTAAAAACCTTTTTTTTTTTTAACTAGACTTACTAATTAGAGTATAAAATTATTAAAAATTACTATTTAAAAAAGTTATTTTTTTAGACAAATTTTTTTTTGCAACTTTTTTGAAAAAATAAATGTTTACAATTTAAAAATATTAAATACAACAATTTTTAATAAATTTGATACAATTTGTTCATTCATTAAACAATCATTAGAAGTAATTTGTTACTTAATTTAAAATTTAATAAAACTTTATTTATTTTAAACGTAATTAAAAACGTAATAAAAAGTTTCGCTTCGAGTTTTTTATTTTTTAAATATTTAAGTTTTTATTTTTTAAATATTTAAAATTTATTTTTATAAGCAATCATGATCAAGTTGTCAAGAAATAAAATCATTTGCGTGGTCAGCAATAGTGCTTGATAGCACGCCATTCCTGTATATATATATATATATATATATATATATATATATATATATATATATATATATATATATATATATATATATATATATATATATATAAAAGATACAAAAATCTCTTGTTCGTTTGAGAGTGATCAATATAATGTAAGTGTTTACAAAATAGATCAATAATAATAATAATAATAGAGTTTGATTATTTAAAAAAATACAACTTTTTGATGGTACTTGAAGTTTCATGCCCTTCGGCAATCATCAGCCATATTTTATTCTTTTAAAACAAGAAAAACCGTTAAAAAATACAAAATACAAAAATTAACAGAAAAAATGATTTCGGACTATACCGCAATGACGGCTTAGCAGTTTTTAAAAATATGAGTGGCCCCCAAATGGAAAAAATTAAAAAACATCTTGTTGAAATATTTAAAAAAAACGAACTTAATATATCAATACAATGCAACATGAAAATTGTAAATTACCTCGACGTCACATTAAATCTAAATGACCATACTTTCCAACCATATTCTAAGCCCGGAAATTCTTTAAATTATATTCACACTGATTCAAACCACCCGCCAAATATTTTAAAACAGCTTCCGCATTCAATTGAGTTAAGATTGTCTGCAAATTCCTCAAGTGAAGAAATTTTCCAAAGATCTACTCCTGCATACAATGACGCACTGTTAAAGTCCGGTTTTAATCATAAACTTTCATACCACCCTAATTTAAATTCACCTTATACAAAAAACCGTAAACGCAACATCATTTGGTTTAACCCACCTTTCAGCAAAAATGTAAGCACTAACATAGGAAAAAGCTTCTTAACTTTAGTCAACAAACACTTCCCAATAAATCACAAGTTCCACAAAATCTTCAACAGAAACACCATAAAAGTAAGTTATAGCTGTATGCCGAACATGAAATCTATCCTAAATGCACACAATCGACAAATTATGAACAACAAAAAAGATCCACCTAAAACCAATTGCAACTGCCTTAATAAAAGCACCTGCCCTCTATCAAACCAATGCTTAACAAAAAACATTGTATACCAAGCTAAAATAAGTTTAACTAATACTACTACCAATCCTGTCAACAAACTATACATCGGTATAAGCGAAACACCATTCAAAATTAGATATGCCAACCATATAAAATCTTTTACCATTCAAAAATACAAAAATGACACTGAACTATCAAAAGAATTTTGGAAACTGAAAGATGCAAATTTAAATCCAGTTATTAAATGGAAAATAATTAAGCAGTGCAATGCTTACAACCCAACCATGAAGTCTTGCAAACTGTGTATAAATGAAAAATATCAAATTCTGTTTTCCAAAAATAAAAATCTAATTAACAAAAAAAGTGAAATGATATCCAAATGCAGGCATCGAAACAAGTTTCTTCTCGCCCACTTCGACACGGCTGATTAAACAATTTTCTAATTAAAAATTTTGTTTTGACGTCAGAACTCATTCTATTGCTTTGTTATTGTTTTTTCTGTTAATTTTTTAACGGTTTTTCTTGTTTTAAAAGAATAAAATATGGCTGATGATTGCCGAAGGGCATGAAACTTCAAGTACCATCAAAAAGTTGTATTTTTTCAAATAATCAAACTCTATTATTATATATATATATATATATATATATATATATATATATATATATATATATATATATATATATATATATATATATATATACATATATATATATATATATATATATATATATATATATATATATATATATATATATATATATATATATACATATATATATATATACATATATATATATATACATATATATATATATATATATATATATATATATATATATATATATATATATATATATATATATATATATATATATATATACTCACACACATATATATGTATTACCTTACCCCTTTTCCTCTGGAAAGAAAACAGTGCCTTGTTGTCCACATTTCATGTGACCCACCACTCATTGATGGATAATTTTGATAAGCAATTAATGAAACAAATCTAATTAAATAACCACAAACAATAATTCCAATAACATTTTACTTAGAAAATCAGATAAAGCATTTGCACTACTTTAAAAATAAACCTTGCTGCTTGTCTTGGAGTGTCAATTAGCCGTCCAGACTTTAATGGTTTTATGTAGGAGCATACAAGACGATGAACTGAATTCTCATCTTGAGCAAAAATTTTAATCAGCCTATTAGAATGAGATGACCTTATTTGTAAATATTCACGCCACCATTGTTTTGAATAACACAAAAATAAACGCTCTCTTTCAGCTATACGACTTCTCTCTAAATTCATCTGAGTTGTTATGACATCCATTGACAAAATCTAATTAAACAAAACAAAACAAAAAAATACAAATTGGATTTAAATATAAAGCAATATTTTTAAAATTGACTACTCTAAGAATAAGATTTAAACATTTTTATAATTAATAAATTAATATTTTTTACACTGAAATCATGATACAGTACTGTTTAACAAACAAATTTTAGATTAACTTTTAATGTAGTTAAAAAAAAAGATGCAATATACTTAATTCCACTTTTTTTTTAACGATTTTTCTGCACTTTTTAAAAAAGAAAGAAAAAAGAAACATTTTACCGGTGATAAATATCTTTATATTTATTTTTTTAATACTTTTAGGTTGGCATTCGGTAACGCCAACCTAAAATGTCTGATGTTAGTAATTTTTTGCTGACCTTTTTTTATGTCATAGTGAAACCTTTGTGCTAAAAATTTTTGCCAAAAATAGTTTAAGGTTAGCAAAAAACTTTTAACAAGTTTTTTTTAATTCTGAGGTTTGTATGTATGTCACAATGTTATAAAACAGGTTCTAATCTTAACTTTCTGACCTGGGAAAATCCTTAGTGGAACAATAGCCCACACTATGGGAATCACTTAGATATAAGTATCAAAGTCAGATTACAACATACTGGCAAATTATTTACATTTAAATTTGTATCAATTAATTAAAAAATCATTTAAATTTGTATCATTAAAATGTATTATAGACGTACTGCACATGCATATACGACTACACACTTTCTTTGCAGGGATGTTTTATTGATTGCACAAACATGCGAAATGACAGCTTATTTTGCATTTCTACAGCCCAAAATTATGTTAGTTTGTAAAAAGTGTTTAAATTGATATGAAATGTATTTCATTATGACATAAATTATTTTTGAATAATTTTTCACTTTTGAATTCTGGGAAAATGCACATTGTTTTTACTTTACTAGCTTAACCGTGCACATCTAATTTTATAAAAAACGCCAAATACTGATAAAAACCACCAAGAATGCAAGAAAACTGTTTTTTTTGGTTTTGTTTTAGTAAATGGCAATAAGAGAAAATATCAAATTTAACCAAACACCGCATATTGTATATTTAAAAAAACAAACAGAATTTGACTTAATTTCATAGTGTAAATTTAAATAAATGTGCGTATGTTTAGTTTTTCTAAGAAAATATACTAATAAAACCAGGAATACAAACCACATAAATGGTTTTTTGTTCATGAGATCTGCAATCTGATAAATTAATATAAAATCTAAAAAGTCTTGAAAAAAATGTACGCGTTGTCGGGTTAAAAGAAAGATGTTAGATTAAACTGAAAAAACTGCACAAAAGACACTTTGAGAAATAATTTTGTTGTTGTTGCAACAAAGAATCCTTTGAAACGTTGAATCCTTTGGCATTAGAAAAAATTTCAGCCCTTGTTGTTACAAATAAAACCACATGGAACTGTTCAATTAAGTCAACCTTATGATGGAAGGATGTTTTCAGTAACATCAAGTATAAATTTAGTTTTTACAGTTCAAATAAATGACAGGTTAAATTTTTAAGTTTTTATATTCATTATAGGTTCGTCATCAGTTAGACAACTTTTCTCTCCAAATTTATCAATAAGTTTAAAAGATCTGGCTCCAGTTCAAGTTAACACAGGGCTTTTAAACAATGGCATTAGGAGGTTAGCAGCTACTATTAATCAGTCAACCTCACAACAGATTGACATGTTCAATAAACAGCTTTACACCATTTTACAAGTGCATCAATCCAAGATCACGCTAGATGTGTGAGGATTGTTGTACATTGCAAGGACTTCCATGAGTTTAAAATGAAACTATAGCCATGAAAAATACATTAAAAAAATCACATTGTAAAAGTTAGAATTGACAGAGGAGGTGGGTTTCTGAAAGTTAGTTTGGAAATTATTGAATTAAATCATGAACCAAGCATTCCCCCAGCAAAACTTAACTGCACAAGTAAAGTTTTTAAGGACACTGGTGTCAAAAAACAACTTATTTTTTAGAAAAGAGCTTCTAGAAAATTATAATAATGTTTTGCAAGTATTTGAATTGATTAATTTGAAAGACCAGGAATTTGTCCTGTGCTGTAATATAAAACTAGCAAATATTATTTGTGGGCTTCAAGCACACTTATGAGCACATCATGTGAATCTGGTTCATAAGAACTTGTAAATCAAGGGAAACTGAGGAATTTTATCTCTGGAAAAAAATGTCTCACTCTTAATGTCAGCAGGTTCCAATATCAGAAAAGCTTGTAAATACAAAAATGTTGTTCATTCTCCAATATTTAAACTACCTGGAGATACGTGGTTTTGAAATTCCTTCCTACAATGGAATAGCATCTTCTAATTGGAGTTTTTATTCATCTTTTTGCTGCGCTACTTTAAATTTTTCTTCGAGCAACTCTTTGAACTGATGCATTACACATTAAACAACAACCTTACCATGGCGGACATTTTGCAGGAAGTTGAGTCCACAAAGCTGCTACACATTATTGATATTCATCAATCAATTGCTTAGAAACACTCATGCATTGCAGCAATCCAATTTGTTGATGCTTTTCAAAAATTCAATGCAGTAGTGTCTGGGTGTTTGGGGTGCAACCTTGATCTAAACAACCCACAATTAACTGAAGCATTAAGAGCATTTTATCTGGCATATCAAAATGCGCCTGTAACACCCTAGATCCATGCAGATTATTTCATGTCAAAGATTTTATCGACAGACTCAAAGACTTTACTCAAAACAGGCAACAAGCAATCCATTGCAAATTTTAGACATTGGCAAAGGTACACAAGGCCCAATCATCATCCTGAATACAGCAAAATATTTGCAATGCTGGCTTGCTGACTTCAATAGTAAATATTGCTTGTGAAAAGTTATTTTAAGAGATTTAAGAATGAATTATTTTTAAATTTGTTTCATTTAAAAGAAACAGTCTTTTTGTGAATATATATGTGTGTTACTTGTATAACTTCAAGAATATATCATTTTGCTTTCCTCATTTATATTGATGTAAAATGGAGATTTTTTACTACTGTAAAAAGCAAAATAAGCTCTCATTTTGCATGTTTGTGCAATCAATAAAAAATACTATTAAACACAAAATGTGTTTAATGCGTTTATAATACATTTTAATACGTATCAATACATTTAAAACACGTTGGTGTTTAATGGTATGAATATTCAAATTTAAATAACTTGCTAGAACGTTGTAATCTGATCTTGATACTTATATCTAAGTGATCCCCATAGTAAAGGCTATCATTTCACCAAAGGGTTTTTCCAGGTCAGAAAGTTAAGGTTAGAACCTGTTTTATAACGCTGTGTATGTATGTATGTATGTATGTATGTATGTATCTATGTATGTATGCATGCATGCATATATGTATGTTTCAATACCATGATAAATATAACCAGTAAATAGCGCCATTATGGCTATAACGAACTGAATAACAATTATGTGGCGACTATTTAAACAATAGTGTTTATTGAATGTTTTTATTATTGAACAAATTTTTTATATAAATAGAGCTTTGTTGTTGTTGATGAAAATATAAAATAAATATGATGTAAAAACTTGAAGATCTGGAAAATATAAGTTTTAATACATATTCGGTATAATTTTTGATTGCCATCAGATCATCATAATGGTATAATTTTTGATTGCCATCAGATCATCATAATGGTATAATTTTTGATTGCCATCAGATCATAATTGGTAGCAGATAATAATTTCTTCAACACGGAACAATGGTAAAAAAATAAATCAAAAGTCAAATAACCAAATCAGTTAACCGTTTAACATGAAGTATTTGCATTAAACAAGAAAAAAATAATTCTAAAGTCTTCGTTTACGTGAACTAAACATCAAATTATTCAGTAACTTGGAGACAATGAACCCACTAGTAAAAATGAGTTACACAAATTGAGTAATCAATTAACAAAGACTCAAAACGAAGCTCAAGAAATAATGGTTGAATTATTAAAGAAACATAAGTTTCTGGAATCATCGGAAAATGTAGAAAAACTCAATAAAGAAATTTAAAAACTTAATGACAAGTTTGCAGAAATTATGGAACTTGTAAATGAATGGATATTGTACAATGGAAGTTTAAAATCGAGTTTAAAACAACAAAGGATGGAAACATAAAATGAAAACAAAAAAGGAATGTTATCATTGGCTAGGTACTCAAAAATGTAATGCCTAGAATGACGATAATAAAGAAGAAAATGATCAAAATTGAGTCAATCAAATCAATGCATAGCATGCGTAAAATGAAAATGAAATATTTTATTTGGATCAAAAGACTGCAAAAATTGGACATGATTCATGGGAACAAATAAAACTGTCTTTTTAATGGCAATAAAAAGAACTATGAAAATTGCAAAGCTTCATTCTGCCAATGTATTGATCAACTCCTAGCGATAGCTGAGTATAAATTACTTCAATTTTGTCAATATTTATGTGGATTAAACGCATTAAAAGCAATCGAAAATTTGGGCATTTAACATTTGCTTGTTAAGCTGCAAAAGAAAGACTTGAAAGAAAATTGGCGGAACAAGGAGAAAAGTCTTTATGTACTTGGATAAATTGAACAACCTTAAACCTATGAGGGAAAATAATCTAAGAGACAAAGTTTGTAGATTAGTTAGATGTGGCAGTAACAAACTTAAAAGAAGCAAATAAAACAGAAGAACTTAGCTAAGGGACATATTGCCATCAACTGCAAAAAAAAAGGTTCCAGAGATGATGTTTATAAGATACAAATGATGGATGTATGAGAACAGATTAAACGAAAATATTGAATCTCTAAAAGATTTCAAAAATATTGAGGTGTTTCAGCTTAATCGACTGGTATTTGGAATCAACTCAGCGCCTTTCAAGGCTCAATTTGTAACACAAGAACACGCAAGAAAGTGTGCATAAAAATTTCTTTTAGCTTCTGAAGCTGTTCTTGAAGCAACTTACATGGATGACACAATAACTTCTGTAGTTGATGAATAAATTGGGAATGCAATTACAAAGATTACAAAGTGATAAAAAAGTAGGAATGCAATTACAAATATACAAAGAACTTACGCTACTATGTGGTTCAGCAGAAATGTTTGTACAAAGTGGCTTTTAAACTCGGTCGAAGTTCTCAAGATAACACCAGAAAATGATTGTGCAGAATATATAAATCAAGATTCTGGATACTTTCCTGCAATGAAAACACTTGAAAAATTGTCTGAAAAGCAAAACCTGATTTATTTAGTTTTCATTCTGTTGCAACCGGAGAAAGTATATGGTAAATACAAAATAAACTTTGCTTTAAAAATTGGCAACGTTGTTTGATTCATTGCGTTTTTCAGTACCATATATCATTTGAATCAAAATAATTATGCAAGAATTGTGGATTGATGGAATTGAATGGGATAATGCAATTCCAGATAGAATTGCAAATAATGCTGATTAATGGTTTTAACATCTAAAAGATCTCCCAAAAATAAACATTCCCAGATGTTTACAAACAATTTCAACAGTTACAAATAGGACAATCCACATTTTTACGGATAGATCTTAAAGATTACGGTGCTATTGCTTACCAAATATGTTTATTTGACACTGGAGAAGTGACCTGTGTGATCATTATGTCAAAAGTCCAAGTAAATCCATTAAGAAAGAAAAATGGCCACAGAATCACATTGAAGTAACACAGAGGCTTCAATTTTGAAGCAAAGAAAAATCCAGTATTAATGAATTTCGCATTATCCACTAAAGTAACAAATCAATTGCTTAATATAAATAAGTTCTCATGTTGGAAAAGACTTGTCAGGATAAATGAATGCGTGCAATGATTTATAGGAAACTGTCAATTTAAAGCAGAATTTCGTAAAAAGGGTGATATAACAGCTGATAATTATCATGAAAGTGAAAAAGAAATTTACTAAAGCTCGTATAATTTAAAGTATCAGATTTTTTGAGTAAAATAGAGAAGGCTTTGGTTAAAACAACAAGATTAGTTTTTCTCGGTATGTATTTACTATTTATTTTTAATCAAAAAAATTTGGTTCAAACCTTTTTTTTCAACATTATCTTTAATATGAACACAACATGTGTTGGGATTTTAAAATCCTTTTAAATGAATAATTTTGAATTATTTTATTGTGTTATTAAATGAATGGCAAGTCAAATTTTAGATAACTGATTTTTAAATAGAGCATAAAAAATATATATATGCTATATTTGGAACATAAGACTAAGACCCCTTGATGCCTCTTTAAAAACTAATTTTACATTTTATTTGAATATAAAGCTGTTAAAATTAATACATAATATAGAAGCTAATAACTCCTAAAAATAACAATTAAGTTAGTAAACAAAAAAAAAATATATAAAAAAAAAATTGCATAATACATCATTAGAATTTTAATACAATAATAATTTTAAAAATTAATAGCAAATTGCTTTATTTGCTCTGGTGAAACAACTACAAATAATCACTTACATACTTGTTGCAGCTTTGGAATCAAGTCCATTCTTATATCCAAAACACCAACTGGGATTTTAGATTCTGTAGCAACACCATTCATCTCAATTGAGTTTCGTATATGACCAGATGGCGAGCATAAAATACCTCTCCATTCCAGGTGATGAGAACTTATTAAGTGTACATCTCCAGTTGGATCATGTTTAATGAGAACAATATGTATTTTATCAGTATTTAAAAGCAATGATGGTGCTTCTTGCATCTTGTCATAAGATGTGTTCTTTTTAAGTTCCATTAAAAAACCTAAACATTAATTTTTATAAACTTTTAAAATGTAACATTATATTGCAACGATTTATCATTATCATTTTATTTATTAACCATTACCATTTTTCAAAAATCATAGACTAAACAAATATAATTTTATTTTAATTACAAGAACCATAAATATACCCAAAACAACAATTGCAACAAGATCCAAAAATCTTGTTTTTCAGTTTTCTTTTTCTTTTCAATCAACACAAAACATGATACTTAAAAAAAAATATTTTTTTTTTTTTTTTTAATTATCTTCGCTTTCAACAAGGCTGCAAGCAACCACTAATTAGTGTTTGAAGTTACTGGAAGAGAAAAAATGAAGATTGTAGAGCAAGATAACGATTGACAGACGACTTAAAAGATTGCAAATTATATGAATCAGGAAAGCAAGGATGCGAATTCCAAAGAACTGATGTTCTTTGGAATTCGCATCCTTGAAATGAAGGATGCGAATTCCAAAGAACTGATGTTCGAGGAAAAAAACTAGACGAATAAGAGTTTTTGGAGCACTAAGGAACAGTAACAGAAAAAGGATGAGACTTAATTGAATGACGAGTAACAAAAGAATGAATTTTAGTAGATGGCACAAGAGACGCTAGCTCTTTCGAGCAGTGCCCATTATAGTATTTGTAGAAAAGAAAAAGAGAAGCAAAATTACGACGATGTGACAGAGGTTGAAGGTTGGCTGCAAGAGCAGGTCCAACTATGTTTACAATGCGTTTTTGCACCTTGTCTAAAAGGGAAAGGGCTCCATTAGAAGATCCGCCCCAGATATGGCAACAGTATTCCATACAAGGCCGGATTTGAGATTTATAGAGATAGAGAATAGAATCCAGAGTAAGAAAGTGACGAGCTCGATAAAGAGAAGCAACTTTAGCAGATGCTAATTTTGCAACGGATTTGATATAAGGTTTCCAAGAAAGATCAGAAGTGAGAGTTAATCCTAGAAGATGAAGGGTAGATGACTCATTGAGTACATTACCGTTCATAAATATAGCAAGGTCTAAATTATTGCGATAACGATTGGCCAAAAAAAATTGAGTTTTATCTAAATTAAAGTTCACCAGCCACTGTGAGCCCCATGCTGTAGCAGAAGTGAGATCCTTTTCAAGCTCAGATGCCCCCTGCAAGCAATCAGAGGGAGTTGGCTTCCTATCCTGACAAGAATAAATGGTAGTATCATCAGCGAACAATGCCACCATAGATGTGAGAATATCTAAAAGATTGTTAATGTAAATTAAAAAGAGTATAGGGCCAAGGATTGAACCTTGAGGAACCCCTGAGGTTACAGAATAAGAAGAAGAGTGCTGTCCATCAAAGACAACTTTTATACTACGATTGGAAAGGAAGGATTCAATAATCTTAAAGATGTTTCCAGATACACCGTAAGAAGAAAGCTTATGGAGAAGACCAGCATGCCAAACTTTATCAAATGCTTTAGAAATGTCAAGAGCAATGGCCTTAACCTCTCCACCTTTATCTAATGCGCGATAAAACCTATCGGTTATTACTGTTAGCAAATCAGCCGTAGAACGAGAAGATCAAAATCCATATTGATGATCAGAAAGTAGGTTATGATATTCGAGATGAGAGATTAAATGTTTGTTAATTAAAGATTCAAAAACCTTGCATATGATAGGAAGAAGACTAATGGGACGGTAGTTAGACTAATCGGATCGCTCTTCAGAATTTTTAAAAATAGGGATAACAGATGCTGCTTTCCAGCAGGTTGGAAAACAAGACTCTGATAAGCACTTGTTAAATAGTTTTGAAAGGATAGACGACAGCTCTTGAGAACACTTCAAAAATAATAACTTTTTTTTTCCAAACTTTATGGAAGCAGCTGTTTCTCTCGTTTGAGAATATATTCTTAAAAGTTGAAAACTACCTTTATGCATTTTGTGGATGTTTGAAATAGTGAGAGGTTCTTTTTTAATACAATTTTATCATTTTGGAAAACCAATGTGCATTTTATTTAGTTTAAGATTATGAAATGATATTTAATATTATATACAAAAATCTGTATTTTTTCACGTAACTAAATTCTATTACACCTAAAGAAATATTCTAATTAAATAATTTTTCTTTTATTCATACAAAGCATTATGGTCATTGTCATCACAACAAAACAACTTATGCTGAGTATTTGTCATAGAAATTTCCCTAAAATACATAACAACTAGATGTAATATTACATATAGTTGTTATATTCGAATGGTAACTTATTTTTTTTTAACTTCTTATAAATTCTTACGATCCAGCAAAAGCGGTATAAATTAACTTTTGGGTTTAAGCTGCCGTTGCGCAGTGGTAGCGCACTTTCCTAAAAAAATAAGGGATCCATGGTTCAAACCCACCTTTGGTTTTGCGACATTGGTAGGAAGTAGAAGTGAATTTCCTGTTAATTGCTTTTCCAAGGTGCTCTGTTATAAGACCGTAAGGACATACAACAGAGACTTAGGGTACATAAAATAAACATATATATAATTCATAAGAGAAAATTTTATTGGTACCCTCTAATTTTTCCGGAACTTTCGCGTAAAAGTTCCAGATAATAAAAACCGCATATTTAAATGAAGAAATAAATAATAATTATTACGGAGTCTGGAGTCCATGATTTTTGAGCTTGGAGTCCGGAGTCCCGAAATATCGATGGAACTTCAGATTCCTGACCACAATATATATATATATATATATATATATATATATATATATATATATATATATATATATATATATATATATATACATATATATTAGAGATGTGCCGGAACCAGTTTATGCCGAGTCTCCGATTCCGGGTACCCGGCTGAAAAAACCGGGTCCAATTTTTTAAAAGTTGGAATAAAAATTTGTGAAATTTCTAGGGCTGAACTATTCACACAAAATCTGCTTTTTACGCTAACTAACAAAAAGTTTCGTTCCTCCTACCACATTTTTTTGTTAAGTTTTCAAATGGAGCAAGAATGTGAACAAGTTTTTCGACTATTCCCCATTGATAATTAGTAGGAAGTTTAATTTCATCATATTCTGCTGCATAGGTGGCTAAAGGAACTTTTTGTTCAAACGTTCTTTGTAGCATTTCAAATGAACTGTTCCAGCGAGTTGGAACATCTTGTTTCATTTTGTGAGGTACAGTACTTAACTGCTGCTGAATTGATTTAAATTTTGCACATGCTATTGGTGAATGATTAAAATGTGTCGTTATTCCTCTGCATAAAGTTAAAATTTCCTTGATGGTTTCTTGGCTAAATATAGAGTCATGAATACATAGCTGCAAAGTATGGATAAAGCATGGAATTGATGACATTCCACTGTTTTTTACTGCAGCCTTCATATTGCTTGCATTATTGGTAACAATAAGATGAATTTTGCTTAACGGGATTTCAAAAGTTTCTAAACCTTTTTGTAAATACTCTTTTATATGAACACCTGTGTGCTTTTCCGGAAAATGAATTACTTGAAGAACAGCAGTTTCTTGGGAAAATTTAGTTAGATCTATCCAATGTCCAGTAATGCTTAAAAATGTGATTTTTGCAGTATCCGCTGTCCAAATATCTGTCATCAGAGACAAATAGTTTGCCGCGGAGATTTTTATTTTTATATCTTTAAAAAGTTCATCATACATGCTAGGGATTACGTTTTGGCTGAAATATGTTCTACATGGTAGTTTGTAATTGGGGTAAGCATCTTTAATCAGTTCATTAAACCCCGTATCTTCAGCAATAGAAAATGGCTGAATATCCAATGTGATAAGTTTTCCTATTATTTTATGGATTCGAATAGATCTGTGGTCATCAATATTCCACTGTTTTTTTTGTGTAAAGCCTGAATAATATTACTTTGTACTGTATTGGTGGTAGAAGCAACTGAGGCTTCAGAAATAGACGACAACGATTGAACCTTTTTTTTTTCTTCCGCAAGATCAAACTCTTTGGAATGCTTTAAACGCAAATGTTTTACCATTGCTGTAGTTCCATAAGACTTGAAAGATTTTCCTCTTCTCGTAACTAAACTATCACATAGTTTGCACTTACTCATATGAGGAGTCGTGCTTATATCAAAGAACTTCCACGCTATACTTTTTTTTGTCATAATTTTTCTTTCAAATAAAATTTCTATAAAGATAATGAAACTAGTTTTGATATCAAAGTTTTCGTTTATTTTATATAAAACAAAATTTTTTTTAATAATACGCTTGAAATTAAAATATGAAAAATGTGTATAATATTTACCTTATATCTCTACTTTTATGACTTTTGCTTGATACGAATGAAAAGTCTATCAGCGTTCAAAAGCATTATAAGCGTTTCATTCAAAACTATATTGCTAAAAATTATCTTGTGTTCTAACAGAATAAAAAGAAGCTATTCTAAAACTTTTTTTCCCATTCTTTTTATTCGTATTCTCAAATTATTTCATTTAGCGTTACAGTTTTTGTATCCGTACAAATTTTTTTGCAAAAATGTATTAAAAAATATTTTAAGTGAAATTGTTTTAAGTTAATAGAACTTTGTGGTTATCGACTACATAACACTCTTAGACTTGTATCAAGAAGTTTAATGGTTAAATATTAACTAAAGAAAAAATCAATTTGAAGATACCCGGTGCCAGGTACTGCAACAAAATGGCCGATACCGGGTACCCGGTAAAACTGCTGATTTACCGGGTCTCCGGGTCCGAACCGGGTACCCGGCACATCACTAATATATATATATATATATATATATATATATATATATATATATATATATATCAGGGCCTATTCTAAGAAAAAAAATTCAAGTGACAGTTTTCCCCACCTGTCCCAGCAATATTTAGCAAAATATTGGCGTTTTTTTGAGAAAAAACAAACAAAAACAATATTTGTTGTTTAAAAAAAGAAAAAAATATCAAATTTTAATTTGGGTGGCGCATAAATTGCCCAAATACAGTCAACTTTGTCGAAAACGGTCTAGAATAGCCCCTATATATATATATATATATATATATATATACATATATATATATATATATATATATATATATATATATATATATATATATATATATATATATATATATATATTTATATATATATTTATATTCCATTTAACATTCAATAAAAAACGCTCAAAAAATTTGTAAGTATAAAAAATACCTTCTTCAAATGCTGGTTCACATGCACAAGCTACAGCTTTTGAATTATATCTTTGTCCATTAAAGTGAACATGTATAGTAAAAGTACTAACCACATTTCCAGGAATATCTTCAGGGTCTTGTAAATGCTCTAGAAATGCTTTACCGCCAAGTATTTGAAAATATAAATATCGCTTTTCAGGATCAACAGGAACTATAAGAAAAATCCTAAATAGTTTCTACTAAAAACTGATTTTAAACCTACTCAAACCAGATTAAAATCAGGTTTAAAGTTAGTTTAAAACAAATAGTGTGTTAGAACTATGTAAACAACTTTTATCATTAGTAAGCAATTAATGAGCAGTACGAGGTATCAACCTGAAATTTAATACATAAACAGTAGATTAGTCCAGAATTACATAGCAAAAACTCAAAGTATTACCAACTACTCTCCTCAAGCCGAACTTTTTTTTACTATATAGCAGGCTAATAACAAAAAATCTGTTACAACATTTTTGCAAAACAGATAAAATATGGTTTGAAAGTTTAATCTACTATTCTTATCAGTGACTGATAATACAGTGTAACCAGGCTTAAAAAATTGCCGGCCTTTAAAAAATTAGAAACCAAGATTAAAAAACATCCTCTCTTGTTTCTGTATTAACTTTGTGAGTTTTTATCCTTGGTCCTAGATTCTTGATTATAAAACAGTTTTCTATTTCAATACTTAAGAAACTTCTTTGGAGTAATGTTGATCCTTTGAAGTATAACTTTCACATCACATAGTTTTTTTTAAGAGGTCACAAAAACAACTTAAATCTTCCAACAATTTAAAGCTGAAAAAAAATTTAATCAATCCTATGGAATTGCTCACACAGTAAATATAAGTAACAGAGTTTCAACGATACAAGATGTAGAATCCTAGCATGTCTCATTATTTAAAATTTAAACATTTGCTTTTTTTGCTTACCATATTATGAGAATTTCTTAGTTTCTTCAAAATATACAAGCCTTGGTGTAAAGTAAACTTTTAGTTAACTGTTCCTTCATGTTCAAACTTATATTAATCTAGATTTTTTCTACAAACAACAATTGACTTAGAATTCTGTCCCATCATTGACTTAGGATTATGTTCTATTCATTGACTTAGAATTCTGTCCCATCATTATGTTTTTGACAGCAGCTGAATTGTGTTGTCCTTCTGTTCCTAACAGTGCTAAATTTTAACTTGAATTTTCTGCATAATAAAATTTGTTCTTAAATAAGTCTTTTGAAGTTGAGCTGCAACATGTATTGTAATATGGAAATTTCTGAAATGTTTACTTTATTTCATCTTTTTTCAGCAAATTTGTTTGTTAAATCAGGTGCAGATTCATATCTAGCAATAAATCTGCACTGCACTAAACTTTTGCCTAAATGGTCTGTAACTAACTAAAATCCTTAACACACTACATACTTGCTGTCTTTAATACACCCCTCCTCCCTTGTATGCATTAATACATTTTTTGGGTAAACCCTCTCCTCCTATACCTATGTACGTACTTAATGGAAGACCCCTAATACTAATATCAAAATATAAAAACTAAACATTTAACGCTGCATTTTATTATATAGTTTACTTTTTTTAAAAGCATATTAAAAAATGCTATTAAAAAAAAATCATAAAACTGACATTTAATGACATTTTTAATGTCATTAACTTTTAAACTGTAAATCTTTAATGACATAATTTTTTAAATGTAATAAATCATAAACTAATATAAACAAATATGTTTATATATACACAAACTAATATGTTTACAATAATAACATTTTGTCTAATGTTTTAATGTGATGTACTAAATACATATATTTAGTACATCATATTAAAATAGCAGACATATATGAGGAGCAGCTATAAAAACCATATTTGACCAACAAAAGAGTGATCATCGTATAATGCTTTTATAATGCAAAAGCATTATACGATGCTTTTATAATGCAAAAGCCTGATAAGATTTTTTTTTGGATCTGATAACGACAAACAGCCAGGATGATTTTCTTATTTTTTTACAGTCAAGGGGATGAAGAGAAGTAAAAAAGGTAAAGAATGCAGTATTTTTAAAAGCTGTTCCACAAAATGGTATTTTTTACTAGCATAACAAATTTAGTAAAATATTTACCATGATTCAAATTTTTTCGAAAGCATTATAGTGATTCGTTACAATTTTGGAATCCTAATATCTGTATCTAGGCTGAGTATGTTACACTTTTTAGTTTTTCCTTAAATTTATTCAAAAAAAATTAATGTTGAAGAGGTTAGTGGTATTTAAGATAGTATAAACAAAACTAAAGTCTTTTGAATAATACCATAAGCTTTAATTTTGTTTATTGCTGCCTTAGTAATTATGTTTGCTGCTGATTCATCAATTTTATTAAATTTTTTTTTTGGAAGCTGGTATTTGCCAGTGTGATAATTGGCACTGATTTAACCTTAATAGATTTTAATAATAGATTTTTGGCCCTTTTGCGGCTTATACAAGATATTTAATTTTTTACTAATTGCTAATAAAAAAAATTTTAATATCTATACTTAGTTGTAAAAATGATAAAAAATTAAGGTGACATCAATATTTTGACAGTTAAAATGCCGTAAATTACATGTTTTTAATATTTATGTGTGGTCATGGTGTTCTAAAAAAAAATTATTTGAATTAGCCACAAGGAAGACTGCCTATGTATTATTATTTCAAGTCTATATCCTTTTCATCAAAGACTGCTATTTAATGACAAAATATGCAAAGAATGTTAGTATAAAATTTTGCTGCAAAGAATGTTAGTATAAGGTTTTACTGCAAATGCTAGTATAAATCAGCAAAATTAAAACCTGAATATCTTTAGAACTGTAAGAATTGGAAACTTGAACGTTAAAGTTTTCCTAATTTATATATATTTAACATAAATAAAAATTTTCAATATCTAAAACATAGGGCAACATTTTCTTGGTTTTCCTGCTGAACTGACATAAAATGCCACTAAAAATACACACAATTTTTTTCCACTAAATAAATATCAAATATAGATGAAAATCAATAAAACATTTAAAAATTAATTTATAATGTAACTTTACATCTTTTATGTTCATCTGGAAGCCATTGTTTATCTTTTTCCTTTTTTGGTTCATTTGGACTAAACTTCAGTGTTTTCATTATATCATCAACAACTCCATTACTTTTTAAAATTTGAATTAAGTTTTTTTCCTGGTCATGAGTACCATCAGCATGACTTTGTCGAAGTGATTCAGAGAGTACATTTCTCATTTGACCATGAATATCCAGCTGATTTAAATGACTTTGTATAACTTTTTTTAATTCTGCAACTTTCTCTGGCGGCAGGGTCATTATTAATTATTATTATTATTAAATATATAAATATCTCTATAAAAAACTATTTAAACACATTAATGCGGATCCGTTAAGGACTACATGTTCAACTTGAAAAAGAAATAATGTTTAATATATGTTAATACTAGAGTACTAATTTAAAAGCTTTAATTTTTAACTTTGGTTTTGTGAAAATTTTTTGATAATACAAGATTTTTATATAAAGCTAAAAGAATTTTTTAATTGAGAAGATGCTTTGATAGAGCGTATTTTGAAAAAGGAGGAGGGTGGGTGGTTAAAATAGTAATCTCAAATAACTTTATTCAAGTGAAAGTAAACAGAATACAGAGGTATAAGCATGTCGCCCTTTCCACTTGCTAGGATTTCTAGAACCATCTATGTAAATCTCACCCTGGCCTAAGCACCCATAAATTTGAATGCCAGGAAAAGAATTATTTATAAGTTCAACTTCGATTGCTGCCTCTTCTTGCCTTCCAACACACGAAAATATTAACATCATAAAATCATTCCATATTGAGTTTGCATTTGATACCTTAAGCTTTATTTCATGAAACTCCTTATCTAATTCGTCATAGTTTTTTGTAGAGTGAATTACAGAAAAATATCTTAACTTTGATCCTGATAAAACCAAACCAGGAATTTTATTGCTTGATTTTCCAAGGCAGTAACTTCCCACTATTAAAAAGCCAGATTCAGCACAATCCTAAATTTAAAAATGTTACCTTTTAAAATATATATAAAAAAGACTTGATATTATTTTAAATAATTTATTAAATTTATTTTTTATTAATTAATTATTAAATTTATTATTTATTAATTAACAATTAGATTTATTATTTCAATTTTTCAAAGAAATATATATATATATATATATATATATATATATATATATATATATATATATAATTATATATATATACATAATTAAAATATATATTATATATATATATATATATATATATATATATATATATATATATATAAATATATATATATATATATTCAGGTAGCCTGAATACATACATACATATATATATATATATATATATATATATATATATATATATATATATATATATATATATATATATATATATATATATATATATATATATATATATATATATATATATATATATATATATATTTATAAATATATTCAGGCTACCTGAATATATATATTTTGAAAATATATCAAAATACTATTCAGGTAGTCTGAAATATGATTAAAATATTTTGTTAAAAATGTTTTTTAAGAAAATCATAATAGTATGCATATTATTTTAAGAAACGCCCATATATATCGAACGCCCATATACATTGAACGTGATGGTTTGCATGATAGGTACGCGATGGTTTGCAGGTTAGGTTCACATGTTCAAGAGACTCGTTGTGCTCCTTGGCTATCTGCTCCCTCGCTTGCGGTGTGAAGGGTAGGAGCAAGCCGGCTTGTCGCTCCGCGCCCTGTAGGCTTTAGAACAGCCATGGCGCAGTGGTAGTGCACTTGGTTCAGAAACGTAAGATCCATGGTTCAAACCCCATCTCTGGGCAAGTTTTGCGACATCGGTTGGGAAGGAGGCGTGAACTTCCTATTAAATGCTCTTCCGCAGTGCTCTGTGATAGACCGTGAGGACTTCTTGGGGCATCTTAATTAACTTAAAAAATATATATATTAATATATACAGGGCCTATTCTAGGAAAAATATTTGGGTGGTGGTACCCCTCCATTCCAGAGAAATTTTGCGGAAAATCAACATTTGCCGTAAAAAACCTAAAAAAAGAAAAAGTTACTTAAATTTTAATACGGTCAACGCAGTCGAAAACGGTCTAGAATAGCCCCTGATATATATATATATATATATATATATATATATATATATATATATATATACATATATATATATATATATACATATATATATATATATATACATATATATATATATATATATATATATATATATATATATATATATATATACATATATATATATATATATATATATATATATATATATATATATATATATATATATATATATATATATATATATATATATATATATATATATATATATATATATATATATATATATATATATATATATATATATATATACTAGGAATATAAAACAGAAAATTATTCAAAGGTTTTTAAATGAGCATATCACCTAATTATGAGCTTTTATATTTTGAAAAAAATGACAATATATATATATATATATATATATATATATATATATATATATATATATATATATATATATATATATATATATATATATATATATATATATATATATATATATATATATATATATATATATATATATATATACTAGGAATATAAAACAGAAAATTATTCAAAGGTTTTCAAATGAGCATATCACCTAATTATGAGCTTTTATATTTTGAAAAAAATGACAATATATATATATATATATATATATATATATATATATATATATATATATATATATATATATATATATATATATATATATATATATATATATATATATATATATATATATAGGCTTGGTCGGAAAGGGGAAGCGATTGCTCTTGATTACTGACCACGGAATTAATATTTAATTGCAAAAAACTGACCATATTTTTTAGTTGTTTTAAGAACATTTCAAAAACCCAAAAAAGAATGTGCAAAAGATTAATTGGACTGATGAGATACAATAACAAAATAAAAATATAAAAAATTAGGAAAATAAAATATCTTTTAACGTGAAAAAGTTTAAAGTAAAGTAAATTACGTTTAGAACAAATATTTTCAAAACATCGATCTTTTATAATTTTTTTTATAAAATTAAGCGACATTTTTTATATAAAGTAACACCTTACAATTGTTTAAAAAAGAAATAAATGTTTTTTATTTAACAAAGACTGTAATATAATTTTTATTTATATACTCGTACTTATTTCCAGTGCTAGAAAAGAAGGGTTGGGGTTAGAAGGGGCTATAGCCCTAGGCCCTGCAACATTAGGGCCCCAAAAAAGACAAGAAGACCTTTTTGTTTAGTCATTTTTACGCTGTGGCACTTAAAAAGGCATCCAAAATAAAAATAGCCCCTGGCCCTGAAAAGTTTAACAAGATTCTAATAAAACTAACGCAAGTTTTAGTTTTAACTAAGCTCAATTATTTTATAAATAAAAAAGTTAATTTTTTTAATACCTATTTTACTTTGCGTAGTTTAAAAAGTTCAACATATTTGAAACAATTCTTCTTAGTAAGATGAACAAATGAAATAATTAAATCATTGAATTACTACAGAAACTAAATTAACTAGATAGAAATCAACTAAAAAGGTTAAAAATATTTTATGACGAGGAAGCGAAACTGCTCCACAATATCGCTGATGATGATTAGTGAGTGGCTTTTTAATTTTAATTAATAATTAAAGCAGAAAAAAAGTATAACAAGTTTTTAAGAATGGCAACTGAAACGAAAATAATTAGAGTTAGTAATCCAATATCTAGAAACTTTTCTTTATATCTAATAACTTGCTATATATATTTGTGTTCTGTCATTCTGTCAACCTCAGACGCGGTGCTTGTTCATCCACGAGTTAGTTTGTATGCATTGTTTGTGTTTAGTAACCTGAAACTTTACATAATTAGTTTTATTAACTTTGATAATTATTAATAACTTCATTGAAAACGCAATTATTTTTTAAGTCTTTGTTTACAAATTAAATCATAAAAATTGCTTTAAAAGATTACATTACGATAAAAAACAGATACACAAAATTACATTTACATAAAAAATACATACTTTTTAAATAAAAAATAAGAATATACTATTAAAATCTATAACTTATAATAATCTTTCAATATTTTGACAATTTAAAAAATATATACTATAAAACATTTATTTTTGTAAATAAATAATAATAGTTTAAAAGATTTATGGCTTCGCAGATGTGGCTTCAAGAAAGAGCCATAGTATTGATAATATATTCTTAGAACAATTTATGCTAGAAATCTTAAAACATAACAAAATGTGAATAATACAATTTTAAAAACATTTCAACAGAATACTCTAGAACTTTATTTTTTGAACAAATAGAATTAGTTTGTTTGTAATTTTGGCAAATTTACAAAAATTAGTTTGTTTGTAAATTTAGTGTTTGTGAATATTCTTTTTATTCTTTCACACCAAGATGTTTTGAGAACATTTAAGTTTATCATGTTTCCATGTATATCCGTAAAACAAAAATGTTTTGTTACGTTCATCAACTTAAATGTTCTTAAAACAACTAAAAAACCTGGCCAGTTTTTTGCAACTAAATTTAATTTCCGTGGTCAATATTTGAGAGCCATTGCTCCCTCTTCCCGACCAAGCCTCTATATATATATATATATATATATATATATATATATATATATATATATATATATATATATATATATATATATATATATATATATATATATATACATATATATATATATATATATATATATATATATATATATATATATATATATATATATATATATATATATATATATATATATATATATATATATATATATATATATATATATATATTAGGGGTATAAAATAAAAAATTATTTAAAGGTTTTCAAATGAACATATCACCTAATTATGAGCTTTTATATTTTGAAAAAAATGACAATAATTTTAAGGTACGTCCTTTTAAAAAACTCATGCACCAAATGAAATATAGTTCCTAAAGGGTTGTCCATAAATTACAAAACACTAAATTTATTTCGAAAACAGAAGAAGGTATATGAAGCTCTTTTACGTGGAGATTTTCATTAAACTTGATTTGATTTTTGATTTAACTTAATGCTCTGCGAGGGAAAACTTTTTTTTTGTTTATTGGTGAAATTTAGCATTCCACAACTTAATCTAATAAATTATAATTTGTTTAAGGCATTACAAGTTCAGTTATTACACAACCATTTAGTATGTCATACAAAAATTATACTGCAACGAAAATATCAAGAGACATGGAAAAAGAATTTGATTTACTTTGAGAAAAGTAAAAGATTACATAAGAGTAAATCTCAAGAATCATTAGGAACAATATGTAAAATAAAATATATAAGTAAGTTATAACTTTACCAACTTGGCAAATAATTAAATGATACACAAGTTTGGCATCAGACTGTAAAAATGTGAAAGGATGAATAAAGAAAATTTCAGATGAATGTTTGGCATCAGACTGTAAAAATGTGAAAGGACGAATAATGAAAATTTCAGATGAATGTTTAGAACTATGGGCTGACTTGAATTTTACAACAATAGACAAAAGATCAGTGCCAAGAATAATAGAAAAATCAATTAAAAAAAGAAAAATAGAAATCAAAAAACCAGGTATTTATAGTTTTGATGATTAATTAAATATAACGAAAGAGGATAGACTTTGGTTGCATTCAGAAGATAAAATTTTCTATTTAAAGCTATTAGAGACATCTCATAGAGTGGGATATACTACAGTGAAGCCTGATGATCCAAAAAAAATACATCCTTTAAAGAAAAATAAAATTGGAAACATTCCATCAATGCCATCAACTTCAATTCTAAACGAATACAGAGAGGAACACTAAAGTAGTAATGCGTCAGTAAGTAACAGTGGCAGTGATTATGAACCTTCGATAAATATTAATAAATGAAAAATTAAACAGAGGACAGTCTGTAAATTGGTTTGTCAAGCAAAGTTAAGTACACAAAAATTTGCCACAGTGATCAACAACCTTAGATGGCTGGTGTCAATCTTCCTGCCTAACTCAACCAGCAACCTATATGGCAGTCATCAGAGAAGGTTAAATATTACGAGATAAATTGAGAAAAGAATTGAAAGTCGAGAATTAGTGTTTGCATTTTGATGGAAAAAAGATGGAGTAGAACATCAAGTAGTCATAATAAAGAACAATAAAAAAGAGGTTATGCTAAAGCTAATAGGCTCTACCCTAACCTCTTTTTGATTTTTTTAACCCTCATTTTGAATTTTATCAACCTCTTTTTGAATTTTATTGTGACAGACCCTACAAAAGTTAACACTGGGAAAACAAGTGGTGTAAGAAATTAAAGAAATTAATGACATATTTTGAAAGTGTTGGCTTTCAAAAAGCTCTCTATGTTTTGAACATAGAGAAAACACCATATATTAGATCGATTATTTAAGTGATGTCTGGATGACTTTTTTGGAGGTAATACTAATTTACCTGAACTGTCATATTATTTTGTTGAAGCAATACATAGTAAATGACAATTTAACATTGAACTTTAACAATAGTGGTATAAAATTGAAGGAGAATGAACTGAAATAGAGAGATTACATACAGTTTTTAAAGCATCTAATTAACATAGTGAAATACTTTTGGAATGAAAAGAAATTTTCTAATGTTAATTTTAAAAGTTTACCAAATATTAGCCAATCTAGATGGAATTCCCGGGCAATTTATTTACTACTTGCTTACATACTAATTCCTTCAGACAGACAATGACTTAAGATAGCAGTTAAGCTTATTGCTGGAAAACTGACAGATATCTGATTTTCAAAACAAATGTTTAACCCTGAAAATGATAAAGAATCGGAAGAAGCCATTAAAGATTATCCAAAGGCTATCAATACATTCACCAAGTTTTTGTGTGATATTGCCTATAAATACGCAAAGATCTAACATTTGTGCCGAATAAGAAGTAATAGTTTTAGAAGATATCAAAAGAAACTATGTATTTGAATTATTTATTAACAAATCACAATTAAAGCAAATGCAAACCTTTTTAGTTAATGCAGTTTTATTAATATAGTTTTTTAAACATTTGATATTTTGTTAATTTTATCAATATAACTTTATTTACATGATATATATCTTTATTTCTTATCTGAACATAACTTATTATTTTAAGACAAAACTGAAAACATTTTACTTCAAATTACCAGTAACAAATTTCTAGCCGTGTTTTTGTTATGTGATTAATAGCTTTTGGCTTGGCTTTTTAGTGGGTTAGTGCATGAGTTTTTTTCTAGAAACATAATGAAACTGAATTCTTTTAATTATTTACAAAAGCTCATCAGAATATGACACGCTCATTGAGATTGTAAAAATATTATATCCCTAATATTACACCCCTAATATATATATATATATATATATATATATATATATATATATATATATATATATATATATATATATATATATATATATATATATATATATATATAAGCAAAGAAGACAAAAATTAGATATTACACTTCTTGTAAAAACTTGTTAACAAGTATTTTGGATAACTTATTCAGGAACATAGTTTTTATTTGCAGAATGGCTAAAATAACAAACCTTTTTAATGCTTTGTGCAATGGCATTCAAATTTCTTGTGTTTGAATAGTTAGGAAATAATATAACCATAGAACCCGATAAAGAAGCCTGATGAAGGTCATTAAAACAGCTTCTAAAACTTGTTTGTGGTTTTTTTAAACTCTTCCAAACATCATTTGTAATAACAATTGGATACACTTGAAGCATTGATGATCTTTTAATAAAAAGAAAACCTGACTTCCAGTAAGGAGTACCATTAACATATGTAGTGCTCAACTTATCTTTACTAATTACACAATCAACTTTGAGAGAAAGAAGATGACAACTTTTAGGAATACTTTTCATTACGTCAAGAGAATCTATTGATTTAAGTTCAAAATTAAGAATATAGTTTGGAACAATGCGCAAGTCATCATCTATGTAAAGCTTGACACTAAAATAAAAATTAGTAGCATTAATTATATATATATATATATATATATATATATATATATATATATATATATATATATATATATATATATATATATATATATATATATATTATTATATATATATATAGGGCTCAATTTAATTTTTTATAAAGTCCCAGACAAAATGTCCGATCAAAACTTGTTTGGGTCGGACAGTGACCTATCAAGTTTTTCAAATATAACATTTATGGTTTTACAGAACCGAGTTATACAATTTTTTGTCATGTTTTTCAGTTTATTTAACGTTAGTCTAGCGAAGATTCTTTCCTTTTTATTTAGAATATTTCATTGCAGATTTTTTGTTAATAAAATAGTTTCAATTCAACATTGTACAAGCCTTCCCAGGAAAGGCGTCCGGTTTTTCGTCTCGTATGACCACACGCAAGTATATTATTTTAGACAACTTGAACAAAGCCATTTGCAAGTTTTATTATAGTGCTGAAAAAGTTAAAAATCAAAAAAAACAAAACTAACAAAATTAAAAGAGATTGAAATAGAAAAAAATAAAAACAAATTAATAATTGAAATAATTTGTGTACTGTTTTTTTTTTTGTTTCTTTAGAGTTACATTCAGCAACAAAATTAGATTAAAAAGCGAAACAAAAAAAAAAAAACAGTTTGAAGTCTACAATAAAAAGAATGATAGCAGGAGGATAAAGAGGATAGCAAAAATACAAATTGCAATGTGTTTGTAAAATTTATTTGTATAATTTTAATGTAACAACAAGGGTTGAATAAAGCGAATGCGAAATGCAAAATCTGGAAAAATATCTAGTATTCAAAATTTTAGTTTATACAAAACCATGTTCCTTGTTTTTAAGGGGAGAATCAACTTAAATTTGTAGCGAAAAAATAAAAAATAACACTCTAGTCACTAACTGCATTACAAAAGTAATAACATTATAATAGTGTTATTAATTTTATAACGCACTAATAACTTTTAAAATTCATTCTTTGTTCAAGCAACATTAGTATTCCCAAATTTTAATTGAAGTAGAAAAATATCTAGAAGAATAAAGTGGATGTTCAAGTAATATTAAAACTAAAGTAACTTATAAAAACGTGACAAACAACTTTATAAAAAAATATTGCATTGAAAGTTTAGCATAATGAAAAACGTTACTAATGGACTGTAAAAACGCGCATTAATTTTAAAATTAAACAATAAAAATTTTTTATTGGTTGATTTTAAAATTAACGTGCATTTTTACGTAACGTTTTTCATAATGCTATACTATTTATAAAGTACTTTTTTATAATGTTGTTTAAGTGATCTGTGAAAGTTCCTGAAATTTTTAATAATATTTGAATATATGCTTTATTTTTTCTAGATGCTTTTCTACTTTAATAAATGTTTGGAATTAATAATGTTGTTTGAACAAAGAATGAACTTTAAAAGTAATAACTGCTTTATAAATGTAATAACACTATTATAGTTTTATTACTTTTATAATGCAGTTAGTGACTAAAGTGTTATTACTTTTGTAGTCATAAGTTTATTGTTTTTGTTTTGTTTTTTGTAACTTTCTTGCAAGCAAAATTTTAATATTTTGCTCCTTATAAACAAAGTACACAGCTTTGCATGAACTAAAATTTGAAAGACCTAATATTTTACCAGAGTTTGCAAATCGTGATTGTATAATTCAACTCTTGATATAAACTTGTTACATTATAATAATACAAATATATTTTACAAACAGATGACAATACATATTTTCTCTTTCCTCTTTAAAAGAAAAAACACATAAATATGGGAAAGTCATCCTTTTTAACGCCTAAAACCATTTTTTTTTTTGCTTTAACTAACTGAATTTTGTTGCCGATAATAATAACCAAATAAAACAATTTTTCAGCAACGCATGTAATAAAACTTGTGCAAACGGCCGTGATCACGTACTCTAACTTGAAAAATGTTTTCGTGGTCATACAAGGCAAAAAACTGCATGCCTTTCCTGGGAAGGCTTGTTGTATGTTTTTTTACATTGTATTTTTTTCTTTACAATTTGATAACACCTGTTTCGATGTGTTATTAATTTAAATACAATAAAAAAATTGTTACTTGACGAATAACTTTTAATCATTAAATATAATGGTCGTTAAAATAAACACATTATTTGTAAATTAAATGTTATATTTAAATTTTTTGTGTAGGTATGTATTTTTTATGATAAATTTAAACGTTTTAAACTATTTTTCCATGTCTTTCTAACAATTTTTAAAAGATAATTTCTTTAAGTTACTTTAAATTATGAGGTTAAATTAAATCTTCCTATGATTTATTTGCTTCATTTTTTTTAATTCTATTTTTACAAAGACTTGTTTAAAAGTTTTTTTTTTTTAACTTCACTTGCAAATTAAAGCATGAAATGATTAAAAATTACAATTTTAAATTATTTTTGAAAACTTTGAAATTTGAAAAAGACTAGGGTTGTTTTCACACTTACCGTGAGTTTAACAAAAGTTACTTTTATATTTCAGATTGCTCAAAAAGGAGAAATGTATTGGAAATAAATTTTTGCAGGCATCAATGTAATACTATAAGGGTTAGTTTAAAATTAATCTTACTCTGAAATTTAAATACATAATGTATTTTGATCAAACTTTTAAAGCGCAGTTTTCCATACTTATCGTAAGTGTTTCACACTTATAGTATATATTGTTGCCTTATATCTAAAAATCTGCTTTAGTGTCTTGTTTAAAATGAGCTTTCGGTTTCAAATGAAAATTTAATGGAACATTTTATTAAACACTTTTAGGTGTAAAAATAAAAAAAAAACTATTAAATAAACATTAATGATGTAGTGATGAAAATATTATTATGAATTAAAACTAAAGATTTTAAAGAATTTCTATTACTTTAGTACATATCCTTTAAGTTCTTAAACTGAAAAGGATAGAGTTTCATTCTAAGTGAGTCTTTTTCAATGAGCTCGCTTTCTGACTCAGCTTTCTTTTTCTTTTGCAACTGTTTTTTTCTTTTTCTAAATTTTCATGTTTTCTCTTTCATTTTTAGTTTTTTCCTCTAAATAAGGAGCCGGAGCAACAGTTGACTCAGATAACTTTTGAATTTTTTTGTAGCCAACACTATTAGCATCAAATGGAAAAATTCAGGTATTTTTAAAACCACTTTTAATATTACTTGCCATAGAAGGATCAATTATAAAAAAAATTAATGTTTTTTGTACATTATCATTGTTTATGTCTTGTCATTCATGGTCAATGCGAAATTGTCGGCAAAAGGATTTCAACTTTGCTTTCATTAGCCAAAAAACTGCCACATTGAGGTGCTACAAAATATGTGTTGCATTTGGGAACAAAGTAACAAGAATTATTCCATTTTTAGAGCAAAACTCACGTTTGATTAAAAAATGTGATGCATGACCATCAAAAAAAAATAATAACTGGTAAAGAATTTTTTTTTTTTAATCAAAAATGGATTAAAAAAGTTTGTAATATATTCAAAAAAACATTCTGCAGTCATCTAACCATTTTTGCTTTTTCCAATACCCCATCCTGATGAAGCAGCATTTATAATTTTATTTGGAAAACAAACATATTTAAAAACTGTTAATGGTGAAGCAAAAGTTCCGCTGGCATTTACTGCAAATAAAGTAGTGATGCTTTTTTTATTACTTCAAGCACTTTCTTCATATGTATTTTTTCCTCGCTCACCAATTAATAAATTGGTTTTTCCTGACAACCGAAAACCACTCTTATCCATAATTATTTAAATATTAAGTGTTTTCTCCCAAAAACTTTCGAATTTCAGCAAACTAATCTCTTATGGCTTTTTCAGTTACTCCTCTAGCTCTTTTTCAGGACGGTTGTTAGTAAATTGTGTTTATATATTGTTGGAATTCAAATATTTTTGCACAGTATCTAATAGCTGTACTACAGACATGGCAAATCCCATTCTGGTACATGTTAGTAACCACTTGACCAACTTATTTTCAATGTGTTCACCTAGTACCAATTCATACCCGCAGTGTTGTATCTTCAAAGAAGTTCTTCCAGATATTTAATCACAAAGCTTCTGATAAGGAATTCCAAACATCTTGCTTGCTTTGTACACAACTATACCTTATTCAACAGCATTAATAGCATCACATAATTGACTATCTGTATATTAAAGTCTTCGTTTTGAGCTACAAACTTTTGTCTTATAACTTTGTCTTGCCATTGTAAAAGAATCCAAGTAAAATATTATTTATTTTTATAGTAAAAAAGAAACAAATTGATTATTCATTGAACATAGGATATGTATGGAATGATACTTTTTTTATTTCATACATATCGTACATTCAAAAAAACTACATTGATACTATAATAATGAGTGGTTTTGATAATATTAATAATGATTCATGTTTTATTTACGTGATTAAGTCAATTTAGAAATAAAATTTTATGTTATCTTCTTAAATTTCCTAGTTTTTATTTGAAGCATTTCTAACAGCTGCTTCTTGAAAAAAAAATATTTTCATATGTTGACGTAATAAACCCACTGAGTTCATAAAAGTAACTATGTATTAGGGTTGCCATGTATTGTAATAGAAATGCATGACGATATTGTTGATACTCAAAATATTAAAATAAAAATAAAATAACTACTTTTTGCAAAATTTATGTTATTATATAAAACCTACGATAAGTATTGACTCACGGTAGGTGTGAAAAGTTATTTATTTATTTTTTTTTGCCACTTTTTTAAAAAAATGTTTATACAACTTAAAATTATAATATTTTTTTCTTTTCATCAATTCAATTTCACTTTTCAATAATTCAAATGAAGTATGTTTATTTATTAAAAAATAAAAAGAAATAATTTGTAAAAGCGTTTCGCGTAACTTTAAACGTAAAAGATAAGTTTAAAATTAATTTTTTTTTAATTGTAATTAAAAACATAAAAAAAAGTAGTTTAAACTTCGAGTTTTTTTAGTTTTATTTTAAAGCTATTTTATTTTATTTTTCCTAAGGAATTGTTTTGCTTATTCTTTAATTTTTTCATTTTTTTTCCTTGTTAAAGTTAAGCTTAACGTTTCTTTTTTCAGCGCATTTCTGAAACGTTTAAATCATCAAAACATCTAAACAGTCATGGTCAATTTGTAATTAAAAAAAAATCATTTGTGTGGTCAGTAATTGCGTTCGATTGCACGCCTCACTTCATTTTTTTAGAATTCAATTCCCGACGGTCAAAATATCCGATTACTTTGTAAATTGATCGGACAATCTGAGATTGTATACAAATTTACTATACAAATTATTTCATATATACTCATATAAGTATATATAAATTATTTTTAATACTGCTAATTAAAGTAAAAACACAATTTTTTTAAATTACAAAATAAAAGACTTATAGTATAAGTATATCAACTAATAATTAAGTTGAAGTAAATCAATAAAATTAATAATAATAATACAGTGATAATAATAACAAGAATAAAAATAATGGCAGTAGTAATATATATTTATTAACTTCTATTTTATGAACTATATGTCTTTTACTATTGCTGGTGAATAGAAGTGTTTTTTATGTAAGATACAAGTATAATAAATTACAAAATAAAAGATGTTAAAAAACTTAAATAATGCCAGTCTTTTTTTTCTAAATTTTTTGCTTACATAAAAGTCAATATAGTTATTTATTCTGTTTATATTGACATCAAACCTAATGTTGTTGATAGTTGTATGTGCTATAATTAAGTTGATTTTGTTCAGTAAATATAGATCACTAAACTATTTTGGTGCTATTTGATATTTCATTACAATGCTTATTAATTATATTGCTGAAAAATAAATTAAATGACTGTTTATCATGTTTGTTAGACTACTTGGTGTTATCAAGGTTAATAAAATCAAATCGTTTGAATAAGTTCGTTGATTTCTTGTAATTATTTTATTTCATAGTTTTAGTGCACTGCATAAACATTGATGATGAAAACTTTGTAGGTTGTATGCTTTAAATTACTGATTGATTTAAAATATATCTTTGTTTTGAATATTAATTTTGAAAAAATTAAATCATATAGTATGTGTTTCTTTTTTCGTGTAGTAAATTATAAGACATAAGACAATGCATTTTTAACTTTTGTGAATATTTTTTTATAATAAAAATAGTTGCTTATTAAGTTCAAAGCATCAGTTGAAAAACCACAATCTTTTAGCTTCAAAATCAGTAATTTGGAATCTACTTAAGTCAAAAGCTTTTCTGAAATCGATAAATATTAATAATGTAAATAGTTTTTTAGAGTTACTAAGCTTTACTTTAGAGAACATGTAACACAGTTTCACATGAATGATCGCATCTGAAACCGTGTTGGTCAACATTGAATAAATCATTTTGTTCAAAGTATCCAGTTACCCTTTTAGCAGTTATTTGTTCAAACGCTTTGTTTATTGGGAAAACTATAGTATTTCCTACTTTTATTACTACAGAATTTCAACTTTTTGTTCATAAAGTGGCATAATACTACCAATAATAAATTCATTTGGACTACTACCTGTTTCTTATAAGTAAGATAAGATAATTAATAACAATAATAATTATTAGTATAATAATAACAGTAATAGTTTACAACATTAACACTAATAAAAATACCAATGTTAATTATAAAGATTATAATATCTAAACAATAACAATAAGGGCATAAAAATGGTCATTTAGGAGAGTGTATAAATAAAAAGCTATACCTACATTTATACATTCAACACACCCACACATAAAGACACCCACTTATACATGTACATATATACCATAGATTATCCTAGTCATATTTTAAAAATCCGGAAAATGGTTTGGAAAACATATACGGAAAAATTCCGTAATTTTTTTTCCCTTATTTTCTTTTTAATTTCGCTTTTAGATAAGTTGTTTCTATTTTTTTTTGATATTTTTCAATTATTTTTAAAGTGATGAGTGAAAAACCTTAAAAAATAAATATATTACAAAAATATATACCTCAACATGCATGTATTGAAAATACTTTGGATATCCAGAAAGGCTAAAAGTTTAAAAAAATATCTGGAATTCCGGAAATATCCGGAAAAAGATAATCCCTGATATATACACACACGTACACATATATATGTATTAAATAAAAATATATAAAAATAAGTAATCATACATACATATACATATTTTTATATGCACAGACATATACACAAAATGCATACATGAATATAAATATACAAATAGGTTCATACACGCATAAAAATATGAAACAGAAGGATAAGTAGTAAATAAAAAGGTAACTGAATAGGTTTAAAAAAAGGAAAACTAAACACTATTATAATTTAGAAAAATAGTCAAAATTAATTAATGATAGAAGAAAAAAAGATAATGATCTGTTAAAACTATATTGTGTGTTTTTATGAAAGAAAATTTTTGATATTGGCAATGAAAAAATTTTTTGCAATGTTTTGAAGATTTATTTTTTTTGAAAGTGAATCGATTGGTATTTAGTAGATTGAATACCATATTTGCTTGTAGTTTTTTTTTTTTTTTTTGAAGGTAGAGCTAAGTTCAAACAAGTTACAGATCAAATACACAGATACAGATCTAAATACACAATACTTTAAAATTACAAAACATTGTGCAATTACTTCGAACGCAAAGTGACTGAGACTAAAATCTTTAAACATACATCTGAAATAAACCTGTTAGAAAAACGAGTGTACTGTCCGCTTTCGCATTTTGAATGTTGAAAGAAGATTTCCCACTTGCGTCTTCGACTAAGCTCTCTTTGAACAGTTTTATTCCATACCATGCAAACTTGTGAGCAAACTGATAATGTTTTTGCACTAAGATATGAAAAAAGTTGATTCAAAAACGGGTATATGGATGTAAGAACTAAATCAGACCTTGAGAGAAAATTCTTATTAGAATTCATTATAACTTTGTATACATGTATATGTATAACTGCGTATATACATGTGTATATATTTTTTTTAGCCGGCGATAAATTAGTAGTGTCTGCTACCGGGCGAAACCGGACTAGCTTTAGTCAGAGATTGAGGTTTGCAATCTTAATGATTATTCTGAAATGCCGGTGTCGTATAAATTTATTTCCGAGTCGCACGCCGATTGGTTAAAGAGGCCACTCGAAATAACTAAACAACGCCATTCAAACTAAACAACAGTATCTTGAAATGCCGGTATCCCGGGATTTCAAGATCCCGGGGTCTTGAAATCCCGGAATACCGGCATTTTTTATAATCCCGAAATCCCTTTTTTATATTTTTTATTATTCCGAATTGTCTGATATCAATCCCGGGATTCCCTATGAGATCGAGCAAAACCTAAAAATATGTAAAAATAACAACAATTTATGCCCATCAATATAATAATTTTTATTTAGTTTAATATCGCAGAAAATAATTCTATTTTCACTATTCTGTTCTGTAATTCTGCAAAATAAACTTTTTTAAACTGAAAAAAAAACGAGCCTTTTTTACAAGGTTTACTCTTAAAATTAAAACTTAAACAAGCATGACGTATGCGGATTTTACAATTAAAAGTAACTCAACTGTTTGGAAATATTTTCTACGAAAAGAAAAAGGGCAAACAGCGAAAATTTAAAAATCTGTGGTAGTTCAACAAAAGGACTTTATATAGACATGTTGTCGGTGCATAATCTGAAGATCGAAAGTCCAACCCAACCTAATATTTACGAAGAAAGCACATCAGATAAACCACCAAAAAAGAAATCTAAACCACTAACAGAATTCTTTTCAATTTTGAAAAGGAAAAAATATACTAAAATACTGCACGCTACACTTGCTCGTCTAACGGCGACTGATGGGCTTTCATTTAATGTGATTTGTTCTTCAATAGATTCACGTGCCGCTTCAAATGCTATGGGATTTAGAAATCTACCAACGTCAGTAAACACAATTCGAAATCACGTAGAAGAGTAGAGCAAAAAAGTGAGATTAGGTTTACTTCAGCAAATTAAAGCCCTCAAGAGAATTCGGGGTAGGAGAGAAATTTCCTTTGAAATCGTCACTATATGATTGTTAGCGTTCATGGAAAAAATCCTCAGTTTTGGAGTTTGGGTTTAGTGTGAATAACAGGGTCAATGCAAGCAGAAAAATGCATTAAACTATTAGAAAAAAAATTTAAAGACCATTGTCTTGATCTACGCGGCGACATTGTGGCTATAATGACCGACGAAGCAAGTATTATGAAAAAAGTTGGAAGGTTGCTGGCTGCAAATTAACAATTATGTTTTATCAACAACAATTACCGTCATTAACAATAATAACCGTCATACATATTTTTGAAAGTTTCTTTACTTAACGACTTATCCAAATTGTCGAATAAAATTTTATGCCATTAACTTATAAATTTTTTCCACATCTTATGCATAATTAGGCATTAGTTTTTGACGTTACTTTTAACACCTCCCATTTCTCCCTATCATCCGATAGAAGAGAAATCTTGTGATTGGGAACGCTAAATCATTTTAATCAATGTTTTATCATAATCAAACTCAAAATAACTTCAACAATTTTTTAAATAATATATTTTAGATTTAAGATTCAAGCAATTTTTTTCTAAAACAAATGGTTTCCCATTAACCTAGCTTTCCAAAGGTATAACAACTTTTTTGAGTGTCCAAATAAACTTTTGTCATTACTCCCTCTATATTTTTACTATGTCAACTGTGGCATTTGACATAGTGAAAATATAGAAAACAGCCACGCACTTAAACACTACATCTACCATGTTTTCCAGTCGATAATACACACTACTTCATCAAACATTTAAAGATTTTTTACAGACAAATAATCTTCTCTTAAAATCAAAGATTTAAAACCTCGGCACGACTACATCCGAGTTTACAGTCTTAGATGATTTTTAATTTTTTAGTTTAGTTTTTATTATTCTTATGATTTTTATCAAAGCATTTCAATCAAAATACTTTTATGTTTTTTAAATTATCTAATAGTGGAAAAATAAACAATAGTTAAATATAAAATAGCATTTTTTAAAAAAAGTTAATGTCATTAACTATAATAATTAGTGCCTCCAATACCGATACCATTTTTCAATACCGGTATATCGGTACTAAATAATTACAATACCGGTAATACCGGTATAATACCGGTATTAAACTTTATTTTTAAATTTATCATAATCTAAATAAAATCTTAAGTTAATAGTAAAAATTTTATTGATTCAATCAGCTTATTTGTTTTATATCAAAACTACTGACTTTTTCATTTTTCGCTTTTTTCTGCTTAGTAAAATGAGCCCGTAAAAAACATAGGGCGTTCAGAACATCATCTTCAAAAGATACTCTAATTTTGTTGGCTTCACAGTTTTCAAGAAATGGTAGGAATTTTGCAAATATATTCAACGATTTCCTCCTTCTTCAAAAATTCCTATTTCAATACATATAGTTTTTGATAAATTATTCGAAACATTCAATTTTCCCTTGTTGTTACATTTCTTATTTTTCAAAATTGCAAAGTCAAGCTTTTTTTTCAATGACAAGTTTACAGCGTTGTCCACAGAATCACTATCGGAAAAAACGCTGGTGAAAGGGAGAGGACTATACCCTTTCTGATTGAGCCGATCTTTCAGTCGAGTAATGGTATTTACAATGGCTAATTTGCTATGGTGCTCAAAAGATAGAGCTAGATCCAAATTCTTGTAACGTTGATGTCCCTTGTGCAAAAAATGTTGTATGCTGGAAAAAGAGTACGTTGCTCATTGAATTGTTGCACCAACATAACTTTACAGCTAAATCGGTTTCTCCAAGGTTATCTATCATGAAAATGTTGTATCGGCACACAACAGAGTTGCATGATTTTTGCACAATGTTTCCACAGCCAGTTTTACTGACGCAAGACATAAGTTAACAGCTAATATTGCATCGAAATCATTATTAGTTACTTCAACTTTGGACTCAAGGGCAAAAAGTGACTCGTGAATGCATTTTTTCAATTATACAAAACGTTCGAGTACTGTGTGCAAGCTAATCCAGCTAGTTTTGGATCCAAGTATTAGTGGAATATCTTTATCAAATTTTTCTAACGTGCGTTTTTGAATTTTGATCATTTTTTGTCGGAGAACGGAAAAATAAAAATTTCACAACGGTGCGCACCTTTTTGATTAACGGCAGCAGATCATCAGTCAGTTCAATAGAGTCATTCTCTTCACTCATTACAACTTGAAACCCGCCGGAAAAGTCTTCATCATTATTGGTTTTGTTTGTGTCATCAGTATTTCCTCGTCACTTTCTCTGTTATTGCATATTACTTTCAAGTTTTTTTTGCAGAAATTGAAGATTTTTTGTACAAAATATCTTGAATACCTAGTTGAATCCCACGCCTAATGCACAACTGTTGATCACAGTTACTTAAACGCCCCACTTTCTACATTACCGAAACTTTTCATATTTACGTTAGTGCAAAATTCAAACAGGCGTTCTACATTAAAGCGAGTGACGTAATGATAATATTTTAAATTGGTGCTTCATTATTTAATGAAAACACGAAAGTAAATGAAATACTTAAAACTTCCAGTCACAATCAAACAACGCTTCCGGTAAGAAAAAAAATTTTATACGTCTTAAACGCGTCTTTTACACACAGGTAGCGACTAGCTAGCTGTTCGCTGGCTAGTTGCTAGCTCATTTCCTACCAAATCTAGTGGGAAATGAGCTGGCAACTAGATATCAAGTATAAAGTACGTAGAATACTTGTTTTAGACAATTTAAACACGTCTTTTCTCATCTAGCTATCTTTTTCTTACCGGAAGCGTTGTTGAAAGTTTTAAGTACTTCATTTACTTTAGTGTTTCACGTAAAGAGGGCGATAGCACCTGCTATATCATAAGCCCTCTACATATATTTTTAATACCTTTTAATGGGCAAGTCTTGCGATATCGGTTTATTTTTTTCATCGGACATATTTTTAATGGGCAAGTCTTGCGACATCGGTTGGGAAGGAGTCGTGAACTTCCCATTAAATGCTCTTCCGCGGTGCTCTGTGATAAGACCGTAAGGACTTCTTGGGGCACCTTAAAAAAAAAAAAAAAAGGAAAGAATACCGGTATTGAGCCAAACCAATACCGGTATTTCGGTACTTAAAAATGTCCGGTAATACCGGTATTCCGGTACCGGTACTACCGGTATTGGAAGCACTAATAATAATGTCATTAACACCATACTGTAAAATAAAAGAATGTCATTAACACCGTACTGTAATTCTCAAAATCTTGTTTTTGTTTAGTATTGAGAGGCAATTGAACTAGGCAATAAGTAGTTGGAAACGATTGCACTTTGTTGAAAAGAGTTTCATCGAAAGTCGAACGCGATTTAGTCACACTAAATGTACCACCACAAAAATCCGCACTTATTCCTCTGCACATATTCATATAAGACTCTACAAGCAAAAAAGATCCTATTTTCCGTTTTTTACAAAACTTCTCTGAATGCACAATGGGCCAGAGATCGGCATAAATGCTGAAAATAAGTATTTGTGGAAACTTTTTTTTGCAAAATTTAAAAGTAAATACCCCAAACTAAAAAAATCTGTGCTTTATATATTTTAATTTTTGTTTTAGGAGTCATGGGAAAGTCTTCAAGCTCGTCCGATAAAATTTTTTTTAAAAAAAAAAAAAAAAAAAGAGAAAATACTCATAAAATTGGATTTCAAAAAAAGGGTTTGACACATAATAAATTTTGATTAATTAATGGTTCGAATCTGCGAAAAACTTTCTAAAAATAACCAAAAGTTATGTCTAAAATCTCTAACATATACACCTTTTTCTATTTGGGTATTTAGGGTGCCTGCATCTGCAAAAAAAAAAAAATTCAAAATTTTTTTTTCTTTTTGAAAAGATCTTCATGATGACTAGAGTCACTGATAAAAATTTCAATTTGACAACTTTAAAAATAAAGGAGTTATGATTTTTTGTCCATTTTATGTCGATCTCGGCCCACTGTGCAATGCCGAGAAGATAACAGAAACTGACTTGTCTTAAGTTGACTTGAGTCAAAGCTTTCGTTAGTTTTACCTTCGCTCTGTTTGAACAAAACATAATTTTGGTCTTGGATTTTATTCTTTCCTCTTAAGGCGGAGTGGTGGAAGAAAAGATAACTGTTGAAAAATGGAAAAAAAAAAGAATTAAAATTGACTAGCCTAATGCACAGAAATAACCACATAGTTCGAAAAACAACCTTTTGAAACCTTGAAAAATCAGTATGGTATTAATTTAAAACTTAAAAAAATTAGATATCTAAAAACTTACAAATGCATGCAATATTTACAGTAACGAAGTTCAAAAGACATTTAAAACATTTAAAAAACCTTTAAAAGACGTATTTTTTAAGTTTCGTGTCCATTGGGAATTTAGTTAAATTTCAGAATTTAATGTTCAGAAATGCTTCATTAGATTATCACAACGAGTTTTATCAACGAAATCACACCCGATTGGCAAAAAGTTTGTATTAGTTTAATTAGCATTTTTGTATTAATGTATATTACCATGGGCGAATCCAAAATTTAGTGGTTAGGATAGTTATAGAATATATAATTTGGGAAGATTTTGGGAGTAATTTTTTCCCGAGGGCACGTTTATGTGTTGAAGTGGGTGGTAAGTAGGGTCCCATCGCTCAAGAAATATCTGTAAATATATTTACGTAAACTAGTTTCAACTTTTCTTTTGAAAAAAGACACAAAAATCGATTCCATAATAATTTTTTTTTTCTTAAAAGTTATTTCCAACGCTAATAACTGTTGAAATCCTCTCTTTTTTAGTTAATTTTTAGTCTCTCTAAAAAGAGAACAATTATTAGTTGCAATAGATATTGATAAAAAACCACAATTGAATAGATTAATCAAGCATTCGTTTTAATGATTGAGACTAATCTTTTGACGCATAACTGTCATTTTTTAAGACGGCAAACAAAAGAACTCGGTTGTATCCCCATCGTTCAGAGAGTTTTTAATTTTATTTTTGGTTCCAATACAACCTTTTTTAGCAAAATAGTATTGGAAAAGTTTTGTTTTTATAAAAAGTTTCAACTTGAAGTATCAATATATTTAACAAATTAATTTGTAGTTCTATCTTTTAAAATAAAATTTATGAAAACGTATTCCAATCAACTCGTTGAAACCATGACTCGCTTGGAAATTTTCGATAAAACAAACCTGTGTCGTTTCCTATAAAATAATTTTTAAAAAAAGTTTTATTTACATAAATTATCGAGATAAAGTTAGAAATAAAAGAATATAATTAAAAAACAAACAAGCTAGAAGCTATAACAAATATAAAAAATAGATATAAGTTTTTTTTTTTTTAACAATTGAATATTTTAAAATTGAATCTTATACTTAAAACCTACTAATTTTGTTAACTCAAGGTTAAAAAATTACTTAGGTTAAAAAATAGCAACTTGTTTGGGCTACTCCATGAATATTTTCTAAATAACAATTTTGTTTAAGCTAGTCAGTTATTATTTTCAATACATTAAATTTTTACCGTATAAATACGTAATCGAATAATTTGAAAAAAAAAAGAAATAAAGAAAATTAAAAAAAAAAGTTATAATTTTGGTTTTATATTTCACAAATCTTTTTTTCTTTTTCTTTTTTATTTAAGTGATCCAGGATCACTTAAATAAAAAGAAAAAACAGTCTTATCACAGAGCAAAACGGAATAGCATTTAATCAGGAAGTATACACCTCCTTCTTTACAAATGATGCGTACATGGCCAAAGTCGGTTTCGAACCATGGACCTCCAGTTCTGAATCCAGACCCCATACCACTACACCACGGCTGTACAATTGTTTTTATCCGGAATTTTGGAACTGCAAAGCAAATTCCGAATTTATGCAAAATGGAAAAAACTCACACATAAATTCATTAAATTGAAAACTCAAAAATTTAACGAAACTGCTATTTTACTTAAATAGATTTGTTTTATGTTTTATGTTTTAAAATTATTTTATGGTAAAAAATATTTTATATACATATAATTTCCATTGTTTGCAGTTAAACTATTGAGCACTGTACTAACCCAATCAACACCATAATAATTATATGAACAAACGAGCTCTCCTATCGGATCAGATAGATCGGATCGAGTACTGCTTGCAGTAAAGGTTTTACTTTCATGCAGTACAAATTTTCCTGAAAACTTGTACTGCATGAAAGTTTTGCAAACTTTTATAATCTTTTATTTTCTTAAATAAGGGATTATAGCCTATAGTAAAAACAATAACCGGTGGTGGGTGGAGGTGTGTTAGAATTGAGCGCATTTATATTCTTAAGAGAATCTCACAGTTAAATGAAGTGTCAAATTTAAAATCAAGAATTGCTAAAAATAAAATAAAAATGGTAAATGTATTAATGCAATTAATGTAAATTTCATTCACGTGTACCAATATTAAAAGTTATACAAATTTTGTTTTTCAAAATATTTTCTAAAATGTATCACTTTCATTGACTGACTTTAATCTTGGGCCTTCATAATTCCTGAAATTGGCATCAGAATGTCCTTTTCCAAACCATTTTATTACATAATCCTTTGGATCAAAATTTATACCTGATAGACCTACTAATGAAATAAAAATTAAACTCGAAACAATTTTTATTATCAAAGGGAATCGCAATGAATACAAGATTATATCACCATGATCGGTTGAAATTTGGACGATTTTAAATTGAGTTTTTTCAAAAATTACTTAATCAATTGTTATGATTTTTTTTGTAATGATGCTAACATAAACAGCTTTTTTGTGTGTGAGTGCAGTTTTGTTTCCTCCTCATTAGTTTTTGCAATGTTGAGTAAAGAGTCTGAAAAAAATTTGAAATTTTACGTAGAAAATCCATCTCTCTCGTATTCCATGATTTCAAAAGCAACTGTTAGAATTATTATAAAATTTTAAAAGGAAAAAAAAACTGTAAAATAAAATTAGGAAGTAGTGGAAAATTAAGATTTATTTCCAAAAAGGTGGCAAAATCAATATATTCGTTCATCAAAGTTAATACAGACATAATATCGACAATAAAGTTGACTCAGTTCATCAAAGTTCGACTCAGTGACAACAAGATTTAGCTACGAAGTTTAAATGCAATAAAGCTTTTGTTCAATAAGTATTCAAAAAAGAAAATCTGAAAGAATATTACAAGAAAAAAATACCTAAAAGGTCGCTTGATGGAGAAATCAAGGCAATTAGATTAGCTAAAAATTTACTGAAATTAATTAAGAAAAAAAATTTATGCATTTTAGAAGATAATAAAACTTACTGTAAAAAAATCACTCGATGCTTCCAGGTAACCAATATCAGTCAAAACTTTATAAAGCTTCTGATAAATTTAAGTAAATTTTAGTAAGAAAATTACTTTTGAGTTCCTTGTATGGCAGGCAATTTGCAGTTGAGGTTTTAAAATCTATATGTGAGTAAATCCTTGAAAAAACAACTTCTTTCTCTAATAAATAAGCAAATATAAACAACTTTTTCCTCTAATTAAAAAGCACAAATAATCAAACTTATTTTGGCCAGATCTGACATCGATTCACTATTCCAAAAAAGTAATTCAGTAGTATAAGAAAAAAAGAATTGATTTTGTTCCAAAGAATGCTAATCCACCAAACTGTCCTGAGCAGCAAGTTTACGAATCTCACTGAGCGATTGTGAGGGGAATATTTGGGAAAAGTGGCGAATTCAAAAATAGTATTAAATTTTCCAAAATTTATGGACCGATGCTACAAAAAAAGTGGCGCAAAGTAAATTTGTGGAGACAATAGCGGGTACTAAAAAAAAAATTAAACTACACGCCGTTAAGTTAAGGCTATTTTTATTTATATTGAGATAAAATTATTTATGTAAGCATCATTATAAAAAGAAAATCTTTAAAATTGGTTAACTTGTTTTTGAGAAAAATAGATTTAACCGATCATAGTGATATTCATAATAGATAAATAACACTCGCATTCAGCTGTAGAAACAATCAAGGTATTTATAGCATTGCTCAGAGGCTGAAGATCATTAGGAATTTTATTACAGTCACCACTGGCAAAACACTCACAAATCTGTACTTTCTGTATTTCTGCATTCTGACTGCTGTACTTTCACAAATATTGCAAATATTTTTGCTAACTGCCTAATGTCACTGTCTCCAATGCATGAATCTTGTTATGCAAACCATTGTGGTTTATCAAAAAAATGCAAGCTTTTTTATCAAACTATCCTATTTTTTTTTTTTTTTTTTTTTGATTATTTTCTTTGTCTTCTAACAATTTATGTATAGCTCTGGTTTTAAACATTCTAGAATCAAGACTTTCGTTTAGTTTATTAAAAAACTCTTTTTGAATAATTTTTGAAACTTTACCTATCTGCAATTTGACGCCTTCAAGTTCAAATTTTTCTGCTTCAAGGAAAATTTACCAAAATTATTTCTCATTGATTGAAATATTTAAAGATGATAAACCAATGTGCCTTGGGTAAAGAAGTTAATTTATCTTGTAACTTTTTAGAATGACGTTCTAGTTTTATTTAAGCAACTAGCATTAGTTCAATGTTTAGTATAAAATTGACGTTGCATAATTTTTTTCTAAGGCTTGTGTATTGGGCTCTACCTCATCCATTACGTTTTAGATCCAATGAAGATTTATTAAAGTATTGATACAATGCTGTCTAGTTACTTCAAACAGCAATTACAGATTGAGCGCTAGATGACACCCATCTGATACCCAGAATTTGTCCTATGAAAGTTAATTTTACACAGAAAGCAATCGCAATAATTTCCAGTTTCTTTTTGTTTTTAGGAGATGCACTGTAAACAGAATACAACTTACTTAACTTAAAAAAAATTAATGTGATAAATTGGTAAAATATTTCCCACAAAATCAATCCCAGCTATATCTAGATAATGATTACTACAATGTCATAAAATTAAATTTGGAAACTGGTTCAAAAGTAAACAAGTCACAGCTGCCATTTTGCCATGCATATTAGAAGCACCATCGCAAGCTAAAGAGATCCATTACGTAATAAAATATACCTAGACAATGTATGCATTTATAAAAAAGTTTCCTATAGAAGGAGCTTATGTGTTTATTAATTCGATTAAGTCAAAAAATATACTAGTAACGATATTTATTTCTGGAATATTTACTCGCAAGCAGATTGAAAGAGCAGATTTTTCTAATCGTGGTAGATTCATCTATCATAAATCCGATTTTACTATCGCTATGTAATAAAGTTTACAAGCTTTGTACGTATTTCACTAGAAATATGGTAGGCAATATCAGCACTTGCGTGATCAGGTTGTAAAATACGATCCACATTTAAACCATTTTCTACCTGTAAAGATATTATTTCTTTCAAATTAGTAAATGGACGATTCATTTTTGCAATATGGTGCATAGCGCGAAATACGCGGTAGGTAGTTTCGTGCTAATTGATCTGCATTTTTGAACAACGCATTTCTATGGCTTGACTTTTGGATTAAAAAATATTTTACAAGCTTGTTTGAGTGTAACTGATAGTTTATGACCTTAAAGATTTTTCCTTATTCATTGCTGGTTTTTTTCTTTTGTTTCACTATATTTTTTGACGTTACCAAGCGTCCACTTGCAAGCCATTTTTAATTCTCAAGTTTATTCGGTACTTAAATAATTTGCAGACTTACAAACAGAACAGACAAGAACATTGACATTGAAACTGTCAACTAGTCAAATGTCTTTAATTTTTCCTTCTATTGCATATTAGTAATGTGGAAAAAACGAGTTATTGCATTGAGGATAGGATACGCAATGTTTAATAACCGATGAATTGGTGATTTCCTAATATATTTCAGTGGCGTCATTTGAATTACTTTTGAAACTATTGATGTTTAATTTTCTTTCCGTTCCGCTTGCTTGCCATTTACAATTTATTTAATTTTAAACAGAAAATGTCAATTAAAAGTGTCATGTTTTTGTTTGTGGAGATGTTTTGCATAGGAAATTAAATATTTTTTTTTGACTTCCAAAATCAATCTAAAGAAACCTTTCCCTTAATTACAACTTTTCATGGCAACTTGTATTATCAACCTTTTATAACTAAAACTAATCTTTTACTTAATCTATCCTTAAATGAAAGAGTAAAAAAGTTTTTTCAAATATCCAGCCAGTAATTGCATTTAAACAACCACCCAATATGTTAAGAATACT